CGAATTAATTATTAATATTAATTTATAAATATAAAATCTTTACGTAGTATAAATATAATATTACTTAATTAAAACCTTTAAAATTTTTAAATTATTATTTTATAATTTCGACTTTTTAATATTACACTTTTTCTTTTAGTTTTTTCTTATTTTTTCTTTTTTTTTTTAAGTTTTTTTTTTAATATATATAATAAACTTTTTTAATTTACTTATCCCCCTTTTTTTTTTTATTACGATTTAATTAAATTAAATTTTAAATTATTATAAAATATATAAAAATATATTAATTATAATTATAATTATTAATAAAACCCTCCGGTTAATTTTAATTATCATTCGTTGTAAAAAATTAAATCTTTTAATTAAATTTATTTTTTTTATATTATAATTAATTATAATTTTCTTTTTTATTATATATATTTTTTATATTTATTTTATATATTAATATAATATAATTATTTTTATTAATTTATTTAAACCAAACTTAATTAAAAATATATATTTTTATATTAAATATAAACCATTATATAATTAAATTAGTAATAAATAATTTTATTCGTTATATAATAATACGTAATAAATAATTACATAATAATATCGATATAATTATAAAACGGGACGAACGTAATACGAAACGATTTATTTTTTTTATAATAAAATTTAAATCGATAATTTTAAAATAAAAATCGAATTTTCTTCGTTTTTTAATATTTATAAAATATTTTTATATATAATATTAATCGTTTATATAAATTTATTTCGTATTATAAATAATTTATTTATTTATTTAAATATTACTTAAATAATATAATTAATTATAAAAATAACATTATTTATTATAAGTTTTTTAAACGTATATAAAGAAAATTATTAATATATATTATTAAAAGTTTATAAAAATAACTTTAATTTATTATACGACATTTTTTACTTATAATTATTAAAATAAAACCACTTAATTTACTTTTTTTATTATTACTTTTATTATTTTTTCGTTAAAAATAAATATAAAAACAAAAAAAAACGTAATAAGTTCGTTAATTTATTAATTTCGTAATTTATTTTTTTTTATTAAATTTATCGTATATTATTTAACTTATTACGTATTATAACTTCGACACATTTTTTACGGTAAAACACGAACCGGTTAATTTTTTTTAATACATATAATTTCGAATTAACTTTATTAATAATAAATAAAATAAATATAAATTAAATAAATAAAATAATAACGTTTTAATTTATATAAATAATATTTACACGTAAATATTAAATAAATAATACATTATTAAAAAAAATATACTAAAAATATCGTAATAAATAAATTAACATATAATAAAAAAAAAATAAAATAATTTTAAAAATTATTTTATACGTTTATAAATATTATATTTACGAATATAAAATAAAAATAACATTCGTAATAATTAAATATTTTAAAACATATAAATTAAATTTAAACTTATTTAATTAAAATTATTTTTATAAATATTATTTAAAAAAAAATAACATTTTAATTTTTTTTTTAAAATAATATTTAACTTTATAAATTTAATTTAATATTAACATTATAAATTAATTTTAAATTAATTAATAAAAAACCTTTAAATATAATTATTACGTTAAATTTATTAAAAAGTTTTAATCGATAAAAAAATATTATATTATTATTTTATTAATAAATATTATTAAATATAAATAAATAATTATTAATAATTTACTTAAAAAAATAAAAATCCTTAAAATAAATTAAAACTTTATACTAAAAATAATATTTTTAAAACTTTCGTAATTATATATAAAAAACGAATTAATACATTTTTACACGTATAACTCGCGATAAATTTTTACAATTTTTATATTTCCCACATTTTAACTTTTATTACATTTTCATTTATAAAATAAATAAAAAATTTAAATAATTTATTTTTCGAAAATAATAAAAAAAATTAACTTATATAACATTAATTAATATATTTATATATAAATTTTAACTTTATTTTATCACCGATAAAAAATTAAATATTATAAAAAAAAATCTTAAATTAATTTAACTTATTATTACCGATTTTTAAAATAACACGATAATAAAATTCGAAAAATTTTACTTTAAAACGTTTTAAAATTATAAGTTTTATTAAATTATTTTTATTATTAATTTATCGTTAATATTTTTTAAAAAAATTTTATATTAATTAAGCGTTTTATAATTTATAAAATACATTAATAAATTAATTTTACTAATAAATCGCCCGCCGTAAATTATAAATTTTTAAGTTTTTACATTTTTAATTTATAATAAAAATAATTTAACTTTTTTTTAAAACCGAAAATAAATAATATAAACGAAAAAAGTTTAAAAAAATTTATACGAAAAAAACCGATTACGTTTAATAAAAAAAACTTATTTATTTTTATAAATATAATATAAACCGTTAATATAAAAATATTATCCGTTTTTTATAAAACGTAAAACATTTTTAATAAAATTACCCGTTAATTTTAATTTTTTTAAAATATTATTTTATTAAAATCGTAATAAAATTTAATTATTTAAAATAAAACTTTTTTAAATAATTAAAATTTAATTATTAATATAAACCCCGTTATTATAATTACCGTTTTAAAATATAATAATAATTATAATTACGTATTTACCGAAAATCCTTTTATATTTTTTTATAAAAACTACTCGTTAAAGTTTAAAATAAATATTAAAAAATAAAAAACTAATTAACTTTTTATTAATATTATTAATTTTAAAAACGAAAAAAACGGTTTAATAATACATCGAAAAAATAAAATCGTTTAATTAATAAACGTAAAAAAAAATCGAAATAATAAACCACGTAAAAGCCGTAATATTTTAAATTTTTAAATCGATAAAAAATCGTTAACTTTTAAATATAATACTTGTAAACGATTAAAATTATTAAAACTTAAATATTACAAAAAGTTTATTAATAAATAATAAAACATTATATAAATAAATAAATTTAATATATCGTTTTAATTATTTTAAAAAATAATAAATATTATATAAATAAACATTTTATTTTTAAAAATTTTTTATAATATTAATATTATATTAATTAATATTTTAAATATTAAAATTATATAAATATATTAATTTTTATAAACTCGTTTATTTATAATTTTATATAATATATTTAAAATATTCCTTTTAATAATACGTTATTACGTAACATTATTAAATTTTAATAAAACTCGATATAAATTATATTATTTAATTACGTTTTTTATAAAATATTAATATTTTTAATTATAAATAATATAAAACGGAAAAATTAAAACTTACTTAAATATAATAATATATTAAATTATAATTTTTTTTATATAAACTTAACTTTAAAAATTAATCGAATATAATTAATTAAAAATAACATTTTTTAATTTAACATAAAATTATATATATTATTTTATATATTTTAAACTTAAAAAAAATTTAATTAATTATAATAATTATTCCTTAAATTTTATATATTTTAATTTAAATACATTTTTTTTATATTATAATAATAATAATAATAATAATATTATAAATAATAATATCGATTTTATTTAATAAATTTTTATTAACGTTAAAAATATACCGTAATTTAATTTCTTAATTATTATTTTAAGTTATAAAAATAAAAAAAAACCGTATTTTTTACCGAAAACGTATTTAAATTATACTTAATAATATTCGAAAAATTTTTAATAATATATAAAAATATATAAATATTTTAAACCGAAATAAATCGAAATTATACCATTATTTATATAAAATAAATAATAAAAAAATTAAAAATACATAAACGATCGTTTATTATTTAAATAAACATAAAATAAAATAAAAAATTATAATTATTAAAAAATTAAATTAAAAATAAAAATATAATTATAAAAAATAAAAATAAAAATAAATAAAAATTACGTTAATAAAAGAAAATATTAAAACTAAGTTCGAAAAAATTTTATTAAATAAAACTTTATTTTTTAAAAAAAACATTAAACGATTAATACTTTATTCGTTAATTATAAAATTATCCTTTTTATTATTAAAAAATTATTATTAAAGTTTTTTATTTTTATATTCGATATATTTTTTATTTATTTATTTATTTTCGAAAAATTATTTAATTAATCGTTAAATTAATAATAACTTAAAACTTAAATTAATAATATATTAAATTACTTTTTTTTGCCGTTTAAATATAAAAATTTTTACTTACTTTAATATAATTAAAAACTTAAATAATATAATAAAATAATTAAATTAATTTATTTTTATTATTATAACTTTTAATATTATAATAAATAACGATTATATATTTATTTACTTATTAAATATTTAAATATAATAAAGTTTAATTTAATTAATAATTATTATAACATTATTAAATAAATACTTATTTTTTTAATATTTTTATAAAAATAAAAAAATTTATTATATTTATTTAATAAATATTTACTTATACGTATTATAATTTATAAACTTTTTAATTTTTAAATTATAAAATATAATATATTTTCGTCGTATATTATATTTATATAATATACTTTTTAATACATTAATTAAATTAACGGGTTAATAAATTTATTTTTATAATTCGTCGTTTTATATAATTTATATTATTTATAAATTAATATATTAATAAAACTTATTAATGAAAATAAAGCCGAAAAATTTTAAAATAAATAATTACTTAAAGTTAAATTATTATAATTTTTATATATATAATTACGATTAATTAAAATGATTTTACGTTAAGTAATATTTAAAAGTAATATAAAAAACCCACCTCTAAATCATAATGATTATACTCGTTTTCTTTCCACTGGAAACAGGTGAGTAAAATGTGATTGTCTAAAAAGGGGGAGGGTTAAATGCGATATGTGCATATATGAAAAGGGGTGCATCGAAATGCACTAGAAAGTAATATTCATTTCTGGGGAAAGCTCCCCCCACAAACCACAAATCTAAGCTCCGCCTAGAGATCTAATCTCAACTTTGTTTCCACAACTTTAAATGTTGGCAGGCACAGCAAAATATCTCCATGGCTGCTGTCGGACTGCATATTATCAGCTTATTTCCCTGTCCTTATGTGTTGCATCATTATAAGGCTCTCTACTACGCTTGGGCGAATCAAACCAAGTGATCGATTCAAGGTTTCGCCTAATGTTGTGTCATCAAGCCCGTGGAACTTCGGCTGCCAAGATGAGGTCAGTTTACTTGGCCCCTAGAAATAGCCACTGACCTCCTTCCTAGCTACTGCAGATAAATTTGAATATTAAGTTTCATACATTATCCATTATATTATAAACCTGGAACTCAAATATTTAAGTTCGCATATACATTAAGTAATAACTTTAGGATTCTGACGTCGAACCATATTCTACCATCTTCATCTTTCACATCTATATTTCCGTACAAATACCTAGAGTACCTAATTACCGCAGCCTCAATTAACGAACCTAAAGGAGCCCCTAAAGTGATGACATAGGAACATCATCGCTACTACGATTACGGCCACCATGCAGCTCGCCGTATTTTCAGCCAAACCGTACGACAAGAAGTTCCTCACGAGCATCCGTTTGACCGAGCTCGACGAGGCTTCCGACATCGAGATCGTCTACCACGAGTTTGCCCTATCCCTCGAAACCGTGTCCCTTGCCAAGGGCGCCTCCGCTATCTGCGTCTTCGTGAACGACGACCTCGGTGCCGAAGTACTCGAATCTCTACACGCGAATGGAGTCCGCGCAATCCTCTTACGGTGCGCCGGGTACAACAACGTCGATTTACAGGCTGCTCAACGCCTCTCACTCTTCGTCGCCAACGTCCCTTCATACTCCCCCGAGGCTGTTGCTGAGTTCGCTGTGGCGCAAATTCAGACACTAAACCGCAATACCCACCGCGCTTATAATCGTGTTCGCGAAGGTAATTTCAATCTCCAAGGTCTCCTAGGGCGGACTCTACATGGCAAAGCGGTTGGTATCATTGGGACAGGGCGCATCGGAGTGGCGTTCGCGCGCATCATGAACGGCTTTGGGTGTCGTCTTTTGGCTTTCGACCTCTACCAGAACGACGATTTTAAGAAGTACGGAACGTATACCGACCTGGATACCCTCCTTTCTGAAAGCGATATCGTCAGTCTACACTGCCCACTGACGGACACCACACGGCACATCATAAACGACGAGACCCTATCTAAGATGAAAATGGGGGCTATGCTGGTGAATACCTCGCGGGGCGGTCTTATTAAGACGAAGGCCGTCATCGCGGCCCTAAAGAGCAAGCATTTAGGTGGACTTGCGTTAGATGTGTACGATGGAGAGGGCCCGCTCTTCTACAACGACCACTCGGGCCATATAATCGACGACGATGAACTCATGCGCTTAACCACCTTCCACAACGTTCTTGTGTGCGGCCACCAGGCGTTCTTCACCGAAGAGGCGTTGAGCGAGATAGCCGACGGCACGATTCGTAACTTGGCCGACTTCTTACACGGGAGAAAATGCGAGAACGGACTTGTTCAGGACCATGGAAAGGAAGGACTGTCTCTTGTTAGGAAGGACTCCGTCCCAATCCGGATTTAGAGGTTCTGGATTCCAAGTCGTAGGTAGGTTAAAGATAGAGGGTCAGCGGAGGCATCCATGGATGTGATGGCTATTTGCTGTTGATTAGGTGGGGTCACGGTAATAATTGAGAATATCGTTCACAGCTGATACCTTTGCGTAAATTATTTCCTCAGATTAACTCCCAGTTAATTACCCATCTACCCAATCCATACCCGCCATTGCTTTCCCTCCTCACCTGGTATAAACACCATCAATCATGTAGTCCTTCTTCGGCCCCTTAACCGTGTACCCCAACTTCCACTCCTTCAAATTCACAGCATTGAATTTGAACTCATAATGCACATCGTACAAATCTTCAATACATAAATGACTGGCCTTCGCAAACCACCCCTTCCCTTCATTTCCGCCGTCCCCATCATTATCAGAAGGAACCTCAAACTCCACCTCATGAAATAAGTAATCCGCCCGCATCTGCTCATCCGTCCGCGCAAACCACACACTCATCTTATCAGCCAGCTCATCGTATCTCCACACATACCGCCTCGTAGCGCGGAATGAAAGTCCCGGATTATCCCGCGCTGTAAACGTCCCGTCTTCCTCATATAAGTACTCTAACCCTAACCCTAACCCCGCTTCAGCGGAGGAGATGCGGGCGTTGGATAGCCCGTCGCTAGTCCCTTCGCGGAGATGGAAACGCGCGATGCCGACGAAGCGCCCGCTTGGGTGGGAGGGTAGGCGTGAGCTTAGCGTTCTTGAGAGACACCATGAGCCGAGGAGGGAGCGGAATACGGCGCCGGCGACGAAGCGCGCGTGGGAGAGCCCTGCTACTGCGGTTTCTTGTGTCGCGCGTAGGCTCGCCGTTACTTCTTCTTGCCGTGATTGTTTCTGGTCCGGAGGATAGGGGTACCGTGCTGGAGTGAGGATGTCCATGGATTTGCCGTTGCTAAGGGGTGGGGTAGGACCGGAGGGGATGATTGGGATGGAGAGGGCTTCGGCGAAGTCTTGCATCAGGAAGGCGTAGTCACCCATTGGGAATTGGGAAGTGCGTGGGTCTGTGCGCAGAGATAGCGTTCGTGCAATGCTGTTGTCGGCTGCGAGGGCGTTTTGGAGAGGTGTGGAGTTAGGGGCTGTCCATAGGTGCGCCATGAAGCGGGCTTGCATCTCCATCACGCCCCAGTACGGCGAGCGGTACATGCCTACGAAACCCAGGGTTGGTAGGGAGGGATGGTGTGTCCCGTGGAAGGCGAGGGCGACGGGGAGGTTAGGATGCGAGGGAGAGTGAGAGATGGTCTCAAGTACGGAAGGGGGAAGGAAGGATAAAGAGGGGGACGGGTCGAATCCTGTTGCTAAGACTATGGCGGCTATATCGGAGATCTGTTCGTTTGCAGAGATAGTGACAGTGTCCCCAGAGAGTGATGATACTTTGCCCTTGCTGACTTTGATAAAGCCTGATCGTACGAAGTCAATATAATATTGGCTCATAGCTAGGAATGGCTGCTCTTCAACTAAATTACCGTCGATCTTGGTGTCTGGTGAGAATTCGGATTGGTTGGTACCCAATGCTGTTTGATATATAGAGTTGAGTACTCGTGCAGTTTCGACGCTTATGTGCCCTTGGGTATTTTTTAGAGGGTGGGGCCTATTAGCTAGGTTGTATGAAGGTAGGTCGCACGGAAGAAAGGGTGGTGCTGAAGAAGTTGGCTATTCTCTCTATTAGTATTTATTTTGAGTCCTACTCGTGAATGGGGGTAGAAGTTATCCATACATTTGGAGAAGTGTATAGCGGAAAGATCCACGAAGGTCGCTGAACGATGTGGCGTATTGAATATTTGTCTAGTTCTTCGATGACCTTCTCTCCGGGTGAATGAATGGCAGATGACAGATGTGTTGCGATGGTGGCAGATATCTCTACTCCTGACATCTGCCCTCCAATGACAAGAATCTTGCCTCCGGGATTGTTTGTCTTTGCTATGAGACTCTTGAGGTCTCGATATTTGCTGCTATGAATAATCGGCACATCCGCATCTTTCGGCACATATTCTGGCCATATGGGTTCCCCGAAGAAGCCGGTGGTCACCAGCAAATAGTCAAATACATCGGTCTTAGATATTCCAGCAGACTCGGTTTCTACCTTCCACAAACCATCGCTCTGTAAATCGGCTTTTACAACTTTATGTCCAAGTCGAATATGAGCCCCTCCGTACTTGTCTAGATATCGTTCTAGATATTGGCCGACTTGCCATGCCCTGGGAAATTGCGGATCCTTGTCTCGCCAAGCAAGATCGCTAAACTGGACGGTATGTTTACTCTGGTTAGTTACCATAAGTGGATGTACGAGACCGTCGGCATCGTCCTTGCTTGTGGGCCATAGCCCGCCGATTCGGGACTGAGCCTCAAAGATAGTGACGTTATATGAGCCCGCGGATACATCGTGTAGAAAAGTCTTCGCTGCTACAAGGCCTGATGGACCAGCGCCTAGACTAAATATGAGTAAACCAAGGCCTCAAGCCGGAGACGGAAGGCTAGTTGTCCTACCGATGATACAGACGTTCTTAGCCATGTTCTCGGTTAGGACAAGGGTGCGGGATACGCCGTAGAACCTAGTAAGAATCATGGGTACCCCGCAACGGGAGACAGCCGTGAAGATAGGACGGAGCAGATTGAAGAGTGCAGTAAAAACTATTGGATTTAATGATCAAACTCTGGATATTGACGTTAATAACGCATGTAAATCGGGATTAGTCATGAAAACGCTTATTTATCTCACTCCTAATAAAAGTTGGCGTACATGTGAATTAGTTTAGATCAATTCCACTAGCATTAAGTACATAGGTACAATACCTTAGTATCACGAAATCCCACGTGAATTTAAGTGGCGCATCAATAAAACGCCGGGTCCCGTCGCATACTGAAAAGGGGCTCCAGGTACGGAGTAATTCGGTACAAGTCTTGTAGACATTTTATTATTCCCTCCCTATGGCCAATATATATAAAAATATTACATTTAACATATGACATCTCTTACCGTTGGCTACCTGGGTATTTTATTCATCTCAAATAATTAAATTTGTCCCACAGTGCGATCTAGAACCGAGACGCGAAAAATGGGTCCGGAATCTTGTTTGATGCAGTTGGCTGCGACAACTCTGTTGCGTAGTTGTATCAAAAACCGATAATACATTCCTAAGACATCTCTCTACGATCTTGCATCTCCTCTCGGCGGGCACTTTATTGAAGAGATCGATCCAGGCCGAGGAAAAATAGCGTACGTAGGCTCCGGAACCCTCCACTTCATTAGCCACCGTCATTGTTAGCCTTTTGAGTGAGCCTATGGGCTAAGTGGCGTTAAATGAACCGTGAAGTGGGCAGCCCGACGGCAACTTGTTGCAGGAAAGCACACTTTGACCGATAGCGGCTAGTAACGTGTAAAAAGCAGACACCCGAGTTACTCGAATAAGGTCCTTGGCTTTTAAAGAACTTCCGCGGATGCTTCCGAGTCTCGCAGAGCCGACACGTGCTCGAGGCGGCAGGACTATTTCTCAGTTCTAATTGCTTTGCATTAGCATTGATGTACTTCGTCTGAGCATGTTTCCGTTCGATCCCGTTATAGCTTATCTCTTCCGCAAAAATTTTCGGATATTAAGCATGGTGTAATCCACCATCGTAGATCTCGAATATGGAGGCTTCGAGACAAATGGCTCGACCGAGATAACCTAGCTCTGTAGCATTTTAGTTCAATACAGTCCGGAGCCAAGTACTCGATCCGAAATATGATTAATTATTCTCGATATCACATCGCGTCAATGTATCGTTTGATGTTTCTGACTGGGCGCACCTTGTCATATATCTGTAAGGTAAGCCGGCCGAAACTAGGTTCTCAAACAATGAAATTGCACGTCAAATGTCCTTTAGAAAGAAGGCAAGCGACGTAAGCTCTCTTTCTAGGAATGGTTATCTCGAGCATACGATGCACCTCATTAGGCTTTGGGACCCGTAGCGAGCATGCGTCCGGAATTCCGGGTAACCTGGCCTTCAAGAAGTAAATAAATAGCTGAAGGGAAACTGCATTAGTATCAAGCTGTCCGACATTGAAATTCTCGCCTATAAGAAAGGCGGAACATGGTATATCCAAGGAGAGCATCGGTGCCCAAAATTGAAATCAAGTCTTGTATCAGAATGCGTCAGCTCAAGTTATTTAATTTAGAGCTTCTGTGAAACGGAAGGAAGCCGAAGAGCTGGAACAGCGGAGCCGCGAAATACAAAGTATGCCGTAGTTTAAAGTCGCGTGAGCTTGGCTGTTATACAGGGCTAAGTATCTGACATGAGAGTGTACGCCAACGATATTTAATACCCGTAGCTGAATGGAAAAGTGGCGGTCAATGGTAAGGTCGCTCAGCGTCGCACTTTATTTCTTGATGGGTATTGAAATCTCGCAAATCCATCACGTCGAATTCGGGAGTTTCTTTGATTCCGTCGCTTTAGTCGTGATTTTAATACGAAGATGATTTAGTGAAGTTTGATTTGAAATTCTAGGCATACAGTAATGGACGTTGAGCAGTGGAGACCCATCAAACATGGAGGTACCAAACATTCGGCTTAATTTTTAACCCACCTCTCAATGTAGCTCAAAACAGAACATTCAATTCAAGCAAGGACAGGGCGAAGTTCAGTTGGGGTAATTGGATCCTTTGGAGCGAACTAACCCCACCAACTCTTTGGTCTCATGCGGGGTAGCTTCAAGGCTTCCCTATTTGAATTAGCGTGACATGGAAAGTAGGAGCGTGATGAATATGGTAGGGAATAAAAGTGCGATCATTGGACGATTGGCTCCTTGGAAATAAGAGGGGAAAGAGGACCCTGATTCGGGTGCAAGCTCGAGTCTTTAGTTCCCGTTCTACAATACGAACTAAGAATTATTATTTGAGTCCCGAGTCTAACTATTTCAACTTCTTCTCCACATAGAAAGATTTAAAAGGGCTTAAGGGTCCAAGATTGTTCGTATATATTAACGATGATATCGAATTGCATTACATTTTACTTCCGGATACTGTTCGCTCGGTCCACCCCAAAGGATGCAGAAGAGAGGTAGGTACGTCTTTGCGCTTGAACACAAACATGTATGATTCGCGATTCACGATTCGCGCTATCTTCAAACTGATTGACAGGTGGTGCAAGCTGTCTACAGCATTTCCCCGTAGGACCGAACCCAAGACCTGTCAGAATTCTAGGTAGGGTTCTGTGAAATATTGTACCCCTCTTCCGGTCTCCCGTCGAACACAGAGGCGGAAGAAACCATGGGATTATGCGAGGAGACGTCCCAGAAGCCAGTCTCAGGTATCACAGGATTCGCTGAACTCCTAGCTAACTCGGCCGCAATGCGCTGTTGATGCGGCTGATATATCCAAAATGGGATTCTTCAATAGAAATGTCACGACATGATACTACAGAGCTAGTGCGAATCTCTGGTTTCTGTATATGATACCCATCCATATACCTACCTCCTACCTCTACTTACTACTTAGCATATATGCGCTACGTTATCAACATACACCATATGGTCAACAGTGTCCCAAACACAGAATACTCCCTTCCGATGATGTGTATCGTACGACAACCACGTCAAATATATGACAAAGTCGAAATAGTCTCAATTCGATTCAGCGAGCACTTTAAGAACCATTTCAGGTCTACTGGGGCAGGGATTTCCTTACTCCGTAGTGCCTTAGCTGCTTACCTAGTACCTAGTATACGGGCTAGTACTTACCGGGCGTAAGCCTTCCAATTAGTAGATGTGCGGCACAGGGATCTCTCGTTCTGTCTTGGCTATCACTAGGTCTTAGTCCACTGGCTAGCTTCTGGAACGCTGCTGTAGCAGTGACACTAAAATCTATCTGCATCTTCCAAGGTTCTCACCTTGATCGTCGCCTATTATCATTAGAGTCGCGAGGAACGGTAGTACTACGCGGTAGACATCAACTAATCTCCCTCTCTTCCAAATCCGCTTGATCCGCTTGATCGAACAAACATTCATACCTACCTAGGTATCCAGAATTCACGATATCATCGCTAGGAAAAGATGCCGCAATATCTCATTGGGCAAGCCCGTAGGTCTGACATACAGGGTCGTACCTTCGTCATCCTCATTGGTGTTCTCCTTCCATATAACATCATCTACCTGGACAAACCTATACAAACCTACCTATACGATCGATCCATATAGAATTCTGGAATAGAAGGGAGTTCGGTAAACGGTTATGGTCTTCGCGTCTGGGCAGCCGGATTGGATAGACGAATTGGGTAGACGCTGGCCCACCTTGACGTCTACTACTACCACCGCTGAAGCTCGTACATATAAGGAAGTGAAATAAGTTACCTAGTTCCAAGGTTATTATTACCCCCTCTTAGCAAAAGGTCATCCCCATGCTCCCCATTTAATAAACTGCCGATCCTGCTCCTTCCCTCCACCTCGCCCCGGTCCCCGTCATTACTTATTGCAAACCCTCCTTCTCCCATTTATTGACCTCTGTCTAAGCCCTACGGACACTTTTAACTCGGGCTATTAACGCCTTCCGTCGCCTACTATCCACCACCGTCTACTATCGCAGATAATACTGGCAACTTCTTTCATGTACCTACGCATACACCTAACATAAATTCACGTCTCACGGTATTCTCATCTTTCATCAATCTCGTCGTCCCTCTTTCTTTCTGGCCTCAATATATTCCTATCATCTCAATTCTTTGGTACTCCCTTGGATTGATTATCTTCGGTTTCGTGTATTATATCTAAGTCCGATCGATCGCATATATTGATTGTGCCGATTCCCACTCCCAAGCTCAGATGACGACCAAGACGTTACCTCTACGATAGTATATGCTTAAGGCTTCGTCTCATCGCAACCATTTTATCCAGCCTTTTTTCGTCAACTTTACACAAGTAGAATTACCTCAACCGTTTGTATCTACGACAGCATCTGCTCTTGAGGCACCATGAGCGACGTAGAGAAGCGCTCGGCATCGCGGGACTCTAGTAAAGAGGCAAATCATGTGGAAACTTTTGATGGACTTCCTCCTGATCCAGATGCGCATCTTTCCCAGGAAGAAAGGGATAAGATTGTAAGTATTACCACATGAATTCAATGCTACTTCGCAATAGCTAATAATTATATTAGGATGCAAAACTCATTCGAAAACTTGATTGGATATTAATACCTTGGGTAAGCTCATATTCGCCGATATCTACTGCGCCGCGTCCGGTCGCGTGTTTCTGACATCCGCGATTCTCCAGCTTTGCATTTTATATTTGCTTGCTTTCTTAGATCGGACCAACATTGGCAACGCGAAAGTCGCGAATCTTCCACAGGATTTGCACCTGAGGCTACCGGACCAGTACAATGAGACACTTACGATTTTCTTCATTTCGTACTCACTCTTCGAGCCTCTCACAAATGTGCTACTAAAGAAACTACGGCCGTCCGTGTTTATACCAATAATCATGTAAGTCGCGACCATTACCATTATTATCGGAATCCTGGCCGAAGATAAACCAGCTAACATGGTGATACCTCAGGGTGCTATGGGGTGCTTCGATGACCGGAATGGGCTTCGTATACAATTATTCGGGCATCATGGCAGCACGTTGGTTCCTCGGTCTAGCCGAGGCGGGGCTTTTCCCCGGCGTAAATTATTATCTGTCATGTTGGTATCGCCGATCCGAGTTCGGTGTCCGTGCTGTAAGTCTACCAACTACCCAAACTCATATTCGGTATCATCTCCTATATTGGGAGGCTTCTATATTACTATCATTAACCTATCTCAGGCTATCTTCTTCTCAGCAGCAGCTCTTTCTGGATCTTTCGGTGGTCTCCTTGCCGCCGCAATAGAATTGATGAACGGCATCGGCGGTCGACCTGGTTGGGCTTGGATATTTATCTTGGAAGGACTCCTTACTGTGGTGTTCGGCTTCGCATCGTTCTGGATGGTGCATGACTTCCCGGACCAAGCTCGATTCCTCTCGGAAGAGGACCGCATCCGCGTTGTACGTCGACTCAAGCTGGACCAGCAATCTTCGGCCGAACACGAGGAATGGAAGATGAGTTACCTCATCGCCGGTCTCAAAGATTGGAAGATGTGGCTTGGAATGGTCATCTACATGGGCTGCGACATGCCCTTATACGCCTTTTCGCTTTTCTTGCCCAGTATTATTCAGGAGCTAGGCTGGAGCACTACTACCGTCCGCGCTCAACTTCTGAGTGTACCTCCCTATGCCGCCGCCGCTCTACTCACCGTAGTTGTCGGTTTCGTCGCCGATCGCACGCGACAACGCGGCCTGTGCAATATCGTCATTAGTCTCGTCGGAATTGCCGGGTTCCTGATGCTTCTCGCGTCCACCGACCCCAGGGTTAAGTACGCTGGTACCTTCCTTGGCGCCCTCGGCATATACCCTTGCATCTCTAATACCATCACTTGGATGGCGAACAACACTGAGGGTGTGTATAAGCGGGGCGTCGTTCTCGGTTTCGTGATCGGCTGGGGCAACTTAAACGGCATAGTTAGCTCGAACATCTACTTCAGCCCGCCTCGATACCTGGAAGGCCACAGCGTCATGATTGCGTATATGACCCTATTTCTGTTTGGTGGCAGCTTACTCATGACGTTACTTCTGCGCCTCGAGAACAAGAAGAGGCGCCAGGGCAAGCGCGACTACCGCATCGAAGGCAAGAGCGCGGCTGAGATCGAGGCTTTGGGTGACGGGAAACCTGACTTCATGTACACGGTCTAATGGGGATATGGGACGGTACTAGTGTATTGAATCGCATTGGCGCAAGGTATGATGACGCGCTGGATAGGTACCATGTCTTGATCATCGGCTCGTTTTGGTATTATACTAAAGGCGGAAGTAGGAGTTTCTTTTGGACTGATGCCGGCTCTATAGATACGACTTATGATACTCGAACCTGTCGGATATGATAGGCCTCGCAGCCTAGGAGTCAGAGGTGGTGGCGTGAAAATGAGATTGTTGAAGTATCACTTTTATCTATATCATGCAATTGCTCTGCCCAATTGTAGTTACGTGGGTTCTCCTACGTACTCTTGAGGCAGATGATCGGTGTAAATACTTGAATAGGTACCTACTGTCCAGGTCCCTACTTAATTACTACAATACCTATCTAGAAACAGTTAAGCCAGAACGAAAGAATTCCATCAGACTTTTTAGTATTAATTCCACCCCCTATTTTATATCGTTCCTAGGCACTCACGCTAGATCCCAGTAGCTAGCCATTTTCTTCCATGACCCCGTCAATTACCATGGCCTGATATACTCAAAGGTCAACATCACATGGGGTAGCCTCGTGTGTTCGCTGCCTAATATGTACCGGTATGCCATCTTTAGCATGGACGACACTAGTTCCAACCTGATGAAAACACTGTCTATTTACAATATGGGATGGTGTCTCCTCGGAGCCCCTATATAATTTGTTAGATATCATCACTTAGTTAGAGTACTGTTACAAATGGCAGTAGCGGCGGTAGTGACCCGTCTTACCTCTCCATGTCCCATTCAGTCCACGCTTCTTCTATGTTAAACTTGCGGGATATCAAGACTACCACCTGTTTGAGCTCCATTATTACCAGCTCCATTCTGATACAATTTCTCAGTCCTAATAAAAATGGGATCCATGCATTAATGATCGGATGCAATGGGTTGCTTTCAGCGCCTTATCTGGGTCAGGTCCAATCTTTCTACCATGCTCATCTCGAAACTTGATCAGAACGACGGAAGTCTGCGACAACGGGCAAATGTCCAAAAAGAACAGAATGAGGCAAGATTGGCTATTGGTCATGTTGATAGGTACCTAGGTATTTTAGTTAGTTGAGATGCAAATTCCGTAGTTGTTATTGTGGGCTGCGCTTACAAGACCTCGAGCTTTCAGTGATCTCACTCGCGATCGATGGGGATAATCTCGATATATGAACCTCAGAATTACAACCCGGAAGATGGCAATTACTCCCTTTTGAGACAGCAAGCTTATCTCAGGGAGCGTCATGCTGTTGCACCTTCTGGGTTAGGTTCTTTCTTCTGTTAGTTCTTCAGAACGAGTTGTCTTAGCTATCGGGTGCATTTACGTAGAGAAGATCAAGTATAAATGAGATGGAATTGTTCTAAGGTCGCTCAAGATATAATCGGGAGAGAGGGGGAGGGATTGAGATTCTTTTTTTCTTGATAACTTCCAATCTTTTCATCACCTTCGAGTTGTGCATAATTAAGAAAACTTAATATTTTATACTTGCATGTCACGTACAACTCCGAACAAAGAAGTCTCATAGGATTATTTGTTTCTCCATTAACAATTATAATACCGCCCGAATGAATATATGTTAGTATTGTTTTCATTATGCCTGAATTTAGTGAAATGGCTCACGTTACCCTATTTGGGTCTCGAAATAAAGGCGGCATTTCTTTTGATCCTGCACGCGACATCAAGACCTTGGCAGGCCAAGTTGTCCTCATTTCAGGTGCTGCAGCTGATCTTAGGGGTCAAACCGCCATCGAGCTCGCACGATTCGGACGCCCTGCCCGTATCTATGTTGCTGATCTTCCGCGGGATGAGAATGCCAAGAAGAGCATCCTCGACAGGATTAAGCACAAGGCTTATAGCGATGACTAAAAGATCGATAGCAGCGGCCATACCACAGAATTCCGATTTCTTGACTTGGATCTCACATCATTTCAAAGTATTTGAAAGTGCGCGGCCGCCTTCATCGCTAAGGAGGAACGTCTTGACACATTGGTTCTCAATGCGGGCATAATCCGAATCATGCCAGGCACGACAAACGAAGGTTATGAGGATCATTTTGGTCTTAATTATTTTGGGGATGCATTCCTATCAAGATTGTTAATGCCGATAATGTTACGGACAGCACAGCAGTAATCAAACACCAAGGGCGTCCGCGTGGTTATTGTTTCCAGAGAGGGGCCTTCTATGGCTCCGGTTGAAGGAATCCAGTTCGAGAATCTTAAAACCGAGTGCACTGAGATGGTACGTCCGTATAATTGTTCTCTGTATACCTAGGTATTTACCTACAATGAGGTACAACAGCTCTAAATCTTTAGCATAGTCATATTTGCAGCGCTACGGGCAAAGCAAAATAGCCCGAGAGCTCACATATCGCTTTCCCACTTTAACAGCAGCTTCTGTACATCCTGGTAGGGCCTGACGGGTATGGCTGCTTCTTTACGAAAAGAAAGCATGCTCGTCCATCTGACAGCACCCATTGCCCCTTATTCTGCGTGTCCTTGCCCGAAGAGGTCAGAAATTATCTATGGGCTATAAGTAGCTCTGAAGTTGTGAGCGGCAAATATTACGAGCCCGTAGGAACACCAGATAGAGAAACGAAGATGGCTCAAAACACTGAACTTTCTAGAAAGCTATAGGATAGGACGGAAAGGGAGTTTAATGCTGCGGGCGTTCTTGATTGGCATGATTAAATGAGACTATCTACTACCTACCTAGGTAGGTATTTGATGGTTGTAAAAGGTCTACCGTGGTTGGTAGAAGTACATGTCTATATATCTCTTAAATACAGGGCGCAGACTCCCAGTCACCTAATATTCCAGCAGATTAAACGTAGCGTTATTAGATAGGTTTATCTGGTGTATTAATAAAGGTGTTTTTCGGGACTACTGTTTGATATGATATAGGTACCATAGCGGGAAATACCGTAGGCTAGCAATGGTTGGAAAGTCAAAAATAATGATTGGAAACCTGAAAATAATCATTATTAAAGAAATATAATCATTATAAAAGTAAAAATAATCATTGTAAATAGGTTGAAATCATTAGAAAAGGGTTCAAATCATTGGAGAGGGGTTCAAATCATTGGAAAAAGTTATCGTTGGAAAAAGTTATCATTGGAAAAGTTTATCATTGGAAACCTTATCTTAGATTCAAATCAGGTAACCGCCAGCAAGGTCGACGATACTGCTATCTCAACCTTAGAAAATTTCTAAGATTTTCAACATCACCCTGCCCTCTCCACATCACTTTTTGCACCACCTTTTACTTCGTACACCATCTTTTTACATCTTCTTTTTACATCTTCTTTTTACATCTTCTTTTTACATCTTCTTTTTACACCACTTTCTTTATTCTTTCTTATTTTTTATTTTTTATTTTTACACGCGCACACTTATAAACGCGTAGACTACTGACTTTCTAACCTTCTAGCTTTCTAGCTTTCCAGGTCTCCAGGTCTCCAGGTTCATCTCCAGGTCCATCTCCAGGTTCAGGTCTCCAGGTTCAGGTCTCCAGGTTCAGGTCTCCAGGTTTATTAATAAGGTATTAATATTTTAAAAGGTCTAGCAATCTAGAGTACTATCTGTAGATTGGCAGACCTGGAGATAGCAGGGACAGTGACGAGAGATAGAAATATAATAAAATAAAATTCCAATGATAAACTTTTCCAATGATAACTTTTTCCAATGATTTGAACCCCTCTCCAATGATATCAACCTCTTTCCAATGATTTGAACCCATTTACAATGATTTGAACCGTACAATCATCCGACAATGAAAGTATGGTTATTATAATGCCAAGCGATTTGAGACAATTCCAATCATTGCTGCCCTCCGGTATCTCCCGGTATGGTACCTAGGTAGGTAGGTAAGCAATCAGTTTTTACTGTATTTGGTCCAGGTTATGACTAAGATATGATAGTGATTCATTCACTAAATTCTGGTGGGTTGCTGCTACAACTTAAGCCTTAGGGCGCTTGGCCACTAAAGCAAAACACTGCCCAGTACCTGTTTACACCGTTTCAAGCCATCAGCACATGATCCAAATATTTGGCCCGAACCTTCGTTTCTACCTACCAATTAATTGACCAATCATACCTTGTAATATTGATATTATCCGCCACAAACAGTAATGAATTTGGCACCAATCTTCCATTCCCTGTAGTTAAACAGCGGGTCTCCAGTTAACTTTAGGGCCTTAAGTTAGTGCAAGGTACCTACTTCGTGCCTGGAAATCCGTAGATATAATACATACCCGCCTACATAGGTAGGTAGGTAGGTGGGTACCTGCTTTTTGGCCGAATCAATCATCGAGATAATATAGCTACAACCACAAGCTATCAATAAGACCTGAATCACAACTCGGAGCTCGGCGTGCAGTCCGAATATCGCACTTCGGTGATAGATCACGATATGGTCGGAAAGTCGGATCTAGGCTGCGACGTCGATCGTTAAAAAAACCGGAATTGTTGCGGGAAGAATTGTCGCTAACTGCAATGTTCCATAAGAACCGAAGTAGGTAACCTTGAGGTTATCTTAGACAATTAATTCCGTGACCGAGACTTTTGTCGCCGCAGGCCAATACCTTGAGGAACGATTGGTTTCGGTTGAGCCAGCAACTCGAAACGGCAGTAGTTAGCCTCCGTGCATTTCATTAAGATATGAGAGCCGTTCGTAATTGGGCACCTCTGGGTCGCCGTTGCAGCTTGCATGATGCAGTGTAGCAAACAGTCGCTCTTCACTCTCGATCAATAATACTCTTTGTCTACTGCAGTCCATTTTCCCCATCTCCCTTTACGTGTTTAGATGTCTTTATGATCCGAAATATTGGAGATTTTCTCAGCCCCAGTTCTGTTGATAATTTGGCAGTGAATCGAGAACCTTTAAAGGGGTGCCTTTCAGGGGTTTTGTCCAAGAGTACTTCGTTCATCTCAGGCGATTATTAAGGTACCTAGGTACTTAGGTATGCAAGGAATTGCCCTGTAATGTATCATCCCGTTCAACTTCCAACAGCCCACGTGGAGAAAGATGCAAGACAGACGGGATGAATCTTCCCAAGCAACTAGGTATCTACTAGGTAGGTAGGTAGGTAGGTAGGTAGAAAATCATTCACGTTCACGTCTCCAAAATTTCCCCGTTGTCTGTCACACTACCTTGTAGTTTGCTCCCCGCAGCTGTTTCTTGAAAAATACCTAGCTAACAGTAATGAATGGTAGCCACTCGCCCGATTGTCTACCATACAAGCCCTAGAATTACTGTATAAATTCCAGGTTAGGTACCTAGGTAGTCTAGATTTTAAAGATCTTTTATTCGCAGTAGGAAATGTCGTTGGAATCCTACATTGCACTTTTATATGTCCGTATAGTCACATTTCTACTTCTTCGGTGACCGTATTTGGTATTATTTAATGAGGCTCGCCTGAGCATGCAGGCTACGACGATCTGCGGGGGACTTTGATCATAATAACGATTGATCATTGCATTATACCTAGGTACCTACCTAGTTACTTTCAATGTCCTTGGCAGCTCCTGTCCTTTTCATACATGGTACGGGCCCAGCTCCCCTTACTTCCTTGCTTTCATACGCCTGCGTGGCGTTTCTAAAGGCAAGGTCAAACGGGTTCTATTCAACCAACTAATTGGTGCTTGCCTAGGTAGGTACCTACCTACCTACCTATATAGTAAGTAAGTAGCACTACATCAGGGTATTCTAGAAAGAGAAAGGAAAAGACCTTTTGAATGACTTTGTCTTTTTGGCAAAGCTTTAGATAGATAGCTTCATATTCCATCATACCCATCCCACAAACGTAGCAATGAGGATTCGACGGAATAAGTCTCCTAAATGCGAACGATTCTCTTTTTCTTCGGGTACCATCACTTGCTGTACAACATTATCTATAAATTGCTGGAAGGTCTGAGTCTGGTTTCTGGGAATTATGGAAGGGTCCGGTAAATTACTCACTGGGCGTATTGCTGCTACCAACCTACCTGTAGCCCAACTGGGTATAGAGGTGCATCATTCTGTCCAAAAATGCATTCCCGTCCGCCACGAGATGTATAGACATGCACCCGCCTGCTAGTTCATTATTTCCTTGGATTCTACTACGCGTTGCCCGTACATATTGCTCCTACGTCAGCCCCCTTCTGTCACAGCCATCGATGCAGACCACCTACCTGTAGGCATGCAGCCATTGGCGTGACTTATATCCGACCAGCAAGCGAAGGTTGCGGAAACATGCGTAAATGGGCTTGTTCTAATTCACTTCTATCAACCTTCGATATTAGTTGCCTCATACATTTCCTATCAACGGGTGCTCGTGTTGACTTTGGCGTCTGGCAACCAGCAGCTCGATTCGACTCCTAAATCGACCTACATCTTCGAGCTTGTCACAATTAGAGACATTAACATCTGATAGTCCTTTTTATACTCAGGTGATCCCTTAAATCAGCTATGTGATCCGCCTAAAAAGTACCTAAAATATCCTCCATATATCGGTCTACTTCCGTCCCATATACCCTCCAATTCAACCCACCGACGATACCTTCCACCGAACCTTCGGCATCAACCTTTTCCATTCGATTAACAATAATCTTTTATTCCGATTTTCATTTGTTCAGGGTATCCAATGCTCAATTTACCCCAATTCTGTTGTCTCTAGACTCTAGATAACTCCTCGATTCGTTCATTTATATGCTTACATTTCATCCCCGATCATCTGCTTCTAAGATATTACCAACCCTATTACACTCTTACCTACTTAGAGCAGTATCATTCAAATATCCCACCTGTTCCCACCACTCATTTGTTGGGCGTCAATAGAAGATCAGCCTATGGAATCGCAACCTACCAATTTTCCACGCTCACGGATGGCATAGACAAGTCGGTAACTGTTAGGCCACTGACAAGCCTATGTACCGTTACGAGTTGGATAGCTCATCAAATCTATACTGGGGGGCTTCTTTATACGTCATTTCCCTATTCGCCGAAGTATCATTCGTTCAATATTCCTATGATCCTCTATCATTTATAACCAAGTCACGATAATCGTGATGGATGGCGTGATACGCACGGATCCCGACGGTAGCGGAGAGGTTGTCGCCCCCGGCGCACTTACAAGACAACACATCGAAACTATCGTGGTATTCGAAAGACTGGGGGCCGCTTTGTCCGTCACCGGGGTTCTCTTAATCTTCATCGCCTACGCATTCTTTAAGCGACTCCGATCTGTGCCGAATACCTTCATCGTATTCGCATCTTTCGCCAATCTCGGAGCCAGCATTGCCTGCTTGATGGGATACTCGGGAGTCCTAGCGGGATCGAACAGCAACCTTTGCCAGGCTCAAGCCTTCATGTTTGAACTGTGAGTTTGCTAACCATCGCCCCTGATAGGAAGATCCACAAAGATTTTACGGTTACCGACCAGCTTAGACTAATGCACAACTAGATTTATGCAATCAGATCCGTGGTGGTCTTTTGCCATGGCAGTCAATGTATACATGGTATTCTTCTTCTCCGCAAATCCCAACAGCTTTCTCCGTTACTGGTGGGCATATTTCTTGGTATGCTATGGTATTCCATTCATACCTTCTTTATGGTTATTAGTTGTGCGCGGTGGCGATGGACAGAACGTATACGGTAACGCAACGGTAAGTTCGCATCTCCCCCTATTCCTACAACTCCGTCTCTATCGCACAACCCTCCTTGTTGTGATATGTGCTAACAGCAAGCCCAGATTTGGTGTTGGATAGATAAGGACTGGTCCAACTTACGAATCTATACATATTACCTTCCCATATGGGTCTGCATTATCCTCTCTACCTGCATTTACGTTGCTGTTGGCTATTATGTATTCAAACAACGTAATCAACTACGCAATCTGTCTCTGAGTAACCCTACTCGAGATGTGCCGACCGCACGCGATTCGGGAGAGAAGGTGAGCCCCTCAACATCTATACCGCATCAAAACCTAAGTCAGATATCTAACCATGTCGACAGGCTCTATTCGGGAACGCAGCCATTATGGGTAGCATCAATCGAGAAGTCGTACAAGTGACAACCGTTAACTCCTCAACTGCGCACCCTATCTCCGGTCCCTCATCAACCGCTACCACCGCCGCCCCACCAAACTGGTTCGACGGCCCCCCCGATAACCAATCCTACTTTGACGGGGCCACTACTCCTATTTCCCAGCCGAACCCGTACCAAACAACCGTAACCCACATCACTGCCGACCCGCCGCCCCAATCCGGCCTCTGTGCCCGCATCCGCGAGAACTTTCAGCGATGGAGAGCTCGGTTCAACCACATGGATCAAGTCAAACTCGCGTACCTTCGTACATCCTTTGTCTTCGCGATCTCCGTATTCGTAACCTGGACACCAAGCAGCATCAACCGCGTGCATGACCTGGTCTACGCTGAGACGGCTAGCTTCGCGCTCAACCTAGCCAGCGCGGTTGTGTTACCGTTGCAAGGAGTCTGGAACGCCGTGATTTTCTTCTCGACGTCGTGGACGGCGTTGCGCGGCGAGCTAAGATCGCGACGCGATGCGCGAAGAGGGATCCCGCGCGGATTGCATGCTGCTAATGCGGTGCGGGATGAGCGCGATCGCGCGCTGGAGCTAGAGAGACGACGGACTAATGGGAAGGGGGCTGGGGTGGGACATCTTGATGATGCAGGGAGCGAGATTAGTACCGAGAGTACTGGCGTAGGGGTTATGGCGAATGGAGGTGCTGTGAGGGTTATGCGCGGAGGCTCACTAACGAGTTTGTGAATGTACGTACTAATGTAACTACCTCAGTGCTTAGTACAGAGCAACTATCACACGTACGAGATACGGTTGATGCGAGATGCATCGGGGGTTGGGATAGATATACGCAACAAGGGTAGGCGCATGTCACTGATCCAAGTATGCTAGGCGGATACTGGAAAAGTACCTGTTTGCAAAGGGTTGGTATATCGGTCGGTGCAGTGTGTACCAAGATCAGTCAGTGAGTTAGTCGGCGGGTGTTCGACACGCGGTTTTCGCTTCAGGTCTGGAACCGCAAGTTCGAATAAGGGTGTTTGGCTAAGGCGGGCCTAGTCTGCCACCTATCTGTTAAACGTAGATATACAGTTCTGTGGAAGACCCCTAAAGGTCGTTGAAGATAAATGAAACCCCGATTTGCGTTTACCGAAACGCGCTATTCATGGTCTTTCTTAGAGTTGTGTCATAAATATGTTATTTCATAGAGTCGCGTTTAATAACTCCGCATAGGAGAAAATTTGGAACGCGCAGTGTACAGACGGGGCAACGAAAGCTAAAATGTAGGGAGAAAAAGTCAACCCATAGGTATCTATCCTAGGTAATAAAGCACTCGAGTGCGTAAAATCTATAACCCAACCGTTACTTCATAGTGATATCATCCCTTTCATAGGTATCTAGGTAGGTACCTATACCCGCATTTGCCAAGCCAAATAACGCCGTGGAATAATCAACCATTAAGAAGACAAACTAAAATCATACGAATAACTTCTTTTAGGCTGTTACATTTCTTCTATCTTCGCGATCAGGCTTTCCGGTATAGCAGCCGATTCTAGGATTATAGGGTTCTCGCGGAATTCCGGACTCTGTACCACTTTTTTGAGTACAGGTAGGACATTCCGCTCGATAACGCTCACGGGACCAGCCGGCTTGCCGGGAGCAGACATGACTCTGCACAAATAGCGGAGCGCACTTCGCATGGCTTTTTCTTTCATTTCATGGCCTCCTGGACCGGCAGCATCAACAGCTTGGGTTATGAGAGCTGGGATGTACGTGACTTGCACTGCAGGCTGGGCAACCGAGCCATCGATGTTGAGTGATTCTCGCAAAGACTTCCTGACATCGTCTTCGAGAGATATCCATGCGCGGTTGTACAGTTCAGCAGTTCTTAGATCGGCGACGCTACCCATACATAAAAGTCGTGCTAGAGCCCGATCGTCTTCCATATTCAGGTCGAGTGGTCTAAATTCCTTTTCGATAAGCAGGTTAAGTCGGCTCTTCAATACCAAATCGTAGCCAGCTCGTAAACTTAATCCCTTTGAAATTATGCCCGTTCCGACGTCGTAGACGGTGCGGTAAGCGTCGAAATTGGACTGAGTCAGCTTTTTTGCGCAGGTCCAGTCCAGATGACCAGCCGCGCCCGCGATGTCTAGCAGCTGCTCCTCAAATCGAAGCCGAAAACTGCGCGCGTGACCTCTCATATTCGCGAGCCCGGCCAGACATGCGGGGGCATTCTCTGCTTGAGCTAACTGTCCAAAGTTGAATTCGGCTCCCAGTTCCATGCCACGAATGATGTCATCTCTGTCTTCCTGCGCGAGATGGCACGCCGGATCGGTGGGATTCAGGCACTTTATAAGGCCGGCTTTGACAGCCTTGATGAGAATCATATCATGATTTTGGTTGGAGATATTTTCACCGGTCTCTTTCTCGTAGTCCAAAGCAACCCGGTCATCCTTCCCTATATCATTCACTACTATAGAAGTAATAAGGGAATATAGCTCATTTGGATAGGATGGATTTGAAAACGATTCTTTGTAGAATGTGTACATCCATTCGAATGACTTGCGAGATAATCTCAACGCTTCGGCTTGGTTTGAGACTAGGGTATCGTATTGTTTATTCCAAGTCCATTTCAAAGTTAGAAGTCCGGTGAGGGTGCGATTAACTTCGTCGTAATCTTTTTTATATAAAATTAACGAAGGCGACCTCGATGATGGTCTAGTATCATCTACTCCGCCTACGGAGTATGCGCGCATAAGACGACCTAGCTCATCTTTAAAATCGGCATAGATGAGAAATAGCAGCTCTTCGTCAGAAAGCGCAAATAGGCTATCAGGATCGCGAGACAGCGCGTAGAGGGAATGAGTATTGATAGACATCGTAGAAATCTGCTATATCGTGAGCAGAAATGAAAAGAGGCTCGGGGACTTCACTACTAAATACCTAGATGTAGGTATGTCATAGGTAGTACCTGCCAGGTAGGTAGGTACCTAATGTTAAGCAATCGAGAGCCTGATATTTGGGGCTAGAGCGGGTAGGTCCTATGCACCTCAGACGGGTGCAGGTGGGCTGTGCCGAACAAACTTGCAGGGGTCTTTTGTGGCTTTGTGGCTTATCAGCTGATGAAATGTTGAAATATTTTTAAAGGTACAGATTTTAAGAAAGGAAAATCTACCTACTTTCATTTATAATTTACCGAATTAAACCTCATCAGCATCAGTTCCCATCTAAAGTCGAGTTAGGGGTAAAATTCAGCCAACTCTACTAATCACCTGGGCATCTAATCAATTGGTGAATCATATGGAAAAACTCGGTAGTAAGTACCTCATTAAGCGCCTACCTAGTACCTACTGTATTAGATGCGTTAATCCCCTGATCTCGAGAGATTATCATGTTGGAACGTAGGTATCGGTTTATTCCCATCTCTCAACTTAAGACCTCCATGTTCGCGCGTCAGGTGGTTAATGTTCCTACACATGTTGGTGATTTGGTTTTAGTCCTTGTAACAAATGATTCATGAATCCCATGGTCTCTAGGTCATGGTTAGACAGGACCAGGTAATGTTATGATTGTACTCGCCTAGAATAATATCAAGTGTAGAAAGCTTCACCAACTCCTCCCTAGAACCAGGAAAAGGAATAGCTTGAATAGCTGAAGGTAGGTACCTAACTAAAGCAGCTGTGGTGTTAGAGATAAGGGACATTGTCAAGTTTTGATTGGGTTCCAAGGTTAACAGTGGCGGAGGATACGGCGCAGCTTTTAGGCATCTCCAGGGCTTTCAGGGGCCCCGTTTTAAACCAATGCTACGAAGTACCTCCAGGGCTACCAGCATTGAAACATTGAACCACGACCCAACAATCTCCGACAACCTCACCACCTACCTACCTAGTAGGTAGGTAATCATCGTGAGCTTCTATTTACTACCTATTCATCGAAATGGAAACCGAGTTCCAACGAATCAATCAATTATTCCCTCGTCCCGCCATGTCATCTAGTCTATTCGCTATTGGTACCACGAACCACCCAACTTCTCATCCAAAATCCTCAATTCCCCAATTTCCATTTCCATTAGTCCCGATTGAGCCAAAAGTGCCACATGCAACAGATTCTCAGCTGCCATCACTAGCATGCTTAGGAAACGAAATCATTGCGATGATAGCCGAGTTGTTGCAGGACATAAGCCCCCAGACCATCTCCTCATTAGCGTTGGTGTGCTCTGCCTATCATCGCATCGCTAGATATGCTCAACATCGAGAGGTGGTTCTTGATGGTTCAATTCCTAAGTTTGAATATATCGAGGAGAGTGGGATGCCTGAAGCTATCCGAAAATTGGTAGTCCACAGCAATGGCAGCAGCATATTCCTATCCCAGTTGTGCAAGCTCATCCCCAAGATGACTGGCCTCAAAGATATCACATGGTCAGGACTAGGTGTACCTAAACCTGTGCTTCGACTCCTTGAAAAACGTCCCTTGGTCCGTCTTCATGTCGAGGTGACAAATATATGGACACCCAAAACCCTTGGTATCTTAGCAGCGAACAAGAACCTTAGTTCTCTGAAGGCGAGCATTGTTTATTGTAACGCCGAAGAATGTCTCCGCTGGACCCAACCACTCAAGCGTGTGGTTTTATCTTGTCCGAACGTTCAAAAACTCAGCCTCGACATTAACCTGCCGCAAAGTGGTTGCACGATGTTTCCGTTGCCTATTGTATACTGTGGCTTTGGATTTATCGAAGGAGAGCGTCTTCCTATATTGGAAAGTTTTGAATTGAATGCTTACCCATTTGGAATACACGTACCCGATCCACTTCATCCCGATAATAACACACCCTACTCTAGAGGCTATCCTCTCAGGGTCCATGAAATGGAATACTGGAAGGATAACTTTGACTGGTCACGACTACAGCACTTGATCACATGCGATGCCAACTTTGCCCTGCAAATCATGCCGCAACTAACGTCTCTCAAGGTGTTCGACTGCGCTAAAGAATATGTACCTTCTGGAAAAATGCTCAAAATATTCCGCCTAATCCCAAGTTCACTGGAGAGCATTAACGTCTCTAAGATCACTGATATTGGCGTGGAAAACCTGCTAAGACATGGAAACACTTTGAGAGATCTCACAATACACCAAGAGGAAAATTACGAAGGAGAGTGGCGCGTGGTAACGATAAATGCTGATACATTGATCCAAATCCGTGACGGATGTCCGCATATCGAAGAGTTAAGTCTAGATGTATCTCGGATCGACGACTGGCCGTACGAAATTTTAGACATACTCGCGAGCTTCAGCTCTCTCCGTTCCTTAACCATATGGTTTGAGCTGGGGATAACAGATTGCGATCAGCCTATTCAACCATACGTCAACTTCTCAGCCGCCGGAAAGTTATTTAAATACATACACGAGCACGCCACTAGTCAAAACACTCGACTGCGCAAAGTAACATTCATGTCTGGCTCCCCACCAAAATTCGGTATTGGCTTACCATCGAAAGCCACCTCCTGGGCATCATGTAACTCGTCTATTTTTGTTTGCGAGCTCTCTGATAGAGACGATCATGCTACAAAGGGCATTTTCGATGTGAAATGTCCGGGGCTGACCCGGGATGAAAATGAATACCTCCGGAGATTCGATTCTGGGGAGAAACACATAGGCATCTTACTATATCTTCAAGAATCACTTTTGGTTGCGCGTGATGGACCTACCCCTTTACTTGAGTGGGGCCGTGGGCTATCATGGTATTAGTACAAGCTCTTAAAGGTCTATTAATTATAAGATACTTGAAAGGTACTAAATTGAGATGCTTCCGCAATATGTTACTCGTTCCTACCTAGGGTAGTGGGAACTCCTCGCGTTCTTTCTTTTGCTGGCGGAAGCAAGTACGCAAAAAGATCCTTGCATCGAACAAGACAACATAGAAAGGAAATCCAAAGGTTAGGAATCAAGTAGGCACCTAGGTATCAAAACATTCTTGTTCTAAGTTATTAGGTAGATCTCAATATAGGTACCTCTATAGATGTTTAATGCCACAATCTTCAAACATTAAGAATTAAATTTCCTAAACTCCACGAGGCTAATACTCATCGTCTTCCCGACAATAGCGAAAATGTAATCCAAAAGATCAAACACAGGTAACGTTGGGTATTTATATATACTAAAGAAACATCCAGTATCAGAGTAATGGGAGAGGCTTTGCTCTAGTCATTTCCGTCGGTAAACTCGAACTCCTCGGAGGAAACGTCCTGTCGCAGTCCCGAAATGCCGGATGAGCTAGTAAAGGTGGAGTTTTAAGTCGAATAGTCGTTATGGAGGAATAATTTCTCCTATCCCCTTCTTCAGTATGCTGCATATCCATCGTCGTCAGTGAATACAGATTGTTGACTAATTTCTGCTTGTTCTCCCCACATACGGTCTCGAGGGGCCAGTCATCGCTTCGGCGCGTCTTTATCAAAACTTCGTCTTCTTCTATTTCACATCTCTTGATATCAATATCTTGGCCACACCCTCCTACTCGTTTGTTTATGATAAAGGTGCGGCTCTGTTGCGACTTGCGGATCATAGTGCTCCGCTGCATTTCTTGTTCGAATATGAGCCGCGAGTGCGTGAACCGGCGCCTCCGAGCATATACCTCCCATGTTAGGGTCGGATCCCGAAGTCGAGCCGCTTCGAACTCCCGGAAAGCAGCCTGCCGTCGGCGACGAAGCAGTGTGTGGCCAACGAATGCAAGCGTGAGGATGATAGCAACGCCTGTGATTGAACAGACGGAGACAACTATCCATAGGACGCGGCTGGTAGCCGCCGTTGAAGTATCTCTAGTAGAGATGAAGATATTCATTAGAGTAGATGGCGTTTGTGAATCGTATGATGTGTAACCAGCCCGCCCTTTGGTTGAGACTCTCGCACAGAACGGGGTACAGAATTCATGAGTAACTCCATCCTAAGGTAGATGAGGTTTCATCGTCTATCCGCCATGTGCCAACTGGGGTTCTTTAACCCATGACGGCCTTCTGTCGTAGTTGATACAACGCGTCATACCGCCGTACCTGGCTGCGGTAAATCTAAAATTGGAATATTCCGGTTTGCAGGATCCGGTGACACTGTACCTATTTGAACGCCACGTTCCTTGAGTTCCAAGTGGACACTGCGGGGATGGTTGATTCGTCGTTTGAAGCAAGACAAACGGCAATCAGGTTTGCGATATCGACAGTTTGGAATTTTAGCATGTTATCGTGGTAACGATTCCGGCGTATCTACTTACTTCCCGACAGAGTGGTTTTAATGCCAAGGAATAGGGGGTTAGTCCCTTACGACTTGCCATTTATAATTGGTCGAATTCGTGCATATCTAAGTGACGATACGAGACGCGAAAAGGATCATCCCGAATATTATCAGTTATGGCATCCCTCGAATCCGATCCAGCCTTTCATATTTCAACATTCCTCTAGGCTCTTTCCGATGGCTGCGAAGTGTACCACTATGGCGGGCCAATGTCAGCGCCGATCCGTTGTGACACTAGGGGAGGTTAACCAGTGATGCTATCTCTAAGTTCGTATAGTGCTATAGACTATTATATTATACGAGTACGTTAAAAAATATCATTTGACAGGAAACTGCGCGAGATTTGGAATCCCGTATCCAAATTTAGGTGGAAATAATATATATTATTGACATAGCATAACTTTGATGGTGACGGACTCAACATTCCAGATTACTACTTTGCAACAGAAGAAGTACGCTAAAATATAATACATACCTAGGTACCTAGGTATATACTGTGGGAGATATCCATCGCGATTACATCTATACCAGGTACGATTCTTGTACTTTCTGCGAAGAGATATACCTAATTACCTACCTAGTACCGACCTAGCAGAGACCTACCTACCTATTCATAACATAGGTAAGCCTATTGAATTATTGCCAAGATGTTGAGATGGATGCCGGTTATGAGTATCATCTTGGCTACCGTGAATTATAAGATTGAGTCACTAGTTCGAGGTACCTACCTACCTAGTAGGTATATAGCGGTTTATAGATACCTAGTTATGTAAGCAAGAGAATACTAGGTACGAATACATGTTAATTGATTGCTTCAATAGGTAGTGATGAGATGTCTCTTTCTCCATCTATAATTCTTCAACATCTCCCGAAGTGCCCCTGAAATACCTCAATAATACACTACGTGGCTTATCGCGCATTATCTACCCAATTATGGGTACATATGCATTTATTGAAGTAACCATTCTTCTAGAATCGCGTAATATCTTGTGCCGAATATGTGATGACAAATTGAAGCGATATAGTTGATTATAAATAGAGCGACTTTAAAATATTACTCAACGCAGTAATCGATGAGCTGATTGATTCGCAATGAGGAAGCAATCTGTCGTCATGGAGTTGTCAACCCCTCAGTAGAAATTAGTGCGTATATCCATATTTATATTTATATCGGTGACCACCCCGCCGAGATGGATTCAAGAATTTCCTCTCATCAGACTTCAACGGCGTCCTGTGCATTATCAACAACAACCCGAACCTTCAGTAAGCCATGGCGGACAAGCTGTACATTTCCGAGACCCCCGAGGACGTCAAAAATGCCCAGGGTCTTCACCTGATCACCCAGAACACCCCTAACGGACAAGCTGTACAGATTCTATTAGAGGAGCTCGGTGAGGCATACGGAACATCATGGACCACCAGCATCATTGATATCTCGACCAACGAGCAGAAGAAGGAATGGTTTTTACGACTAAATCCCAACGGTCGCATCCCCACCCTAATTGATAATAACCAAAGCCCCCCCTTCCCCGTTCATGAGACTTCTGCACAATTATTTTATCTCTTAAAAGCCGCGGACAAGGACAGCAAGTTCGGCTTTACAGATGAGCTAGAACAAAGCGAATCACTCCAGTGGACTTTCTTCTGGCACGGGTCAGGGGCGCCCTACCAAGGACAAACGAATCACTTCAATCGGGTTGCTCCGGAGAAGCTTCCGTGTAAGTTGTTCTTCTACCTCGAAAAGAAAATGAAGCCGGGCGGGAGTGAGAATATGCAGTCTAATAAATATGGAAAGATGCGATCGATCGATTCAGGAATGAGACACTTCGAGTGTATGGCGTATTGGAGATTCGGCTCTCCGGTAAGTACACCGACGAGCCTCGGGAATATCTAGCTGGCAAAGGGAAGGGAAAGTACTCGGTAGCGGACATCAAAACGTGGCCTTGGATCAAGGGATGGGAGAGGAGCGGCTTCACTCGGGAGGAGATCGAACAGTTCCCGCATCTTCTGAAGTGGATTGATCGCATCGCAGCGCGTTCAGCTGTTCAGAAAGGAATTGGCTCCAAGTATATCAAGTCTTAAGCCAGAAATAATTGATGCCTACCTAACCTAGTAGGTGGGTAGCAGGTAGTATTCAAATAGTAATTTGAAAAATCACAGATGTACCTATAAGTCATCATCGTTCGAAATTTGGTACCGGAAATAGTTAGTGTTTGCTGTGGTAGGTAGGTAGGTACCTCCCTAGGTACTTAGGTAGGTGTTGTAGGACCTGAAGGATCACTGTGGCTTCAAAGAGGCGTTAAAATTACTTCGCACCATAGCGCAGGTAAAGACCCTAGCGCCGCTTTGAAGGCCACCTCGGGCGCTGTCGGGTAGTTTCACCAGGAGGGGAAGCAGAAGCAAGTTGCGTCGGGGTATTTCACCCTTCCGACGATGTTCTAGGTAACCTCAAGTGCGTTGTTTTACTCTATTAAGTGTGCATTTCATGGACGCCCAGTATATATCGTGAGAATTATCATGAGTGGGGATATGACGCAATCGACCGGCGTACAGCCAGAGTCGGAGATCAAGATCGAAGATATCTTCGAACCTCACGTGTTAGAAAAGTACGATTCCGATGTTGTAAATTACGTGCTGGAAAGTAGGAAGGCCGGAATACCAGCACAACATGAATGGCGAATCGAGAATATTCGTGCCAATCCTGCTAGATTTGCACCACCGTGGTCTAAGGATGTTACTGGATTCGAGAGAGTTTCCGATAGAGAGATTATATCTCAAGACGGTACCAAGATCCCAATCAAGATCTACCACCCCGACCCTGCACGGTTCGGCGATGGGCCATATGGGTTACACCTGAATTTCCACGGTATGGGCTCTTTTCCGATTGAAAGATTCCGAGACGATCGTCTAACGAAACCTTTATAAAGGTGGTGGCTTCGTGCTAGGTGACTTGACTACAGAGTCCCAGTTATGTTTGAGTATGCGCGATGGCGCAGGCGTCGTCGTGATTGACGTGAACTATCGACACTGCCCTGGTACGTACTATCAACAATCGCAGTGAAATTGCCCACGACTAACATAGCCAACCCGATCAGAGGCTACTTGGGGGAAAGGTATCGAAGATGCCTTTTCCGCATTGTTGTGGGTAAGTGTTATGTTCCTAATACCATGTTTTTTTGCTGCGACTCTCCCTATGAGGAACTAATTGGATGAATTGCAGGCTAGAGAATCAGCGGCCGCCCTAAACGTAAAACTGGATTCGATTTCGATCGGCGGTATCTCAGCAGGGGCGCATATCTCCATCGTCCTACAACATATGGCGCGAGACAACGGGATTCCGCTTAAGCTATGCTTGGCAACTGTACCTCCTTCGGAAGAGACAATGCTATATAAGAGCCCCACCGAGTCTCCTTTTCCATCTTTCACTGAATATGCCAATGGTCCGATTCTCCCATGGGCACGAATCAGTTTCTTTGGAGAGCATTGTTTTCCCGACGACAAAAGGGACGAGATTCGTGCTACAGTACCTGAATGGTGGATTGCACCCATCAAAGCGAAGAATTGGGTCGGGCTATGCGAAACCTTCATTCGTACCGCTGAATGTGATCCCCTGCGAGACGAAGGTGAAGCATTTGGGTTGAAGTTTGTACAGGGCGGAACTAAAGTCGCGATCAAACGGTACCTAGGTTCACCACACACGTTCGCATACTTCGATTGGTTCAAGAAGAAACACGAGTATGATTTAGATACCGTTTCAGCCTTGATACAGGCCCATGGTGAACAATAAGGGGTTCTATCTATATAAGCAATATGGATGGTGGTGCTGATGGGTACCTACCTACCTAGGTAGATAGGTACTAGGTAGGTAGGTAACAGGTATGGTGCAATACATTCTTTTAGTTGTCTGACGCTCATAAGGGTGGGTATCAGAAGCACTCGCTCGAACAACAATAAATCGCTACCTATCTTGGAAACCCGATCGACTTAAATTTCTTGGTCCATTAGTACTCTCTTCGGTGACAGTATATTCTGTCGTAATGACGATTTGATGCTCAGTACTTGCTATTCGCCTCGACGCTGAAGGTGGGGAGGTTCCCACTGATATGACATCGTTGGCCTGGTGCTTTGGTAGATCTATGGAGGCTTCTTCGTCATTCGACGCGGTACCGTTTTCTCTATCGGTCATGATATGATCACTCGACCCCCATCCTCTGTTGTTTGGGTTGGAGAAAGATCGTTGCCGTTGCTGCCCTATAGTCTCAAGACGACCAGGAATACTTCCGAGTTTATAACCCCTACTATCTCCCTGGCTCGTTCCTGGAGGTCTGCTTATACTAAGGCCTCTTTCGACAAAGTTTCTGAATATCGGGTATACCATCGGCATGTTGGTCAAAACGACGGAGACGAACGATTCACGAACGGACCAGTAGCCTGACTGCGCCGGATCGGTATCACCACGCTACACAAATTTGATCAGTCCGGATTCTATAATGAATGTGATTCACAGCGCATTTGGAGGCGTTAAGTCGATATATGGGAATGTGCAACGATATACGTGAGGAGTAAACTTACCGTCAATATAGAAACGCATCGTAAAATGCCAAATGTCATCTCAAGGAAGCCACCACTAAACATGATTAGAAGTACAAGCTTCTTTCTCCATGGTAGATGCGCAATCCAAACCATCTAGATTACCAGACCTGGTTAGTTTACTCTGTCAAAGCCAAATTCACGTGTATGTAGCTAATTGACTAACTGGTAATGGTATGGCCATTAGATAGAAGTCAGTGATGGTGTTCATGACCATTACATAGACGGTCTGTAGAGTTGAGATAGCCGGCATGCAGTGGTCTGGGATCTCTATTTAGTACTTAGGTACCTAGTATAACAGATTTCGAGTGCGTAGGTACGTTAAGGGGTAGAGGAGGTGTACCTACTTCCTGGAGAAGGATTAATCTGCCATTGGTGGTTGAAAGGAATACATTTCAGGAAAGCGACGAGCAGACAAGATATGTAAGTGGATAGGACAATAGCCGTGCCCCAATGTATCAGTTTCTTCATGTTATTGATCCCATCCCTTAGTATGTAGATGTCAGTATTGCATTATTTGCCAAAGGTATTGGATGGACATACGTTAAACGGGAGTAATATACCACCCAGCACGCTTTTAATAACCAGAGAAGCGTAGTATAAAGAAGAAGACCAATTACGTGAGTCTTCGACCCATTGACTCTGAGATGCCATTCGTGTGATTGCGGGTCTAGAGCTGCACGCTCTTCATCTGTCAAGGCGTTATTGGCAAGACCGTGCCAGAATGCCACGACCAGATATGCCATGAGTGACTCTGCAGTATATACCACCTGGACACGATTAGGTTAGTAGGGAGATTTCGAAGAGTCAAATGCTCAATTACAGGATAGAAACTTACAATAGCTAAGAGCATGATCGCATCGTCCCATGATAGGCTTCGCCATCCCAAAGTTGAAATTCTGCTAAAGTAGCGAAGACCAACTACAAGGTATGCGGTCCCTTGCAGACCCCAAACTTCCCGAACGAAAGCTGTCTCGGACTCGCCAGGCATCGTTGACTTCCCATAAAATACCGTTATATTGATAAAGGTTCCAGCAAAGCGAAGGTTGGCCTAAGATGTAAGTTATCAGGTAGACCAAGAGCATGCCATCCACTTAACTACGGCAACCCAACACTCAGGGGTTTCTGTCGGGCTTGCACCTTCATCGTTTAGGGGAAGTGATTTCACACGGTTTGCCTAAGATCCGGAATTAGGTGTGGTAACGATGTCAGTTATAATAATGATTCCAATAGACGTGAGAATGTGTCTCTTTAGAAACCATGATCCCATGCTTTGAAATCTAGTTGTCGTCACCTTTTCCCTGCTAGTAAGTTGCGATTAATCACAAAATCAGCCCATACCAACTTGCTAAAACAAGTATCTTGAAGATACGGCCAGTCAAGGGAAGCGAAGATAGTTGATAGTGTTTGTCGTCTTGTAAGACGTAGAGATATTGGAAATACGGGAGTGGTTTGTTAAGCTACCTAGGTTGTCTGGACTTCATGCATGTGCCCATCAAGCTATCGGTGCGGCCACTAAATGCGGACTGGATCCGTAGGTTTTACCTGGCGCCCGGATATGTGGTACATATTCCATGACTCGGTTGCCTTTTCTGGTAGGAATACCATAATTAACCTTCCACAGGGCTGAAGAAGCATGTTATACACGTTTACTTACCGTATTATGACGTCCCGATGAAATGAATTTAATTATATCGGAGCTGAATACTTTGACAACATGACTTACAACCCAAGAAGAAAATAAGGTTGGTAGACTTTATTAATTAAAGGATAAAGCTAATTACATATTTAGGGCGGTCATATTTGAGACCGTCGTTGCCAAGTCGGCGGATGATTCGGTGTGGCTGAAGGTTCCCCGGAGGCAACGCATCGATCTTATGCGGCCAAAACTCTAGTTAAAGATCAATCTGGCGGGCTAATATCCGCTACATACTCCCTACCTGTCTGCCTACTAGGTAGGTAGGTAGGTATCTAGTAGGTAGGTTGGCTCGGACCAAGGCGGAAAGTGATGAGCCACCGTAGCTTATATTAATGACACAAAGTGCAAGATTCCTACGTCGTAATTAGTCCGAATTTGGGAGGACTTCATGAGCTCACCGTAAGCCACATTTCTCAATCACTTGCCATATTAATTAGCTTTTCTTTCCTAGGCAGTCAGGCAGCCAGTCAGTCAGCCAGTCAGCCAGTCAACCAGCCAATGGGACTCTATGATCTGATCCAAGTGTTATGAAGCTGGGAATAGTGGGTCAGATGTATCTAGGGAATGAGATATTTACCTACCTAGGGTAGACACCCATAAATCAGCCACATAGTAAACTACTACGTACGGTGGAAACTAACGACAGGAAGTACAGCAGCTTCGTGTAACGAAATATATGCATTAAAATCTTACAGACGGAACCCTAACTAATCAAGAGCTATTGATCATTAGGCCGCAACAAAGACAAGACAGTGGTGGCGCCAAGTTCTTTGGAGTAGCAAACAGATCGTGATGCATGATCGCCCTTCAAGAAATCGATCAATTCACCAATAGATAGGTAACTTCTGAATAATGATTACGATACCTCGCTCATGTTTAATTTGTATTCCTCTATATGATGACAAAGAACCTTTCTCGGCATTCGTCCCGAATAGTTATAGGCTTGCAGGCTTACACACCACTGTATGTGTTCAGCGGGCATATTGCTGCAGAATCGGATACGCCTAGGTGCCCCTTATTACGCGCATGCTGTTCCCCATATTTGAGGGGTGCTACGGCGTATTCATGTTATCCCTTGCTCTACAGGAAGTCCCAAGAGCACCGGCATGCTAGTCGGCATCGATAGTAGCCAATTATATCTCGTTTAATGCATTTAAGTGTGGAGGTAAGGATGTGTAAGATCGTCTGAACCTGAAGGCCTTCGACCCCACGATAGTGGTTTTGACCTGTCAGGATCTTTTCTGACTAGGGTCACATCCGCATCCTAGCTACCTCCTAAGATCATATTGGTGGCGCTACACTTCATGGTATTACAACATGTCTTCCAACGATATCATTTTTAGAATAATATCTCTCACGATGTCTCTGGCGATCTTCTTAGATCGGTCTTACCCGACCGCCATTTCAGCGAGTGGCCTATTTTATCTTTGCTCTTACTCTTTCGTTCTTAAGTTCAACTCATAGGATACCTATTCTGTCGCACACTTTTTGCTGGTTGCAAGGTCATCGAATTTCTAGCGATAGCACGATTTAAACTTTTGGAAAGATACTAGGTAGGTACCCAGGCTGCCAGAAAACAAGAGTCAAGATGGCTACCAACGAGAGCTTACCAGAATCCAACGTGGATGTGTACGTTTACCCGGTTCTTGGGTTCTGTAATCGTAGATGCTGATCTGTATCCAGACTCATCATTGGTGCCGGGCCCGCGGGGTAAGTTATCCTACCTGTTCCACATGCTGTTCCTTTCGGACTTCGGGCTGACCGTCAATGGTCGTGCAGGTTGATGTCCGCTTCCTGGATGGCTCATTGCGGTGTCACAACCCGTATCATTGATAAGAGAAACAACAAGATATACTGCGGTCAAGCAGACGGACTGCAATGTCGCAGTTTAGAAATATTCGATAGTCTAGGATTTGCAGACCGGGCATGGAAAGAGGCGAATCATATGATCGAGGTAAGAATACCTATCTAGTTGATGGAACGGTTTATTAACTGGCCTGCTTTGTTCAGATATGCATGTGGGTGAGTACAGCGTAGTCTCATGCGTATAAGACGCCGTGTTAATGATCTGCTTAGAACCCTGGACCTGACGGTATTATTCGTCGTTCAGACCGCATCCCAGACACCATCGTAGGGCTTTCCCGGTTCCAGCAAAGTGTTATCCACCAGGGACGAGTTGAGCGATTCTTCCTTGATAATATCAAAAAGTACTCAAAGAACACGATCCAGGTCGAACGTGGGGTTCTCCCTGAGTCTCTGGAAATTGATGAACCAAAAGTTGAGGATGAGTCTGCTTATCCAGTCACCGTGAAATTACGCCACCTCACCGAGGAAGAAGCTACCCCTGAGCAGCAAGTCAATGGAAGCAAGGTTGCAGACGGCATTTTCCGAAGTAACCTGATCCAGGAAGATGATGAAGATGACTTGATTCAGAAGAGCAAGTTAAGGGAAGGAACAGGCGAGATTGTCCATGCTAAATATGTCATTGGATGCGATGGTGCACGTAGTTGGACTCGCCGAGCACTGGGTTTCGATTTGCAAGGAGAGGCAACCGATTTCATTTGGGGTGTTCTGGATATTATCCCAATCACAGACTTTCGTAAGTGGTTTTGCATGGACCTTTCTACGAGCTTGGGCTTTGGCTCTATAGCCTGACCAATACAATCTAGCCGACATTCGAATGCGATGTGCGATCCACTCTGCCGAGATTGGTAGCTTGATGGTTATCCCACGAGAGAACAAGATGGTGCGGTTGTATATTCAACTGAAGGAGGTTACCCCTGATGCCTCCGGTCGCGCCGATCGATCTAAGATCACCCCTGGATCCATTCTGAATGCCGCGCAGAAGATTCTAAGTCCCTACCGAATCGACTACGAATACTGTGATTGGTGGACCGCCTATCAGGTATGTCCCCCTGCTGATACCAGCACCGTATAACTATCAGGAATTCACCAAAGTACTTTAGATCGGCCAGAGAGTCGGCTCAAACTTTGACGCCCACAAGCGCGTCTTCCTCGCCGGAGATGCCGTGCATACACATTCTCCCAAGGCTGGTCAAGGTATGAATGTCTCTATGCAAGACGCTTATAACCTTGGGTGGAAAGTGGCCCTTGTTTCGAAAGGCATCGCCAAACGGAGCATCCTAGATACCTATGGAGGTGAAAGGCGCCGCGTAGCTCAAGATCTTATTGATTTTGACCATCGCTTCAGCAGGCTATTTTCTGGGCGACCAGCTAAGGATGTTATGGATGAAGAGGGAGTCAGTATGGAAGAATTCAAGGATGCTTTTGAGAAAGGAAACAGGTTCGCATCAGGCCTAATGGTAAACTATGGCCCAAGTGAGCTCGTCGCCAAAGCACCAGAGCCTTCGGAGAGAGGCCACCAAGGAGATGTGGGCAGCTCAGCGGTAACGGGATCATCGGCCGACGCATTCGCGAAGAAGCAAGCCTTGGCTCCCGGCCTTCCCATCGGGATGCGTTTCAACAGTTACAAAGTACTCAACCAGTCAGACGCCCGGCCATGGCATTTGCAAGAGAAGCTTAAGTCGAATGGTCGATTCCGTGTCGTCCTTTTTGCGGGTAATATCTCAAATCTCGATCAGGCAAAACGAGTTGAGAAATTTTGCGAAGATCTCGATGCGCCAACAAGCTTTTATCGCACCGCCAACCCCGCCGGATCGTCGTTGGACACGGTGATTGAGGTGCTGACGATCCACTCAGCTAAGAGGACGGAGACAGAGTTGATTCGGGACTTCCCCGAGGTCCTTCATCCCTTCGATCCACACACTGGATGGGACTATGATAAGGTATTCGTAGATGATGAAAGCTATCACGAAGGGTTTGGAGATGCCTATACGAACTACGGTATAGATAAGGAGCGAGGTTGTGTTGTCGTGGCAAGGCCTGATCAACACGTCGGTTGGATTGGAGAACTCGAAGACTTCGATGACTTGCAAAAGTATTTTGAGGGCTGCCTCATACTCAGCCCAAAGGTATGATTTAGACAACGTTTATACCCAAAGATCGTGTTTGAAAAGACGTACACACTAGCCGGACAAGACAAAGGAGTCAAATTTGGAATCTACAGAGCAGTGCAGATAGAAAGTGAAAGCATTCATTCTGTTATCATATCTCATCCGACATTCGTTCCACCGGATCGGTGCAATTTCAAATCCAAACAATGCTGGACCCATCAGTATAGAGGTATTTTATGAAATTTTTAACTTGAATTCTTGAGTGGTGGCCTTTTAATACACAAACTTGAAATGCAGCTCGTCGTAGCTCTCGCGTTGAGCATCTGTCATCTTTGCACGAGCCGCATCGCGTCTTCTATTCATTAGAGATAGAAGCGAAAATGCAGTACACGTGAGAATGAAGCCCAGTATCGTGAAGGCAAGGCCAGTGTGGGACCCTGTCGGATATCGCGGTCGCTCAGTGGTGATGAAGACATTGGAGCTGATGAAATTGGCACAGTTACCGAAGCCAACCATCCAAGCCATACCAACGGCCAGGAATTTGCGACCACGAAGATTGGCGCTGAGCCAACCCATCAGAATCGACATCTGCGGGAAAGTACCAGCTGACATGAAGAATAGCGACATATACCGTATTCCAGCCACTTCGACATATTTTACCATAATACCCCAACCCACAAGCTGTAGGCAAATGGCGAAGAGAAGGAAGGGTGTGCGAAAATTGAGACGCGACGAAAGCCAAGTGATTGTGAAAGTCGAAACTATACCAGCGCCCCAAACTGGCATCGTCATGAGTTGAGCAACAGTCGTGACATATCCAAGTTCTGTCAAGATTGTAGGCGCGAAGGAGGCTATCGACGAGGCCGTTACGTCGCAACAGAAGAAGCACATAGTCAGGAGGTGTATCCTCCAATCCGTCAGGACCTTCCAGATGGGAACGTTATCGGCAGCTGAACCCTTAGTCTCGGCACCGCGGGAAACCTCGAGCTGGGATATGAGGCGATCACGTTCCTGGGCCGTCAAAAACCACGATTGGGCTTGATGGGGGAAGTTGGGGCACAGCCAGATGACGAAGAGGGATATGAATACCGTCGCTATGCCTTCGATGATAAATATCCAACGCCATCCCTGGTAACCTCCCGCACCATTGATATTCTGAATAGCATACGCTAGCAGACCCGAGAACAACGGTCCTGCGAGAGCAAAGTTAAAGAACCAGGCAAATCGGACGGCTGCCTCACGTCTCGTGTAATACATCGATATCATATAAGTCGCGCCAGCTGGGAGGGAAGCTTCGAAGATTCCTAGAAGGAAGCGAACGGCCAGCAGTCCACCGTAGCTCTGAGTCAAACCCTGGCACATACCTAGGATACCTACAAAGCTGTCAGCATCGAGTAGAGCGCGACGATTAACTGTCTAGGCCCATTGGCGGAAGAGTGACAAACCTAGGAGGAACATTTGGCCACCAAGCCAGATGCCGGGACGAACCTTGTTCACGTTAAGGATCAAGTTGGCCGGGACTTCGGCTAGGACGAAAGGAATATAGAATATCCAAAGCGCCGTATTATAACCATTAGATGGCATATGAAGAGCCCCTTCTAAGCCATCAGGTTTCCCGATACCTAGAGCACGCGCGTTTGCGATATTGGTCCGATCCAGAAATAACACCATGTATAAAACTCCCATGATTGGCACGATAACCAAATCTCTCTTCCATAAAATTGCACGGTCTAGCTTCTGCTCTTCTTCCGTCGAGATGCTCGGAAAATCGCTGAAGCTGCTACCAGTCTGGCCATCGCTCTTCTCTTCCAACTTCAAGTCCTCCTCCCGTGGAACGGATTTCGAAAACTCGCCCATCGTTGTGATCCAGGAATGAGAATAGCGACGCGTAAAGGGTACAATACGTATAATTAGCGAAGCTGCCCGCGGGGGTAACCGTTAAGAACACCGGCCTAGCAGCCGCGTGGCTCGCGTGCAACAAGAATCGAAGAAGAAAAAAGCAAAAAGGATGAAGATAGCAGAATACTAGGTAGTGATCATGATACTTCCCCAACCAGGTAAAAGTAGAAATCATTACTCACAGAATATGAATGTAGATATGTATATTACCAGTCATATTTCATATTTCCCCTGTCATCTCGGTGAATTAACCCCATCCCGACATCAACCATAACCCGCCTGCCCGCGCGATATTTTGGTCCAGCAAATCAGACCACTCGGTCTTCTGCATGTCAATCCGGTATTGATCAACTTTAGTTCTTATGGCGTGTGCGTCGTCTACATGGGGTAGTAATGGTACCGGCGATCGCATCTTGCGTTTTAGCTACCTAGGTAGGTACCTAGACGAGGTAAGTTCGTTTTTGACTGATATTCTAAAATACGCCAAGGGTTGTGAGGATCAGGACTATTCCTAATAGAAGATGGTCTGCATGGACTAATCTTTTCTTTCCCATCATCTCATATCCTCACTGCCTCATTCGTATTAGGGCACAATGCTCCTAAACGGGAATCATGTCGGCATTTTCTCTTTTTAGAACTTTTAAAAGTTGAGAACCAAACTTCGTGGGATTCGAAATGAATACGCAGTATTTTCACTTATTTAACTCCATATATGCATGCACCTGTCCCCTTGTCGTTTCCCTGTCCGTGGGTACGTACATACCTAGGTAGGTAATCTGCTAGTCTACTAATGACTATGAACGGCACGAGCTGACGAGGTCTCTACTATGTACGAATCTGGGTTACCCCCACTGTAATTCAATGCGCTCAGTTCCTGAGCTGTGCCGTTTCTACAGTTATCTCGGCTTAGATTTGAGAATTTCGATAATTTCCCCAGGAAAAGCAGCTTGCGCAATTGACGGATGACACGGTAGCGTGACAAATCTGTAGCTAACATATTTTCCTAGTAATATGTACTCTGTAATTGGCGTTTGTTACCATCGTTTACATATATGTACCTTAGGTACCTAGGTAGGTAAAATCCACGTGGGGGCCCGGTGACCCTGAAGATCAGTGATTAGATACATGCGTTGTACGAAGGTTCGGGCCAAAAGTTTAGACCATTAATCAGGGCCTTACATACAGTATACCTGTAACATCCACACTATACGGCTTAGATCCACGACTAAACTAAGAATAATAGTTTTTATACCTTCCACATAAAAATTATAATATATTTAGTATTAATATTATTAATATATATTTAAAATATATTTTAATTATTATTTATTAATATATTTTAAATAATTTATTTTAAAACCCGTCGTTTTTATTTAATAATTTTTTTATTAATTTTAGAAAATATTATTTTTATATTAATAAAAAGTTTTCGTATAAATTCTTTTAATTTTTTTTTCGATTCGTTTAATAATTAAATTTTTTTTTTATAATTATTATTTTTTTTAAGATAAATTATTTAAATAAAGTTACTATAAACTTTATTAACGTAATATTATAAATTTTTTAACGAATAAAATCGTTATATTTCTTTTTAAATTTTTTCGATAAATTAATAAAATTTAATTTTATTTTTTTAATTTATTATAATTTTTAATTAAAATTAAAATAATTTAATTACGAATAAATTAAAGGAATTAAATAATTATATTAAGGTTTTAATTTTAACTTTTTCTTATTTTTTTTTATATTAACGAAATATATAAAAAAAAGCGTTATTTTTTTAAACTAAAAAAATTATTTCGAAATATTTTTTTTTTAATTTTAAAAAAAACGGAATATATAAAAATTTTAAAACTTTTTCGCGATATTTTATTTAATTAATCCCATTATTTTTATTATTACGAATTTAAACATTAATTTTATTAATAAATTTTTAAATTAACTTTTTACCACTTTTATTACGATTTAAATTAAACTTTTAAATAATTATTTTAATTTTTTATTATTTTTAAATTATTAATTTAGCTTTAACGTTATAATTATTTATTATTACGGTATATTTTTTAGTTATCGTAATAATTTTTTTAAATTAATAATAATAAAACTTTTTTTCGAAATACGAAAAATATACTTAAAATATAAACTTTATACGCTTTTTTTAACGTTAATAAGTAACTTGCGAATTATTTATTTCTTAAAATCTTCGTTAAACTCGTTAACGTTTATAATAATAACTTAAAATAATTAAAGTTTTATTATTTTATACTATTTAGTAAAATTATTTAACGATTTAATTTTTTATATAAATATAAAAATTATATTTTATAAGCTTTTAAGTATTATTTAAACTTAATTTTATTATTAATTTAATTAAATTAAAATATTCTTTAAAAAAAATTCGTAAAACTATTTTTTTAAAAATAAGATCGTTAAAATTCTTTTCCACTAAGTTATTAATTATAACTTAAATAATCCACTTTCGCGTCTTATAATTTCGTATAATAACTTCTATTATATTCTTAACTTTCGCTTCGACTTTAAAAGATTTCCCGCCGCGCAAATTATTAATAACGTATTTTTCGAAAACAGGGCCGCCGACGACATAACCGCGATCCTTAACTCTTCGCAATAACTTCGAGAAGCCAAAAAGAATAAAACCAGTCACCTTTTTAATAATAACGCGAATTTTACCTTCGCCATATAAAATTAACGCTTAAAAATAAAACCCCAAATCCTTAAGCTTTTTACCCATCCTCGATTAATATCCCAGTTAACTAAGCTCTATTTTAATATAAAATTTATATAAGATTCCCTAATAAAACATTTACAAGAGTAAAGTTTTTATTACCCCTCCCTAGTAGAAACCTAACGTATTCAAACCCACAAAAAATCCCGCACTATAGTAGGGCCCTGACTAATAGTCTAAACTTTTGGCCCGAACCTTCGTATCACCATCCCGAAACTACATATTGGAGTAGAGTTAGAAAAAAAAAGGATTTGATTAACTTGCGTTGGAGTAGGTAGTGAAGTCTCATAAACCAGCGAATAAACATCTATGATGTTTTCTCTTTACATACCTACTGTAGGTACAAGCCGAAATCATTGCCGTCGGTTAGAACGAAGAACCACGGACCGATTTAGAATTTTAGAATCCGAAGTTGCCCAATCGACCGCTATCCCGCACGCTTCGACATTCGACACGAGGCTCTGATAAGGAGCTGAATTGGGGTTGGTAATCATGTCTTATGCGTTCCAGCACGGCGGATACGCCAAGACCATCCCCCTTTTTACGGCACTTGCGGCACTCAACCAGTAGGTAAGCAACCAAGTAACAGTGAGACAATTCTGAATATCTTCTACATACCTAGCTACATACCTAGAAGGCCGGTAGGTACCATACCTACCTAGGTAGTCATTCGCGTGGTAGGTATGCTTCGACATAGGGGCTTCTGGTGAAACCGCTCCAGTGCTGTTTCGCAGCCTCTGATCCTCAAATAACTTACAATCATTGCTCATTTGGTATACTTACCCAGTACTTTACCATAGTACTTCTCCATATTTCCAGATTAAGTATATGTGGTTGGTTCGTCATCATTTTATCTCTTGCGTGCCGCACCCGTGTGGCACAGGTTCGCACCACGCATGTGGTTAGAACTGTAAATCTACGACTTGGCTAGGTACTTGGCTGTGTGGTCGGGCATGTGACTAGAAGGAGGGGCACGGAATAGTTACATTATCACGGATGTTTGCGGATGAAAATCTTGGAAGCGGCAAAAGGCGTGGAGAGAACCTCTGCATAGAATGTTTCTAAAATATTATAATATTATAATATTATTGGTGTCGGTATGCTAATGTAGGTATGTTGGGGTATAAGTATAGGTAGGTAAGGTAACATTCATGAATAACCAATCTAAGTCGTTTCCCCGAGAATGACTACGTGGGCACACGGGATAATTAGCTCACGAAACACTCGAAATGGTGGCGCGTGGCTTGGTTACGTACAATTAATGATATCGGGGGTTCGCAGGTTGTCGGATCTTATCGTTGGAGTAGCCTTTGTCGTGTTATTATGGCGTGATCTGGTTTGAGGCTCTGGTACTTACCTGTGGAAATCATCCTCAGCTTTCTGGATATCCGCTTTAAGATCGTGCTGCCAGATCCAATGCAGTCTTTCATTCGCGTTGTCTTTGATCGCCTCCATATTATCCCCGATCTTCGGATGTTGCCATGTGTAGATAAGTCCCGCCTCGAAGCTTGTGTAGACGACCTTCTGGGCTCGTGGTCGTCGGATCGCGTCATACACTTGGAAGGCGGTTTCGAGTTCATCCGGCGTTTTAATGAGGGTAAGGAGGTGAGAAAGCACAGCCGCATCTTCTAGTCCTTGACCAGCACCAGCTGCCTGATGAGAGCTGCTTGCATGCGCGACATCACCTAGCAAGCAGATCCGCCCCTTATAATACCTAGATGTTTTTGGATGATGCCATGTTGGCCATCTAAGAGGTCCGCAATAATCTAAGAGCTTGAGCAGTTTAGGATCGAACCCTTTCAGGTCTTCAATCATCTCTTCCTTCGTGCAAGATATGGCACGATCTCCTTGAGTCCAAGGCTTGTCATACGTCACGAAGAATACAAGGTTCATGTCTTGTCCACGGGATATTGGATAAGCAGCTAGGGCTTTCCCTTTAGCCATGAAAAACTTAGCATCCCCAGCATGGGTTCCGAGTATCTCCTTTGCTTTTGACATTGGGACGATGCCGCGGTAGATATACATGCCCATGAAAGCTGGCTGGACTTCTTCTGGCTCCGTCTCGCCCAAGACAGCTTGGCGTGTAAGTCCCTTCACACCATCACAGCCTATGACCGCGTCAACCGTCTGAGATGTGCCATCCTCGAACTTGATATGGACTTTCTTTGCCACCTGTTCGAAAGATATCGCGCGCTTTTTGAACTTAACAGATCCTTCGGGGATGAAGCTCTTCATGATCTCTAATAAATCCTTGCGGTGAGCACTGCTTCGTGTGAAATAAGGGGCGCCAACAAGACCGCGAGTCCATCCCCGCTTTTGACCAAATCCCTCTTCAGCATATAACGCGTCGAAGATGCTGTGCTCGAATTCCGACTTCTCGTTTTGCGTCTTGACTTCGTCATACTTTTCCCGGAATACATTATCGACCAGGTCCATAGCATTCAAAGCGTTGGGACCTAAACCAATGCCGGCTCCGACGGCAGAGAATTGTTCAGCCGCATCGTAAACTGTCACAGGTATATTACGCTTGATAAGGCCGATAGCGAGGGCCAAACCGCCGATACCAGCACCGATAATGGCTAATTTAGGATGATCCTGAATAGACGATTCCATTCTCTTGGCACTCTGATGGTCTCCTCCTAGTCGTATGTCGTGAAATATTTGATGGGATCTTGGGATTTCGTGAAAATGATGCCCAGTAACACCTTAGATGATGCTATAACTCCTATTCGTATGTCTATCTAAGTAGGTAACACATGCAAATGCTAAAAGAGCCAATAGGGTAGTTCGTTCGTGCCGCAGTCTTCAAGTTTAATGAGTTCTAAAAAGTTGCTTGAGATTTCCAAGTGTCGTTGCTCGTCCTATAAAAGGGGTTGTTCGTTGCGGTAAGACTTCTAGAGGCTCGATTTTGCCTAGAGAATATCTTTCCCGACTTGATCAGTCGGACGAGATACCGAAAAGCAACATAGGGTAGCCGTCGGCATCATGCCATTGAAGGGAAAGACAGTCCGAAAGTGCAACCGAAGCCGAATCGCACAGCGACTCAGTGGCACATTCGCAATTTACAGGATAACCCGGCAAACGGGAATGCGCTGTATTAGTGCGTTCGGCCGCGCAAAGGCACTTGTTCGCTGTCACTAACGGGAGCCAGGTTCCGATGGGGTGGCCCCGTAAGACACGAGACTCACGACTCAATTGGAGATTATAGACGTGTATAACAATCGAAAGAAGAGCTGTGGAATCGACCGAATTCGAAGCAAACACGACCATGTTATACGTATGCCGGCCAATGAGTGCGACATTGGTGGTGCTCTGGACGAGCCGCAACTACCACACATCTCTCCATTGTGGCTTGAGTTTCAACGCAGGTAATTCAAGTTCCGTCGTAGCCCATGTTGTAGGGGGGGTAGTATGAGTAATGTGATGATTAGACCAATGACTTGAGAACGCACCCGGTTCTCCATTCCAGACGAACGGTGATATATACCCTGAATGAAGGATCGAGCCCAATCGGTATATATCATGATGCCGCAGATATAGGGATTTCGTGGGGGTTGCCTTGCAGGGCTTCTTGCGGGGAACCCAGAACGACGGCTACCAGGTACTGAGACATGCCAGGTGAGTGAGACATGCGGCTTTTCTTTCTGTTTGGCCTAGCAGTGAAAACAGCGCTAAGCCTAAGCTCAGCAGCATCATAGTGCAGATACCTACTTCGTACAAACGATCATGTCATCTACATAGTACATCGTCGCGAAGTAGTATTTTATACGTTTGACTTAATATTACCAAGGACTCGGCCAAGTATTGGTACACTGAGGAGTAATCCTTCGGTGCCGGATTTAGTCGAAACGATGTGGGTAGAAATAGAAGGTGGATATGGAAAGGATGCTGCTACAGCGTATGGTAGGAACTTATTTCTGCTATTTTCGACAGGCAACCTACCTACCTAGGTACCTATCTACTAGGTAGGTAGGTATGCGGATTTATTAATGGAATATGGGTACTAGGTATTCAGATCGTCATACATACAGGCTGACAGGCGCATATTCTGAAGCTGCTTTAAATTCTCATGAAGAAGACTAACTGAACTGGTATTAGGGCTTCATAATTGATGAGGAACGAACTCGGGACTGGATAGGAAAGTTGCCTTTTTAGTCGTTGGGATATGCCGTCGGCTACAGCCCGTGCAGGGGACTATCGAACTGGTTCCAGTGTTTTCTGGCGCACGGCTCATCCCCAGGTAGCAGTGCCAGCAGTGCTCGCTCCTCTGTAAACCTGGGCAGTCTGTGGGTTATCCGCCCACACGGCTCCTGGGCTCGGTCTGTCAATATTGCTCAAATCACTCCGGCAGTCCGATCACGACATTAATTGCTCCTCTTTCAATATGATAAGGAATTTATACTACTTCCGCTCCGGCGACTTGCTTCATATCCGTAAGCTTCTTTGTAACATACGTTGACGACACTTCTGATATTATACACCTATCGTTGAGCCAGTGGTAAGCAGAAGGGAGAAAGACCATCACACCGCCAATCATCGATCACTACTAGCAAGACCTAGTCACTAAGAAGGATCCAATACCTTCTTATTCTTATTATTTTTTTGTGAACCGAGGAGAAATCCTTTCCCAGGAACATCGTTGCGAGAACTCCCTAAATGGGATCCTTAGGATTTATATACATACCTACATATTGTCGATATTGAAGATTATTAGATACTCCCTAGTCCCCCGCTCGCCCAGCCCCATCGGATTCGACACTCCCGCATCTACAGGTATGTTGAACCGTGGTCCTTGGGTTACTTTTCTCTTTTTTTTTTGTGACAGGTCACTATTTGCGCCACTTTGGTTATGCTCGTTGGCCACCAGGACTTACCAGGACTGACTAATCTCCTTGATTGCAGAGGACTTTGCGGTTTTCGGAAGTAAGAAGCCTTCGGAGACAGTAACTGCGGTTTCAGACACAGTTTGGCGCCGGCTGTTCTCGTACATAGACGCCGCCCACGCATGCTTTTTTCGCTTGCCTCGTTCCGAGGCTGGTCTGAACTCTGATGGAAATATCCATATTCACCGACAGATCGAGCTGAGCTCGGGAGATTCCACCACGCCGGTCTCATTTCGAGTGGACAGTGGACAGTAGAGTGGACAGTATCGGTTAGGTCACCGAACTCGCGGAACTGCCGCACCGTCGTCGCGCCTCATCGCACCCACCTGGCCCGCTTGCTTCCGACGCTATCATAGTCCGTCGCTTCTTAGGAAAGCCCTTACCGAAATCCCTGCACCTGACTGAGATCATTACCAATGTCTCACATCGACTCTGGCTCTTCTCCGGACGCGACCGGCTCTGGTCAAGGCACCTCGCCGCCTGCGCCGACTCCAGAAAACAAGTCAGCAGTGCATCGTAAGCCTGCCAAACGAGAACGTGTCGCTCTGGCTTGCCAAAGGTAAGACAAGCTCGCTCGCACCTACACATGCCACGGGTCTTCCCAACTAAAGAATCAATTACTAATATCTTCAAGATGTAAAACAAGAAAGCAAAAGGTATGTTAGTCATCAAGTCCGTTCCATGGCGCTGGTACACATGTCATGTTGCACATTGTGAATAAGCCTCATCTAACATGTCCGCGTCACAGTGCGATGGTCAACGGCCAGCCTGCGGGTCATGTGCTCGCCTATCATTGAAATGCGGTAGGTAATTTCCATTGGCTTAATAAACCTAAGTTTCTACCTACCTACCTACCTACCTACCTAGTAGGTAAATATACTAAACACAATTTTATCATTAGTTTATATCGTCCCTCTCGTACCCGCAGCTGGGGAAAAGAAAATTTATATCAAAGCGCTCGAGCATCGCATTGCCGAGCTAGAAGCATACCTCTCTGCACTAGGCCATCCTAATATCGGTACTAGCCAGCTAGGTCGTTTAGGGCAATCAACATCTTCGCAGAATGTAGCGATGCTACCGGTTGGCCATTCGGGTCAGGGGCAGGTACCTACGTTAATACCCGAACAGACCCAACGGAATGACGAAGAGGAAACCAATGATGTTTTACTCGCTGTTAGGGACCTATCGCTTTCAGCTTCCGGTCACTATGTCGGAGCCTCTTCGAATATTTCCATAGGACGGGTACTGAGTTCCTTCGTAACCAGCCAGAAGGCATCAATGCCGGGTATCCATGAAGATCAGTCCGCTCAGGGAGAGGATGATCCGGCACCAAAATCCATCTACACGTCAAATGCCGGTGACATGATTGGAGTTCCATTTCTGAGTCCCCAGGTTGCCGGGAGGCTTTTACATGGCTACTTTCGGCACATCTGCACAAGGTACCCCATGTTGCACTCAACTGAAGTGGTGAGGCTTCACAATAACCGGGACCACCTCACAGACGAATACGAGCAGACTATATTACATTTGGTATACGCAGTGAGTGGTAGGTGGCTGGAATCTGCAGGCGAAATGGGGCATTTCTTTAGTGACCAGCATTACGAATTTGCTTTTGAAGAGATGGAATCTATGCTCCGTCTGCGGGACGGTCGAACGGTGAATTACTTACTACTTATGGCCTTGTATTGCACAAGAGCCCCTAAGGACCCCGGGGCCTGGACCTACGTGGGAGCTGCTATGAGATTATGTATAGAATTAGGGTTACATCGTCGACCCCGGAGACAACAACCCGGCGTCGAAGGCGAGATGGATAAGCGACGATTTTGGACGGCATATTTCCTCGACCGCGATATTTCCATCGCCGTGGGGCGTCCCCCTAGCATATCAGATCACGATATCGATGCAGAGCTGCCTCTTGATATCAACGAGGATACACTAGACAGCGAGGTCATTCGCCAAGCCGCAATGCGTGCCAACGATATCCCGGTCTGTCCTTCTAGCACGTTAACATCTTTCATCCACCGGACCCGGCTCAAGCGAATAGAGTCGGAGATCCAACATAACGTTTACAGAGTCGATCGACCAAACGACGTCTCGGATGCCACTATAGGCGAATTCCTCAACAGACTCAATGCCTGGAGGGACGCCATACCTTTTGAGACGACCCACTACGTTCACAAACAGGAGAACCCCTTCGAGGGCGCGGAGTTGTACACACTTCATTATTACCGATGTGTTCGCTTCTTATTATACCCGCAGCTAGCTAAGATCCCGGTAAACATGCACTATTTAAAACTTACCGCCGATGCCTGCATAGGCATCATCACAGATTATCGAAAGTTGCACCAAACTTTCCCGATTGGGTTCTCAGCGTTGTCTATACAATCCGTCTTTTTGGCAGGTAAGTAATCCTCGCTAATATATCACTTGCTGTTCAACCTACCTAGGTAAGTACACTTACTAACATGAGATAGGCCTCACTCTGATATACTGCGCATGGCTAGCTCCTATGAATTTCATCAACGTCGAGGTTCCGCTGACAGATTGTCAAATTCTTCTGTATATCGTTACGGAACGTTACCCGTCGGCCAGGAAGTATCGTGACGTGTTCGAGCGTATTAAATCGTCCATAATGGGAATTATCGCACAGGGAAAGCATGAGCCTCGAAACCCAGTGCAGATAGATCCGAATGTCCAAAAGGGATTTGCGAGCTTCGAAGGACAGTGGGCTCCAGGCATGGGCGCCGACTTCTCTTATATGGTCAACGCGATGACAGGGAATATGACTGTACCTCAATTCGACATGACCATGGATCCATCAACGACAGGGTTGGTTGGCGGACACCCCGACCAATCTACATCGAACCTTGACCAATATCAAGCGGTTTGGTCCGGGATGCAGCATCCGATGCCTCATGAATTAGGTGATGTGAATAATCTTGGTGTAATGTACCAATGATCACATTTCCCGGCTGCTAAAAATAATCAATGTCGATATCTACCGGTTGAGGGCGCGGGATATACCACTATGTAATGGTGCTAGGGACTATAGGTACCTGGAGTGTGTTATAAAGATTTGGTTTCGAGGCAAGGTCCGTCCTAGAATGACGATGACCTACCTCCTACCTACCTGGCAGGTAGGCATGCAATAAAACATCAAAATAGACGTCGAATCTACCCCGGTCTCCATCTCGGTGATTTTCTTTTTTTAGTAATTTCCCACGGCATATATCTCCGCCAAATTACCTAGGTACCTACCTGCCCCTGCTCCCTCGAAAGTCTTTATGAAGTCAACTTAGCCCCACCAAACCCCATATCAAGGCCTCGTTTCTGTCGATTCTGACATACGTAGGGGCATTATCTCCGGCTTGAGGCTTGACACGTCATTAATCCCTAGGTACAAAACGAGTAACCGTGCCGAGCCGCAGATGCAGCCGCTTCACTATCGGATAGATACTCCCGACAAATGCCACGCTAAAGTAACGCCGATCGATGAATAGTTTATCAACTTTGTTCTCTTTTCCTCGTTACCTGCATCATAAAACTGCCGCCTTCGTAGTCTCTAGCTTGTAAACTATCGTCGATCCCCTTCTAGGATGTCTGCTCTTGAAGATACATCAACATAACCTGATGGAGGACGAGCGGGCAGAACTAGGCGTTCCGTGGCGTCGGTTTGTCTCAAGAATGGTTGGCGAGGCGCTTAGCGATCCAGCTGCCAGCGGATGCGGGAGTTCCAGTCAGCACAGCGACGCGGGTAGATAAGGGTTTGCTGAAATGTCCGAGTTAATGCGACCGTTGAAGCTATATCAGTCAAACGCCAACCTCACCAATTTCTATGGTTACCTAGGTACCTTAAGCTGCTAGTATTCGTCCTTACTAGCACGTTGTCATCATCTTGCTTTTTGATCACACACTCTAATAAGGATCGTCGATAACGCCGTCTGGTCAGAAGGGTCGTACCACATCGGGGAGCTGTCACTCGAGCTCTTCAAGGTACCTATCAGCCTCTCAGGAATTATAGCAGAACGGCATGTCTAGGTAGATACCTAGGTAGTAGGTACCTAATTGGATGATAACAGGCTATCAACGGAGTACCGAGGGTTGGGCTTCTGCCTCCTCGAATATTTGAATAGACATTGAATGAGGCTTTCGGAGTTATTCAATCATTAGGTAGATAGAAGTGAGTTGCAATGCTACCTAGTATGGTAATTGATGAAGTACCTACCAAAGTAGATAGGTACCTAATACCGAACGACGCAAGAAGCGCCATCATAGCTTAAAAAAACAGGCCAAGTACCTAGATTGCATTGTAACACCCACACTCCCTTACATAAGACATACATGAAGTTCGTGAAACGAGGATCCGAGGTAAATATTTCAAATTTATGCTATTGGATGGACGGCCATAAGCAGCGAATACCTTGCTGGGCATGTAAGGAGAAACTTTCGACATTATTCCAATGTGCCATGTAGGTAGGTAGTAACCTCATATAACCACTACTTCCCAGCATCTTTCAACTTGTTTTCGTACTCTCCTGGCGGAAGCGGACCATAGTCACCTGCGGCTTCGACCTTACCCTCATAGCCAACGGCTTTAGCGAAGTCCGCTAGAAAACCCCATCTTACTTTCTTGACCCAGCCTTTCTTCATGAAGTCATTCGCGGGTTTAGGGAAGAAATCCGCCACACCTAGCAGGTAATGCTCGTGGGCCGGGACGACGAGGATGTTGTCGTACGCGTCAACTTCTTGGAGCTTCTTGATGCTTTCAATTGCCTCTGCCACATCTTCGTGTACAGTCGGCTGCCCATTAGGAGAGCTGCTAGAAGGGACATAGAATGGCTGTTCTTTACCGTCGCGCAGGATCTTCTCAAATATTTCTCCCGGGCACGGCGTTGGGGCCACCGGGTTGAAAGGGTGAGGCGTGATATGATTTGGTAGTGGATGGAATGGGTGCGGTCTGAGCTCACCCCCGTGATGAATGATATCGCCTCCCATCAAGATGAAGCTATCCGGATTACTAGTCACGCGCGCTAAGCCGCATATATGGCCGATGCAATGCCCCGGTGAATCAAGGAAGTAAAACGATCCGTCCCCGAAGTAGTCGAGAGCCGGAAATTTTCCAATCTTGATCGGGGAATTCTCGAATTCCAATTCCTGAACCTCTCGACCCGCGTAGTCGGCCTCGAGGAGGAATCTAGACTTTGGGTTCGCCGGGTATCCCGGGAATACTCCAGTCTTAACTCCAGGCCCCACGATCAACTTCGTATGGGGTTCGAAGGTCGTCGGGTCTCCCGTATGATCTAGATGCGCATGCGACCATACCACGGCCTCGAGACTCTTTGTATCGATGCCATTATCGTCTAAAATTTCTCGGATGTGCCTAGGCACGATGATATTGACGTTGGCGTTCTTGAATTCCTCCACCAGGACAGGTGGCCAATTCCAAATGTCCTTCCTAAGACCGAGATCAAAGACAATGGTCCGGTTCTGAACTGGATGCTTGACTAGGAAGGAGTAAATTGGCGCTCCTAAATAATCATGCCCGGGGATCGCTGGCGAAATAAACCGTCCGGGATGAAGCCCACGAATGGTCTGCTCTGTGTTTATGATGGAGACATCGACGATGGAGGTTGAAGTGGGGATGTTTAGATCAGGAGCTTTCGCCATGGTTGCTATTATTTGTCTACCTACTAATAGACAATGATCTTTCAATATTTGCACAAGTCTAGATTGGTATGTCAGTTTTACTTCACCCCCTCTCAAGCGTGTTTATATTGCGCAGCTCTAACCTAGGTAGCTTAGTAATATATAAATGCCCAGATACTCAGTAATAGGTAATTGTCAGCACGGTCGGTATAAGTCAGATACCGTCGGATCCTCTTCGTGCGCTTTTCGGTCTTTATTACCTCATGCGTTCCCTAGTCCCGACCAGGGGGTAATAGTGACGAGTCCTGCAGAAACCATAGGTTAAACCATATCACACTCCCCGGATTGGTATGTAAATGATGTTAATGCAGGTTGGATGAGACAATACTGGCTTACCGGCGTTAAGGTCAATAGGCATATCATGCTATATACCGAGGTATACTAGGTACCTAAATAATTAATTGGATGGCACAACTTCTTTCATTGAGTCGATTAGAACCATAATGCCACTCTCTTCCTTTGGGTAGGTACCTAGATAGTCACTCAGGTGAGAATCTAACTGGTGAGATCCACTCTAGCTAAACCTATCCTAATCCTGCAATATCCTCAAACTCCCAAAGTCGCATACGTCGCAGAAGTTGCCCATCACGAATCGAAAACCAAGTACTGGCGTGTAGTACATATCATCTTACCACCTTTTAATAAAATTGGTTTAGGAGAACTAAACACTATACGCATCTGGGAGACTGGTCTGTATCTAGGTAGGTACCTAGATATGTACCTCGTTTCTAATTTGTCTCTGATGTATCATCTGATGCCTTTGGTCCATGACAGAGTTAAATCTTGTCAACATGCTCAACACTAGTTAACTTCCCTTTTCCTGGGACACGCATTTCAATATCTTTTAAAGCTTCCTCGACGATCGTTGTTTTAAAAGTTTTAAAGTTGTTCACGGAAACGCGGTTTGCAAAGAGCTCGTCAATCTCCTCCAGTGTTCTTCCTTTGGTCTCCGGAACGCATAGAAAGAAGAACACCAAGCAACATAGATTCGAACCAGCCCATATGTATGCATATTTAGCTCCCTGTTGAACTCTGTTAGCTCAATTATTCTGGAATATGGTGCGAAGAAATATCAGACCCCTGATTGATTACATACCCAATTGAGATCTCCTGGATTGATGAAGTATGGCGAGCAAAATCCCGTAAGCCATGCGAGAAAGTACCCCAGACTGATAGCTGATCCCACGGACCACGATCTCAATCTTGTGCTGACCAATTCCGTTGCGGTTGGATACGTGGCATCGCCAACGAACGCATTGTAGGAAAATTGGTAGAGGGCAGTAAAGGCAATGACACAATTGCGAGCCGAGACTGTACCAGATGCAACAGTTGCCGAAACTGCCATTCCGAGCATTGCAAAACCTTGGGTAACAGCGCCCGTCATTAAGACAGTTCTCCTACCCATGACATGGCGCATCAGATACATCCCGCAGTTGACGCCAATGAAGCCTAAACAGGTGTTCATAACCGAAAACTTAAAGGCGTCATCGACGGATAGTCCTGCGACGATCATAAAATAGGTCGAGTAGCTGATGATAAACCACGAACCAGCTCCAGTCTGGGTGGCAATGACACCGTAACACAAAAGTGTACGTCTCAATTCAGTCCCTATATTCACTTCGTAAGCGCGCTGCCCACATTTAAAGGGAGAAGTGAATCGTTACCTACCTTTGAACATATCTAGTGGCCCAATTGTATTAGCTGTGTGCTTCTCCTCTTCGATACCCTTAACCATTTCGATCCATTCGATCTCAAAGCCTTCGGGAGATAATGAGCCCCCTCTTAAACTTTTCAACGATCGCCTTGCCGCCTCACTTTGCCCCTTATATAGCAAATAACGAGGCGACTCAGGGACGAAAAAGAGTCCGACAGCAAGAAATGTTGGGACAATGAAAAGAGTTCCGAGTGGAATCTGGTATGAAGCCTTATCTAGTCGATTTTTGGTAGCGTTGGTTACCGCAGCCCCTATGATGCTTCCAATATTGACCCACTCCGAGAATAGAGCTACCATAACGGCACGAAGGTGAGCTGGCGCTGCCTCGGCAGTCTACTCTCTGTTAATACATGGATTTCAACCCGACGCATCTTATACTCCTGAGGTCGCAGATTATTGGCACGGAGAATAAAGGGGAGTTTATACGTCACATACTGTGAAAAATTAGCTAATTAGGTATCTACCTAGTTCCCTACTAAGGGGAAACCCAGAGAGAATTTAAATAATGGCATGGAGCTTTCATGAGAGGGAATTATACACACCATAAATATTCGAGAAAGTTACTAGAAAGCCATTCGCCAACCCAAGGATAAGTCGACCTACATAGACAGCGGCTTTGTCTGTGGTAGAAATTTGTATGATACACGCAACCGCGTTCAAAACACATGCAAGCCACAGAGCATCCTTTCGACCAAAGAAGTGGGCAAACGCGCCAGCAATGAGCGAGGATAGGAAAGCGCCCAATGTTAAGAGTGATCCAATTAGTCGTTGGAAAGTTCCCTGCGTGCCTGTCTTGGTTATTACCCATAAATGAGGGCAGATGATCGAAGTAGGATAAACTTGCCTCTATCGCATAGCCACTTGGCTGGCTAGGGTCTTTATATCCGAACACTTCTAGAAACCCTGGCATCGCCTGTAAGGACCCTATCGCTGCCGAGTCAAGCCCATACTGCATATTTGCTATCGCAACGATAGCACATATGAGCAAGCATTTTCTATTCGCCCAGAGCGAAGTTTCGGGTATCTTCGTGGCGGCCTCCATGTTTAGTGTGACTTATCCCAAACCAAGACATAAGATAGAAATAGGATCTCAGACGGAGAAATACCTAGCATGACCACTATTTTATTAGATAGCAAAGGGCACGGCATATTGAATATTTAAAGACAGTGTTACCCCAACTTTTCATGATATACCCCTGTGTGGAGTTATATGAACTTACCGCGTAGAGACGACACGATCTTCGCATTTTACCTGTTATTGACAAGGCGTTTCCAGATCGGTCCTCCCCGCACTTCGGTACTTATTATCCAGGTTATCACGACCATTCTGGACCGACGATTGTTGTAGCTGACCATACGTCCTGCCAATAGGACCCGGGGTATTAAGAGGCTTCATTGATGAGATGGTCAATAGCTCCAACTAGACAGTTATGCCCCACAGGATGGCAGGCTATCAATTGGAAACACCTCCAAACTTCGCCGAGGTAGGTAAACGAGAGGACGGGGGTGAGCTGACGGATAACATCGAGTTGGTTCGATAACGAGGTTAGACTGATGGAAAAGTACATACTAAGAGGGTTTCACGTCTTTAGTAATTGGTGAAATGTTGACTAAAAAGGAGAAGTTTAGACGTTTTGTACGAAGTACAGACGTTACGTACGTACTCGATGTATTGGCGCAAGATTACAGTAAAACTCCGGAGAATGACCGTTCCAAATGCGGACCGTTTACTTACAGTTTGGCTACTCCACTTCTGATGTCGACACCTGGCAATTGACACGGACACGGTTTGAGAAACAACGAAGCTCCAAAAAAAAGAAAAGTAAAAAGAATAAAAAAAAATCTCCGTGTCAAAAACTTACCAGCAATCAGAAAATTCCATCCTGTATTCTCGTAATACAACACATCATCATTGATGCATTGAAGGTCCTACTACGGCTAGTCGTGCCCTCTCGGCATATAACCTCTGGTTGATTGTTATAAATATTTAATATTCATTATCTCTAACCAATATTTTGGCCGACCGTCATTACTTTTCTCTCCAAGTCCGGAGTCCAAACTCCGATTTACATATTCGTATGTGACGATGAGGTTTTCAATTCTCTCGGTCAGCCTCCTGGCCGTCCTGACACCGCTGACTTCGGCGTGGACAAAAGAAGGCATGTGTTGATGATCTCTCCAACACACTTCCACAATCATTTACTCTACCATCTATTTTGCCATATATATTAACCGTAGCTACCCTCTAGACCGCGAGATCTTCCGCCTCCGCGACGAGATTTCCCAATATGAGGGCCCTGAGGTGACTTTCTACGACTTCCTCGGCGTTACCTCTCGTGCGACCCAAGATGAGATCAACAAGGCATACCGGAAGAAATCACGATCTCTACACCCCGACAAGGTCAAACAGCAGCTCACCGCCGAGCGCGCCCGACAAGCCAGCAAGTCTGGTAAAGGAGGAGCCAAAGGAAAGAAGCCTGGCGTGAAAGTAACGAAGCCCCCCACCCCGTCCGAAATCAAAGCCGCAGTCAAGCTAGCCGGTGACCGGCAGGCACGCCTCTCTATCATCGCCAACATCCTGCGAGGCAGCGGTCGTGCCCGGTATGACCACTTCATCGCGAACGGGTTCCCCACGTGGAAGGGAACGGAGTACTACTACAGCCGGTACCGGCCTGGTCTCGGCACCGTGCTCTTCGGTGTGCTACTTGTTGGTGGCGGCGGCTTCCACTACCTCGCCTTGTACATGAGCTGGAAGCGACAGCGCGAGTTCATCGAGCGGTATATCAAGTTCGCACGACAGGCTGCTTGGGGTGATAATTTGGGAATTCCGGGCGTGGACGCTGCACCGGTCGCCACACCAACTCCTCCACCTCCTGTCGATGATGAGCAAGGACCCCCAATGGCGATGAATCGTAAGCAACGACGCATGCAGGAACGGGAGACCCGCAAAGAATCCGCCAAGGAAGGCAGACGTCAACCCCGTGGTAGAACCCGCCCTGGACAGCAAGCTAGCGGAAGTGCGACACCCGTGCCGCAGAATTCAGGATCCGGACCGAGTGGTGCGAAGAAGCGTGTCGTGGCTGAGAACGGCAAAATCTTAGTTGTGGACTCGCTTGGTGATGTGTACCTCGAGCAGGCAGACGCCGATGGAAATGTGGAGGAATTCCTTCTTGACGTGAGTCCGCACTATCCTTTACCCTAACCATCTCAAACAAATCAAGACCATGTCAAGTCACTAACAAGCAATGATCTACAGCTCAACGAATTTCCCAAGCCTACGATCCGTGATACCGCACTCTTCAAGCTTCCTCAGTGGGCCTACGCCGCGACTATCGGCAAGGTACTCTCCCCTAAATCTGCCGACAATCTAGACGAACAGACAGACTCGGACCTAGAGCTAGAAGTTCACGAAACCGAAGCCCCTATCGACGACGATTCGTCATCCTCTTCCCCAGCCCAACGAACGCCGTCCACCGACTCCGCCGAGGACTTCGAGCTGCTGGAGAAAAGTGTCGAAGATCTCCCTAGCAGCAAGCCAAAAACGTCGGGGAGCCAGGCGCAGCAGCAGAAGATCAAGAAGAGGAACAAGAAGAGGTAGGACCTCAACATCTTGGTCCAAGGGGAAAGGGGTAAAATAGACGAGGTAGGGGAGTCTTGGGTGTTTTTGACTCCTTGGTAGGTTTAGGAACGTAGCGTGACGTCTCCTCTCTCACCAATGGGGGCTCTGTGGTTTTGTAGTTAGCTGATTAGAAATATAACGAATTCGTTTAACTTTGCTGTTGTGTGTTATCTATTGATGCTTGTGTAAGATAACTAACTACTAGGTACTCTTATGGTATTAGCAGTCTATAGACTCCACTGGAAAGGATAGGCACATAGTACGTATAAGGAGTGACCATCTTGTAAATTGTGATTTTGTAAAAGTACCCGGGCAATTATCTACCTAAGGCATTTAACAGGGTAGGTATAATTTCCATCACTCGGTCATAACTTCAGAACATATGTAGTCAATAGGTAGGTAGGTACCTATAAAATAGCATTCATTGCGGTTCTTTTGTTCTATTATGTTAAATAGATAATGCCCGTGAAATATTTTGATAGTATACCTAGGTACGTACGTATAATGTAATTGAAAAGGAGTGAAGGGAGATAGATTTTGTTTGCCGTCGTTGATGGGGGTAAGGGAATAAAGTCGTGGATGGGTATTCTACGGGTTGGGATTCTGGAGGGGTAATGGATATACATACCTCCTCAAATAGGGTGTTATGATCTCCGAGTGACTGGAAGTTAGAAGGGTTAGCCATACACTGAGTCGTGAGAGGGGATGGGGGAAGAGATATAAAAGCTATGAAGGGAGAAATCCTCAACTCCGTCCCATGATGACATGAATTGATGTATGTGCAGTCCAATCTGAATACACTCCCAACCCACCAAAGCCTCTTCTCCAACCCGTGATATGTCCTCTCTCGTGTCATTCATTCCCAGTAGCCCTTCAGGAGTTAACTATCTACGTAGAGTAAACTACGCTAGCCTGCTGTTCTGATTTACCAAGAGATATATGTACAAGTTAAGTTATAGTTCCATACTGTCCATCTGTTGAAATGCCCCGTATTGGTTCTCCATAGCTTGTTGCTGTCTCATCCAGTCGCTATCATACACAGGATCCGTCGCAGGGCGGTAGGTAGGTCCACCAACAGCGGTGCCAAAATGGCTATATACGTCTTTGGGTATCGTCATAGCCTCCTGATACTGTTGCCTAGCGGATTCTTCGTATTCTCGCCGAGCCAAAGCTTCGTAGCCAGACATCATGTAGGGCTCAACATCAGTCATAGCCACCCATCTTCCGTCTCCTGTTTGAACCGGTGTCAGGGGTGTGCCGTCCATTGACATGATCGAGTTCTTTTGCTCCTCTTCCGCCACTCTACGCTCATAGCGGAGTTGGGCTAAGAATTCTTCTTGCTCAACTGTCGTATTAGACCAAGCAGCAGCTGGATTGTCCTGGGCATTTGAAGGGGGGCAAATTTGCCATAATTGAATAAGGCGAAGTTTCTGGGAGTCTTCGGCAGTCTTAAAGAGTTCGAGCTGCGATGCGGACAGACCTGTATGGTTAATACCATGTTTATTCAAAATAGACTCGGCTGACGGCTCTTGTGTTTGTGGGGGCTCTGAAGATGGACGCTGGTGCTCAACTGGAGGCTCATCTTGGTGAACGAGATGGGCGGAATGGTGGTAGTGTTGAGAGATGGAATATGTTATCTCCGGCTCTAATTGTTGGGGTCTCGGTGTCTCTTGAGCTTGGACTGGTTGGGGATGTAGTGTTAGGTTCCGAGAGAACATCGCAGCGAGCTCATCGCTGGTTTGTACATCTGGCTGAGCATACGTCATTTTCTAAAATAAACCCGTGTTAGAAACGTCTGGAGACTGGGGAACAAAAAGATATTCACCGCGAGAAAGTGATGCGCCGACTGCTTCCCTTGCACTGCAACGAGCTGATATAAGATGTCGCAAGATGAGAGGGTTTTGGTTTATGTACGAAATATGAACAGACAAAAATGATCTGACTGCTGTAAAACGAATACTGCAAGAACTCTGTCTTATATTGACTATGCTAAGTACGTGAATTGTGCTAGAATTCTGGTTATAGGTTATGACTTGGAAAGGAGAATCCAAGGAAGCACAGCGATGAAGAGGACAATATGTCCTTTTTATTTCTTTGGAACTTGCGACTCGAAATTCAGTCAATGCAAGATACTAGGTAGACAGATAAGCGGTCAATGTCAGTGACTTTGAACCCTGAAAGGAGTCCAGGTGTTGTTAGAAGAGCGGGGGAGGCGATCGAGGGTCCTGGAGAAAGGGATGAATGGTGAATGGGGAATGGGGAATGGGGATGGGGATGGGGAAACAATATCTACCAGGTTGGAAAAGAAGCAGCTAAAGTCCTAAAATAAGAAAGTTCGTTAGGAGATGCGAGACGTCTGCCTGAAGAAGTACGAAATGACATTGGGAGTTCCAAGTCACTTGGAGTAAAGAACCTTGGATTGTACATAGAAGGAATGACTGAGGTTGATGATGAAAGCGCATCCAAAGACCCGCCGGAAGATGACGGAGATTCGACGCACGAATCAGGGACGATGGAGGGGAGAGGGGTAATGTCTGAGATTCCATGAATGCTGAAATGGCGAGCTCTAGCGCCAAAACGAGGGGCAGTTTTAGTGGGTTAAGGCAGGTTAAGGTCGGGACCATTGGCGCCCAAAGCAACCCAAGACTCCACTAAGGTCTAATAAACTCATTCGTGGCAGCTGCGTGCTATTGCGTGGCATCGACAACCCTGGAATACGTACCTGCGTCCTTATTATTTTACCCATTTTTGGCCTTCAACACATCAATTCCTTTATACAGATCATATCCAAGCTAATGCATGCCACCGCTCTATCATCAGACCAAGATCCCTTAATGCTTAGTGGGATGACTATCATCTACCTAGGCATCGACATAAACATTTACGTGTCGAAAAAGAAACCTACTCCTACCTAATTACTTCGTATACCAATAGATTCCAGCGAAGCCGAGAAATCCCGCATTCAAGCACGATTGACCCGAAGTTCATCTACGTTGATAGGCCTCCAAGAAGTCAGCATGTAACGCCAATCTACCTAATCTGCACAAAATTTAAGCCCTGCAGTTTTGCCTAAGAAGGAAGGTTACTATTAAGTAATACTGCATCATGTCTTTAAATCTTTATAGATCTTACTAGAGTTGACTTGCTACGAGATGGTACGTATTTGCACTTGTCTAAGCCTCTAGAAACGCTATTGAAGACTACCTAGGTAAATTTCCTTTAGGTCCCTAGGCAATAGTCAAGGCATGGTATATTAGGTAATTCTCATACAATATGGTTTATTGCCTAGATTTATAAAGACATATTGTCAATCTAGCAAAACATACCTAGCCAAAGCGACTTCTTAGATCGTACTAACAACTTTGGTGGCATATTCTTCTCTGGTGAGTATAACCTGATTTGCGGCTTTACGATCCAATAACGCCTATCAGTCGATTCTGTATGTGCATCTCTTACGTTCTTTAATATCAAGCTTCTTAGAATCGAGTCCTTTACAGCGTGTATTACTAAGAATTTAGTAAAATCGATTAAAACCTCAGTAGCCTCTGCTTCAAGCGCCCCTAAGGAGCTAATTGTATAGAGCTGTTATGCTGCCCTGATCGTTTCTCGTTAACTTAGAACGTACCTAGGTACCTAGGTACTTAGCTATGTAGGTATATACGAAGTAGTACCTGTTCCATATTCGCCATTGAAATGACTCTGTTAAATATATATTTTACAGGTGTCCGATTTTCCTGACCTGTTATATCACCTTCTCAACATCTCGACATTTCTCTACCTACTTTCCAAAGTAAATTAGTAGACTGGGGAAATACAGCTATAACTGTAAAGAGTCTATACTAAGATACCTACCGGCGCTTTTAATCCACTCTGACATGAGACCTTCGCCGCGTGAGCCCTATGCTGAATATAGAAGCAACTGCAAATCCGAGTACGATGTGCATCTGGACATTGAAGCCTCTCACAAATGTACTTTTAACAGTATCTTACAACTGTTCTGAAAGTTTATCTATAGTTACTGTCATTTCAAAATTCTGCTCGGTCTGCGAAGAGGTCAAAGAGCTGCATAGTCGGGGTTTTTTTTTATTAATCTATTGCTAACAGTAGTTGTGATAGAAACAACGAAGGCACTTCCGAGGAAACAAAACTGGTTTTTAGCGGCTGATGCAATTGCTGTTTTAATCCGTTAGCTAAATTATGGTTTATTAGACCTGTTCGGCGATAGTATACTCACCTAAATCTAAGTCTTCTACGATATACGGTGTCAGTAATGTTACGAGTCTGCTGCTAATACCCATTCCAATCCCGGTCAAAAGTTCAAGCTCGTATATTGGATCCCAATCTGGGTTATTGAGGGGCCTTGAGACATCAAAATTAAACCCAGCGTTTGAAATCATGGCCCAGCGAGACCGTTGTATATAGGGGGAACGCGTCGATTCTTTGAAAGAATAGTGGTGAGAGTAAGTAACCGTACGCTAGCATGCAGAGGGCTGGCTCCTACTGTTGTTTGGTACCGGGTAGGAAGCTGAATGATGCATGTTATACTGACGGAGCCCGTTATAAACGAATTTCTTCAGACTTTATGGTCGTATAGGTACCTAGTATCTTTCCTACCTAAGCAGAATTGAAAGACACACACGAGCAAGCCCACTATCTCTCGATTTTGACAGAATCGCGAAGGGAATACAGGCTTTTGGGGTAAGAGAAGTGCCTAAAAAAGCCAGCCACACAGTAATGGAAATCCAGATCGGGACAACAACTGTCGCAGATGTCCAATAGAGTAATATCGCAGCCCGCTTGAGCCCGTAAATTAGCAGTGCAAGTGCCGCAAGCATGAGGAAGGCTCCAGTGAAGTCAATCGTCTTGAAGTTTAGTTGTTGTCTTGTCTGCCGTAATCCTCGGTACGTAGTGTTGGCTACACTAAAGTTCGCCTGGCACCCCTTCGGGGTGCTGCGCTTTAATTAGCAAAAATAGCAAAGTACCCCTATAGAAAACTTTTTATACGATTTACATATAAGAATACTTGCTAAGACTCCCATGTTAATAAAGTACTTATAATTAAGAGAGAATCTCTCGGAATGGAAACTATTTTGCTAATACCTGGTCTTTTTGCTAATTAAAGCGCAGCACCCCCTAAGGGGTGCCAGGCGAACTTCAGTGTAGCCAGCACTAGTATGAATAATCGCCTGGAACTGAGAAAAAGACTACTAATGCTGCAGCCACACCAGCGAACACGGCCGCAATCTGTGGTAGTTTCCTTGTCGGCTTCAATTCATAGAGCATGACGACGGCTACTGCATAGGTACCTACCTAGACGCCCCTAGCACCGAGCCCCTAGAACGCGCAGCAAATAATTCTACTGCTAGAGCTAGATAGGTAGGTATAGTCATATAAAACCGCATTCTCATCACCATCCGATAAATAACCCTATGTGATCGCCGATTTTCGCCCAGATTAAGAGCCCGGCTAGTAACGCCGTTATAAAGGGGAAACGGCGTGTCAGACATCGGTCTTCCTCCAGGTCAGTAGCTAGAGGTCTATGGGATCGGGATTCGGCCCGTTGAGTCCCCGTGAGGGTCCTGTTGGCCGCTAGTCCTAGGAGCAGGACGGACAAAGAGCTTCACCTGTATGTATACCGTGTTCTCCATAGCGAGAGTGTTAGGAGCTCTTCGCGCAACAACGTCGTTGTTTCCTAGTCTTTTGGTTCCGCCTCGTGACACGGCGCATATGTCTATGTTATTAGGTAAGATGTAACTACCTAACTGGCTTTATAAAGTTATCAAGATCGTTTGTTATAGACACTAGAGAGGTTCCGATAATGGTAAGTTCGAGGTTCGCAAGGAAGAGCGCAAGTGCCAGTCTGTGTCTATATTAGCCAGCAAGCTTTTGAAGCATGCGTTTTCATTTACCTACGCTGTCATTATAGCATGTTATCTCCATCCTGTGATGTAGTTGAACGCATCCCCATCCCTGTATTCTATGGGCTCTTTGTTGCCATACTGAGACTCATCAGTCCATCCCTTAATCTTAAACCCAGCACTGTCATTAGTTAAAGGGTTGCCCGAATTCATCGTAGTGGTAAGTGCCTGAGTAAGGAAGTGAAGTCTGTTGGGTTGGTAGGTACCTACCTAGTAGTTGGATGACTCGTACCAGAGTTTCACCGCAAACCCAGTTAAGATCAGAGTTTTCTAACTAGGTAGACATTATATGTGTACAACTAAATGGGAGTAAATATGGAAGATAGTTAAGGTCGATGGTAAAGAAATACCTGCCAAGGTTCCCAAACAAATGATACTATTGCTATAGACAATTTCAACCAACAACGTCTTGCCTAGAAGATCACAATCTACCTGCCTAGGTACCTGGGCAGATGCTTAGCTGGGTACCTAGATGTGAAGGTGTGAGTAGGTAGGTAGGCAATGAAAGCAAATCTATTAATATTGAAGTTCTCTGCAGATCGAGATATTTTACCTGTGTAAAGATGGTAGATTCTCGTTGACTAGGTAGGTAACTTAGTCTTCCAATCACTGAACTTTTACAAGTTTTGAAAGGTAGCAGCATCTTTAGGTAGTATTTGCGAAAACATCGAAGCTATCGTAAGTTTTTTTTTGAAATAGTTAGACACTTGTTTTTTGCTATTTTATTTTGGGTAGTTATTACCGAAGGACTTCTAACTCACGCGTGAATATTAGCATAGTTAAGCTTTAAGTAGAAACTGTGTAGATGCGGCCCTTTATTGACCAGTAGCACTACAGATTAAAAATGTAGCCGTGTTGTATTAGTTATCTATAGGTTGAGATTGGAATCTTATAATATGAATATAAGTAGGTACCTAGGTACTTAAATAAAAGATCCGTTGAGCTTGTTAAAGGATTGATTAGAACTTATTCTTTGGGCTACAATATTGGGGTTTTCCAAGAAGACATACAGTGCTGCTGCAAAGACGATGGAATCAGCTTGCTCAAGAGGATATGGATTAATCGTAAAATGGATAATTTACGAAACGGCCAATGGAAAATCAAATTAGTGTGGTCGTAGGTTGGTAGTAGGTATCTTTTTCGCGTGTGAATGTCAGCATTGAGAGCAAGAGGCCGGGTGGGTCGAACTCGTTTTATCCCAGCTATTAATGGTTAGTAAGCAACTAATCATTAGTAATATTCTGATATCAGGTATATTATCTAAGATTACTCATCCGATGAGATGGGTTATGTAATCCATCATCTTACAATTTACCGTGGATACTAGGTATTTTCAATTGCTCATTCTCAAACTTTCCAATTTCATCATCCATAAATCCTCACCTCCATATTATCCATTCTCTCGCCAGCCCTCTGACGGGATACTAATATGGTTTTCGGCGGCGTATAGCGTACTATTCTCGACCTAGAAGATGGCCAATGCATTCGGCGGAGATCCAATCAACCCAGGTATATTCAAGGGTGCCGAAGTGAGCATGAAACTGTATCGACCCGAGGCTTTGCAATGTTCCGAGAGCGCCTTAAGATCCCACAACTCGCCAATCGGCATGCCGAACATCGAAAGCAACCAGGGGTGAAGATCTACAGATCTTATGAGCAGGTGTCCTAATCGCCATGTGCTGTTGGAACTTACACAAATCATTCGGGCCACCTTGAGTCCCATCCTCCTTCAGCGGCATCAGCGCTTCGAATCCCCAACTGTCGCCAGCCACAGCGGCGAAATGTTTATTCCAAAGCCACTTAGCTGACTCGAGAGTACCGTGCATTCCTGCAATCTTCGCACTTTGCAACTTTTCCAAGTCCTCCGGTCGCGGAGCCTGTAGGATTTCAGTTAACCCCGTGCGAATGATTAAGACGTCGCCTTGGTGAAACTCCACCCTTTGATCTTTGGCGACGGTCTCAATCTCTTGAACAGTGATGCGATGGCCATCAAGGGGATGGAAGACTGCCTCTTCTCCTGTTTTTCCCTCGGATTTTGCGCGCTGTTCATCCCATTCTTTGAAGTCGATGAGCACACCTCTTGCAACTAGTGCTCCCCTGGCATGCCAATGATCTAAGGTAGGCATCGTATTCTTTATTGTGTTGGTCACAGAGAGTGCTTCTTTGTTGACAGAAATGCCATTATAGGCCAGCCCAGATGGTTGGTGTTGCCAATGAACCAAGCTGTCCCATTGGCTGCTAAATTGCGTGTTGAAATGGATCTCATCGTCCCACCCTATCCCCTCTGATACTCCTGCTTCACGTAGGGTTATTTGTTTGTGAACAGGGGCTATTCTTCCTGGTAGCTGAATTGTCATGGCATTGAGCGGCCAGCTGAGTTCGCGTGAGTCTATATCAATAATATGAGGTGGCAGAATGGTCTCAACTTACTTCAAGGAGATCGACTTGCCATCTCGTGCTTCGCTACAGGCGGTTTTCACGACTGACGGCGTGAGGAGGTTTAGAGTACCTAGGAGATCTTCCTTACCGAATATCCCCCATGCGCATCCTTGGGGCATATCTTGGACTTCAGGCAGGTCATCGAAGCCAGGTACATTTGTGGCATCCATCTTTGCATTGGCTCCTACATGCGACTCTCAACCATAAGCATATTCTTTGAAACGATTTTGCATGACTATTGAGTAATACTTATAGAAATCGGTTCGTAAGATCAGACGGACCTTCTACTAGTATCAGACGGACCTCCACTCAACTATGCTTACTCAAGTTAGTCGTTTGAGTACATACTTTAGAGTACAACTTCTCATATAAATCTATGTATATTTTAGACGTTCTATCATCGAAGCCCTTCACCATCGCGAACCTCGCTATCACTCTTGAAATCTTTTCTGGGGGGGGGGGGGGGGGGGGGTTAAATGGAGAAGTTAGAGAGCTTCAGAAGGGAAGCAGCAAAGCCAGCAAGCGTAGTATCAAATATATCGAGACCAACGTCGTCGCCAGTAACAAGCGGCACTACCTACCCAAGTAAGTAGGTAGCTTTACCTTGATATTATAACTTATAAATAATTACCACGCTTTAACTTCGAACCTTTATTGAAGCTAACTATCGATCATGTCTCCTCTTTCATATTCTTGCCCTTATATAGGCGCAACAGGGCTTGATCGATATATGTATACCGTATAAGTATAATATCGACGAAAGTAAATATTACTTCAACGGCAACAGGTCTAAAAAGTACTTTGTTTTATATGAGTAGCTGTACTCGAAGTATGTACTGGCGCGACTTTCCTCGATTAGGTATGGTTGTGTGGAGGTCCGTCTGATACTAGTAGAAGGTCCGTCTGATCTTACGTTCCGATAGAAATTAGGCCTAGTAAGACCACATGGGACTCTCAGGCTATAGCAAACACTCGTCCCATAACACTATTTGCCGTTCATTCCCAATGCGGTCCCCCCTCTTGTGGAGGGAATAATAACTTGTCGAGTTGGTATCATAACCTCATTAGAAGATACCTACCAAGGTACCTAGGTACCTATGTGGGATTCAGGAGTAGGACTGATATCTACCTGCAAAACATTCAATATGCCACTTATATGTTGCGGGGCAACTTAGCCTAGGTACCTATCTACCTACTAGGTTAGGTACCTAGTAGGTACCTAGGTAGGCAGCTATCGACCAGTCTTCCTCTTTCATCTTTTTTCTCTCATATAGTCTGAACAATTTGTATTTCTTCGCACCACGCTCTTCGGCACAGCTACCGAATCTTCGAAAATGCTTGGATTGGGATTGTATACTGTATACCAAGGTAAGATTGTGATCGCACATCGTCGAACCACGACGTCGGAAGATCGATTCACCTACATATGTAGGTTGGTTGGTAGGTAACATTTAATATGCATATTGCTGTAAGCTATTGTTTTACAAGCGGAAAACGAATACGAAACCCTACCAATCTAGTAACTGACCTATGGCTGGATCATGCCAAGGGTCTAATAAGCGAGTATGCCTGTGTGTATGTACGCACCTACCGACTAGGTAGGTAGGTACTTTATAAATACTAGGGAGCTTACCTAGGTACGTAGGTAAGGGAGTAGGTAATTTTCAAGGAAATATCAATAAAGAAGGAGAATTTGAGTAAGTTTCTCTACACTCTTTCCAATTCTGGTACGATAGTATTTCAACTTAGCACCTCACTTTCTAAAGAGAGATTGCTTGGCGTCGGCGGACGAAAAAGTCGCTGAGTAACTAGAAAGTCGCACTACATAATGGAGGAATTCTCACGCATTCAGGAGAAATACACAGCTGAAGCGCAGAAGCGTCTTCGCCCTGATGGCACAGCCCAATACCAGGTGCTGTCGCAAAGCGACTCCAATCATTTACGACACTTAGTCGACGACATCTGGGCAGATCATGCTTCTCTCGATGCACTTCCCTCTCCCATTAAGTCTGGGGATTGCCCAAAGTTCCTCATCATTGGCGCGGGGATGGGTGGGCTGGTAAGCGCGGTTCGGCTTATCCAGGCCGGGTTCACAGCAGATCAGATTCGAATCATCGACACGGCTGGCGGGATTGGGGGTACGTGGTACTGGAATAGGTATCCTGGTTTACATTGCGATATCGAATCTTACATTTACCTACCTCTATTGGAGGAGATGGGATATATGCCTTCTCACAAGTATATTCCCGGGGTTGAGATTCGGCACTATCTTAACGATATAGTAAAGCGGTGGGATCTCAAGGACAAGATTCTTCTTAGGACGAAAGCAGACAAAGTAGAGTGGGATGATGGTGCCCGTCTTTGGAAAGTCGATCTCACCACCCAGCGAGGACCGACAGGCGCGGAAAATGTCTCATTGACAGTGAAGGCGGAATTCGTGCTTTTAACAGCTGGGTTGTTAACTAGGCCACAAATCCCAAGGCTCCCCGGTGCCGGGATCGATGGTTTCAAGGGCGACCTCTTCCACACATCGCTGTGGAACTACGCCATCACCGGAGGCTCATCGGAAGATACCGTCCCGGTCTTGTCAAAGCTAGAGGGCAAGCGAGTAGGCATTATCGGTACCGGCGCAACTGCAATTCAAGTAGTGCCATACCTAGCCAAACATGCGAAAGAAGTCTACGTGTTCCAGCGCACGCCCAGCGGCGTCTACGCCCGTAACCAGAGAGCCACAGATCCGGAAGAGTGGAAGAAGGTTACCGCTCAGCCTGGCTGGGAATTGGAACGCAATAAAAACTTTGCGTCTCACATATCCGGCAGCGCATCTCCAGGCACTCCGGATTTAGTAAATGACGAGTGGTCTAAGCAACCTGCGTATTCGGCCTTAGTCGGCGACGAGAAGTTCGCGCTAGTGGCGCCGGAAAAGATACCAGAAGTGATCGGCTACTTCATGGCGCGGGACGCGGAAAATAGCGCGCGGCTACGAGCGCGGATCGCCACGATCGTCAAGGACGAGGAGACAGCCAAGAAACTAACCCCGTGGTACCCGGCGTGGTGCAAACGAAACACGTTCAGCGACACGTACCTGCAGACTTTCAACGAGCCGCACGTGCACCTCATCGACACAGACGGTAGGGGCGTCGACGGCGCAACGGCGCACAGCATCGTTGCCAACGGCCAGGAATACCCACTCGACATCCTCGTGCTAAGCACGGGCTACCAGTCACCCGCAGTCCTCGAGAATGCGGCCGCGCGCGCGGACATCAAGCTTTTCGGGCGGGGGGGCAAGACTATTCCCGAGAGCTGGGCAAGCACGGGTACCGCGACGCTACACGGGTACGCGAGCCACGGCTTCCCGAACCTGTTCTGGCTCTCGCCCTCTCAGACGGGGGTGGGCGCAAACCACGCCTTCACGCTGGACACCCAGTGTCGGCACATCGCGTACGTAGTGGCAACGGCGCACAAGCGGGTAGGCGGATTGACTAAGGGCGGATTGATGATTGAGGTCGAGGAGGCAGCGCAGGAGGCGTGGAGCCAGAGGATCGTTCAGGGGGCGGGGAGGTTCGCGACGATGGCGATATGCACCCCCAGTTATATCAACAACGAAGGACATATAATGGACCCAAATGCCTCGCCGGAAGAAATGGTAAAGCGGGCACGTGCATCCCCGTATAGTGGTGGAATAGTAAGGTTCTTGAAGGAGTTGGATACCTGGCGTGAGGGAGATAAATTGTCCGGGATAGAGGTTACTATCTCGTAGCGAATTAGTCCAAATACTTCAGGTTTATAGGTTCGCGGGTGTTGCCCATATACCTACCTTAGTAGGTGCTTGTACCTACTAGGTAGATACCTATTTAAGGAACCTAGCGCCCGTTATAAATCATAAATACATTACCTAGTTTATCTTAGAAGTTATGCCCACGTATTTCCATATCTACTAGAGAATTACAAAGGCTTAGAATTCTATCCTGGGTAATGCATGCTTCGGTCATACGCGCCATCGTCGTAAACTTCATGTTCGCATAAGACGTCTTCGCAGTATCTGGATTTAAGATTCATACTGCACATATTCCTGTTCGGTATGTCCATGCGCTCCGTGACTCCTCTTCGCATCCGGTACATCCGTGCGATTCATATTCATACGTTCCTTAGTCGTACGCTTCCTCATACTCTTCTTCATACTCCTCCCGGGCTTCCTCGAGCTCTTCAAAATCACTACTACTAGCATCAGAATCCTGTGCTTTAGCAAGAGCCTCCTCGTAGTTCTCACGAGCAGAGCGTACAGACTCGCGGTCACTGGCATCGACATATTCTCCGTCTGCGTTGTACGCTGGCTCGTACACTGGCTCGGAATAGACAGGCGCAGGGGCTGCGTATACGGGAGCCGGTGCATGATGTTTTTCTTCGTCGGAAGAATCGTCTGCGAATATATTATTAGTACAAGCATTGATGAAAATGTATATTGGACCATGTAGGAATTTCAAGGTTGTTAAAACGAAATAGAACTCACCAAGAGCATTGGCGATCAATGCACCACCGAGAGCACCAACTGCAAGACCGCCGGCAGCGCCTAGCAAGAGACCGCCATGGCCACCTTTCTTCTTCTTCTTCTTCTTTTCCTCGCTTTCGTATTCGCCACGGTTTTCACCTGAATAATGGCCATACGCGAGATCGTCGTTTTTATATCCATGATTGCCCTGTTCTCCGTGACCACCATGAGAACCGTATCCATGTACTTCATTGGAGGAATATCCATAGCCAGCAGGGGGGGAGGCGTGAGATGAGTAACTGGGTTCACCATGCCCTCGATCTTCACCGGAATGACCGCCGGCGTGATATCCGGGTGCTTCCCACTGTGAGCGGCCGGTAGCTTGCTCGTAGTAATACCATCGTTGGTACTGCTGATCGTATTGGGGTACCCATCCTGATGGAATCGGCGGCTTATCGGGCGGTGGAGAGTAAGTTGGCCCGGAGCTTAGGGGAGCAGGGCTACTTTGATAGCTCTGTGGTGGAGGAGTGTTATAAGAGCCCTGCGGTGGCGGGCTGTTATAAGAACCCTGAGATGGATACGGAGCTTGATAATTGCCTGGAGATGCAGATTGAGGAGGTCTATCGCCATATGGCGGGTATGGCTGTTGGTTGTAGTTGCTGCCGTATTGTTGAGATGGAGGCGGGTAGCTATGTTGGCCTAATAGAATATTTAGCTTTACTTCACTTTTGAAAAGAAGAAAAGATAGACGACGGCGGAGTCAAGGTGAGACAATGTTGACTAACCTGGGTATCCAGGACCTTCTCTCTCCCTCGGCTTCTCGGAGCCGAGGTCTAAGCCATCCAGCTTACTTGTTAGCTTGTTAAAAAAAGACATGGTGATTAGATCAAGCTCCTCTTAAATTAATACTTTGGTCTTTCCCAAGCATATATTGGAATATAATAGACAACAGGATAAGGTACTTGATACAGTGAGAGATATTATGAGATGGAGTTCAGATATGGCAACCACCCAGATTCCCTTCGCCGCAGTTCGCTAGACAATATATCTGAGAGAGGTCAATAAATGGACTGCCAAGGCTGATAGTCTGCAGGCTGACAGTGTGATTCAGCGGCTGCGATGGGGAGAATTGGGTCGGAATCCTGCTGAAACCCGCGCCGGTCTGCTCTGCACAATGCCACCTCCAATGCGATATGCCAGGTAGTGAGAAGTTAAGATGGCATGAAACGTCAATGAGGGAAAATCAAATACTTCAATATTTATTAGGTACCTAAGTACTTAATATTCAGCTTAGTCTACCTAGTATGTGACGCTTGCACAATTGGCAATTCATTTTGTGTTGTTCTTGTCACTTCTGGGATGTGAGATCTAGCCAAAAGAACAAACACACAGTACAGAGTACCTACCTAGGTAGAAAGCCAACTCGGTTACACGGCAGCATAAATGCCCACTAATGACTTGGCGGCCTCCTCTATTTCTGCCCCTCCTTCCCTTCCTGCCCCTCCAACCCCTCGCTTGATCCTACGCCAAGAACCCCCTTCCCTGAAGTTTCCTCCTTCGTGCTACCTACAGCCCTAAATCAATTCCAGGTTAACACCTAGAGACACCTAGACCTGGTTATTAAGGCTCTTTCTTTTTAGAGGTACCTAGCTTACCATTTCTCAGCCGCAAATATTCCTTCGACACACGTAAACCTTAACGGATCATCTTGTCATATCAATTGTTAAACTATCAAAGAACTGCATCTCGGACTAGTCGGAAAAGACTTGGACATTCATTTATCATCTTTTCTTTACTATATTGAATTCGCTACCCAGAAAATGTCGGGCTGGGGTTATAACCAACAAGGCCAACAAGGTCATCAAGGTCATCAAGGCTACGAGGAAAGATATAGTGGTGGATATCAGCAACCTCCTCAGCAGTCATGGTCATCGCCTCCACCATCTCAAGGGTATAGTCAAGGACAAGGTCAATATCAACAACAATATCCGCCCCAGCAGTATCCCGGTGGCCCACCTCCAGGTCAATATCCCCCTCAAGGACCGCCACCAGGGCAATATCAAAACCAGCCCTATCCATCTCAACAACCACCACCGGGACAGTATGGACAACCCCCGGCACATCAGTATTCCCAGGGAGGCCCCCCACAGCATCAATATCCTGGCCGCCATCCACCGCCCTCGGGACCTCCGCCGCCCGGACTAGATCCTTATGGTTACCCCCAATACTCCGGTCAGCAGGGCTACGGAGATCATCGCCGAGACGGCCCCCCTCCGCCAACGGCTCCACAGCAGTTCGGTCACGGAGCCCCCGAGGGATACACTTTCCAGTATTCCAATTGTACCGGAAAACGCAAGGCATTGTTGATTGGCATTAATTATTTTGGTCAAAAGGGCGAACTACGTGGTTGTATCAATGACACCAAGAACGTCTCCCAGTTTCTCATGGAGCGCTACGGATACAAGAGAGAAGATATGATTATCTTGACTGATGATCAGCAAGATCCTATCTTGATTCCTAATAAGGCCAACATCCTTCGAGCCATGCAATGGCTTGTTTCTAACGCTCGGCCTAACGACGCCTTGTTCCTCCACTACTCAGGTCATGGCGGACAGACTAAAGATGAAGGTAATTAATTCCAAGTTCTTTGTAAATGTACGGCTAGGTACGAATAATTTGCTTACACATCAATTCAGATGGCGATGAAGAAGATGGTTACGACGAGGTTATCTACCCTGTCGACTACGAAAGGGCCGGTCACATTGTCGACGATTACCTTCATGAGATCGTCATCAAACCTCTTCAGGCAGGAGTGAGGCTGACGGCCATCTTTGATTCGTGCCATTCCGGCTCAGTTTTGGACTTGCCTTACATCTACTCGACCAAGGGTGTCTTGAAAGAACCTAACCTTGCGGCTGAAGCTGGACAGGGGCTCCTTAAGGCATTCTCCTCTTACGCCTCGGGCGATGCGGCCGGGGCAGCCAGCGCCATCTTCAACTTCGCTAAAACCGCGTATAGGGGAGACGATGGATACAAGAAGACCGTTCAAACCAAGGTCAGTTCACTATATCCGAACCACCTACTTGTCCTATAAATACTGATCCAAAATCTTCAAGACCTCACCTGCAGATGTCATTATGTGGTCCGGTAGTAAGGACGATCAAACATCGTAAGTAGTTTATCAAAGAAAAATAGTTACAGCCTAGAAGTATTAACAGATCCACAGTGCGGACGCAACAATTGCATCCCAGGCAACCGGAGCGATGTCCTGGGCTTTTATCACGGCGATCAAGCAAAATCCAAAGCAGAGCTATGTCGAACTTCTCAACAGCATTCGCGACGTACTAGAGACCAAGTATTCGCAGAAACCGCAGTTGTCTTGTAGTCATCCTCTTGGTGAGTCATTCGTATTGTGAAAAGAAACGTGCAGGTACTAATATTTGTAGACACGAACCTCCTCTTCGTAATGTGAATTAGGATAATGTCAAAATATTGAGTCCGGTATCCAGATAGTTGGCTATTACTAGCAAATAGTAATGCGGATTTGAAAAGGAATCATGTCAATGAGGTTGAATGTTATGAAATATTATGAGGAGCTGTGGGTCAATTCAATAATTCCGCAGCATTGCGAATTATTGCGAAACTATTACATTCTTCCGTGCGATTTTATTGGTGACTGCGTACAATATCACCAAGGCATTTCGATGAGGTATGCATGGTTAGTCATTTGGAATCATACAAGCAGAAGGCAATCTTCTAAAAAGAGAGTTTCTACCTTGGATAAAAGGTATTGATATGGTAGAATAATGTCAATGTCTCTGTTGCATGCAGGGGTTTATTCCGCACCCGATCACGAATATCTCATATCCATGATGATGATGCCACCTCGGACACTAAGATACCTGCTACTAGTAGGTACTAGTTAAGGTACTCAACGAGATAGTCTACTAATCATAGGTAGCACTTTCAACTACAGTGACCAAGTAGTGCATACTTTAAAAGCCGGGGAAATGGTACAGTCATTCCACTTCAAAATTTTCGTGACATGAGTGAAAGGAGCTAGGTGCGTAATAAGCACAGTAAGGTAGGTACTTTCTCAATGCATGCCATGTTACCATTTCCCCAAGTATTTACAGAAAATATTCGACATCGCCCTCCTTCGGCTCCATTCACGATAGTGGCTGGTTTGATTAACACTTAACCACAGCAGGACCAGGGTTGGTATAACTTGTTGGTGTTGGCCAGTACAGTTGGAATAGAATACCTGGGTCAGAAGCCTAAGAAACATTAGAACCCGTTCCTGAAGTGATGGATACCTAGGTCCTAGGTAGGTAGGTATTTAGACAGGTTTACCTTATAAGCACCCGGTAGCGATACGCCGGAAAACGTCTTAGATCCTCCGCCCGAAACGTGTAATTGAGCACAGGCTTGGTAGAACTACGTCCTTGTTAACAACCAAATTCTTTGTGGATGCATTTTAGGGTCAATCGTACTTGTGCACCACCAGAACTTCCCGCGCTGTGCAGCGCAATGTGTTCTACGCGCAGCAGGTAATAGCCTTCCGCAAGACACGTTGGGATCTTCACAGATACCTCCTTGAGCCCTGCTGACGGCCAGGTAATCTCTTCCCCGAACGTGGGGCCGTCCTCGTAGATCTTGAACCACGACGCGCCGTCGCCGCTGAAAGACTCGGCAGTTTGCCCCGCGGGAGCTTTCGCCATATAGAAGGCCAAGGGGCCCGGGTGCTGGATGGCGCCGTCGACGCGGAACCCAACGGCGTCACCTGCCTTCACTGCCATCGTCTTCGCGCCGTTTGACCCTGGTTCTATCTCATAGCATCGGATCTGCGAGTCTTGGACATTTGTTACGGGGCCGTGAGACTGAAAGTTGGTAGTTTTCCTGACGTATGCCCAGTCTGCCTCTGTGACGCCGTTATACACCAACCCTGGAAAGGTGTCTTGACTATTGTTAGTGTCCATGGTTGATATAGACAAGAGGGGAGATGTCAATTAGGCTTACAGTGAGCATGTGTCACACCCAGGAGGGCCACTATCGCAAGAGTCCTCATCGCAGCAGAGATAAGAGAATATGTCTTGAAGCGGAAGTTTACTCTACCTAGGAATATCTTCCTACAGACGGAATAGGCATTGTTTTTATAGACGTACTTCTGTCTTGTTGGAGTCTGTCGCTCCGTCTAGGCACGTCTAATGATACATCGCCCACGGGCCAGGGTAGCTATAGGTTGCGCTTCACGGGAGTGAAGTTTCGAGACTCATCTAGACACCGACAAATCACCCACCGGGCGAAAGGGCGATGTTAGAATAACGAGTACGACGACGCCTGTTCTCATTCTAGCTCTTTCCAATAAGATCGAAAACTAATACCTACCTAACTATACATTATGAATCGATCTTGACGTCCCATGCTCTATACTTCGTCTCTTAGCTAACCGATGGCAATATACCGTCCGAGGTTGCAATGAATATGCACCAAGTAGATTGCGCATAGCAGACATCGTTCCGAACCAAAATTAGAGAAACCTTTAAGTAGGTACCTAGGTAGGTGTTTTACTTCTAAATTCTTTGCCAATTAATTCCATCTATCATTTCCTCTTTATTGGGTAGGTACCTAATTAAAAGTGTTTTCATCGGTCTATATAACATTACCTTTATCTAGGCAGGCAGGTAGGTAGTTAACGATACTTTCTTATGTTGATCTTTGCGGTACCCATGTACTTATCCAGGTGCCTACCTAGTACCTAATATTCACACTGGAATTGGTAAACGGGGTGTGTCATGCCGATCATACCACAAGTAGGTAGTTGAGCGAAGCCTCTCCTATTCCTGTTTAGGAAATGACGGGAGATCAACGCGAGGAGCGAATGAGGGAGGTGGTTGACCCAGGCGTGGATGCAATTATCATGTGCTAATATCTGCAACATTTAGGTTGACTTTGGTTCGCGGTTAACCGCATACCAAGTAGGAAAGTTACCCAATTACCAACTTTCAGCGGAACTTAGGCCACGAGATGTACTAATATAGGTACCTAGGGCCTACTAGGTGTACCATACAAAATCGAGATCTGACTACTACGACCATGTGAGATCTGGGGCTCTACGAAGTACAAGTACAGAATATGTCATAATTGCTTTGTTAGAAGTAGGTTGCCTACATGCGTGTGGGGGTCAGGGTGTAAATATGCAGCCACTGACTCCCAGCCTCCTAATATTTCAATTAAAGCGGCAGTACTTCGTATAGTCATCATTGTGATCCTTTCTCATCCCCCCCATACAAGTCCATTGCCAAGTTATTTCTAGAATAAAACGTCGACATTCGATATTTAGATTCTCCGCGATACTGCTCCAACTCCGTAAGCCCCTGTTTACCCTCCCGTTCTATTGTCTGCCGGATGTCTTCGCTGCGTGGCGTAATGCTGCACTCGAATGGCTGAGGCCTCATGTTGAGACCGTTCCTATATTTATGTTATTCTTCATGCTTCGGATCGCTATTCTTCTAGCAAGAGTTCAACTCACGTGTAATTAAAGATATCAAGTTCAACTGTGCTGCCGTCTGCACGCTTCTTCTTCTGGATATTAAAGCCCCACAGTATCCTAGCTACCGTGATCCAAGTCCCTTGCTCAGCTAGCGCTTGTCCCGAACAGACCCTCCGGCCCCACCCGAAGGTCATGTAGCCCCTTTCTCCCGGGAACGGTCGACTGTCTGGATGACCGGGGAGGAATCGGTGTGGGTTAAATCGATCGGGGTCGGGGAATTCACGGTCGTTGTGATGAATCGCCCAAACATTTCCTTGGATCCAAGCACCCTTAGGAATTAGCCAACCCTTATAGTAGTCATCCTGTGTCGGCGCGTGTGGCTGCCCTCCAATGATAGCTACAGAACGCCATCGCAGCACTTCCTTAACAAACGCCTTGATGTAAGGTAATTTATCTTCATCTTCCCAGCTCGGACTCCGATATGGGCCGACCACGCGATCAAGTTCTTCCCATGCTGGCTCCAGTGCCTCCGGAAATGCGCAGCAAGCTAGAATGAATGTAATCAAAGTACTACTGCTAGTGTCGGATCCGGCTCCAAACAAGTTTCCAGTCAAAGATGAAATCTCGGCTTCCTTGAGGTTATATTTGGGGCTTTCGGAGAAAAGATGATTCACGAATGAGTCCTTGTGGCCCTCCTTCTTGGCCGCCTCGTCCGCAAGGGCATAGAAGAAATGGAAAGCACGTTTCTTGCCCAGACCATACTTCCAGGGGGCAATCTCGTTGGGGAACTTGGCAAGCCAAGGGAACGTCTCCATAAGCATTGGGAACGTTTTGCCAGGGACATTCAGGTCGGCAGCCAGGTGCATCATGGCGATGACCTCAGTGATGATAGGATCGTCCCAACTCTCAACGCGCCGCCCAAAGGCTATAATTGAAACGACGCTTGTGGCATACCGCTCAAAATGCTTAACGTAATCATTAGGGCCCTTGAGCAGATCGTACGCGACAACTCGGCTCTCGTTGTTCTGGAACTCCCGATACCTGCGGACAGATTGCACGCCAACGCCGTGGTGTATAAGTTTACGGTGAACGCGCCACCGGTCGCGCTGCTCGGGACTTGTCGTATACATATTTAACAAATTGTCCTGGCCAGCACCTAGCTCTGCAAATACGAGCATCCGTGGTCGCGAAGAGTATATGCCCGCACGTTTCTCAAAAAGTTCCGATGCGGCCCACGCATCATTGATCCAGATAGTTGGGTTCCTAGACAAACGGTCAGCTGTCGAATCTCATCAAGGGTGGCGGGGCTGTATCACCGTCCGACCCATATCGTAATTAGAGACGCGTCATGTTTCTTCGACAGCTCCTCGAACCAGATCCATGGCTTACTGTCCGGAAGCATAAACGTGTTGCCAACGACAGGCCAGGGAAAGGGGCCAGGGGGCTGTCATCGATCTATCTTAGTCCTCAATGGATTCTATGTCTATTTGGACCGAAAGGGTTTACCACTTACAAGTTTGGAACGCATGTATAGCATATAGGAATAATCGATTACCAGAGTAATCCCACCGATTAATAGAATCGACGTGATCAGGTGCCACACGGAAATATGGCTGAATAATTCCCCCCTGTTACTAGGCCTAAGGCCAGCCAAGAGTTGATCGAACAACATGATAATGATAACGACAACGAGTAACCGGACGCCCCTAGGAAGTCTAGAAGCACACACGAAGAGTCGTGTAGGCTTCGACTTAGGTAGTAGGCAAGGCGAAGGAGTTGGTGGTTATATCCACTCCGACCCTGAGGCTCGTCTGGAGAGGGGAGACTTGTTATGCTGCTTGTCAATCAAATAGACAGCTAGCCATTACATATCTCGGGTCCCTCAATTCGGCATTTATCCTGTCGAGACGCAATTGGACAATGGTAATCTGCCGGGGAGGAACGTGGGGTAGACGACTGCGATACTCCTCATCTGGTCATGATTCAAACTCTTTTAAGCCTTCACTTACCCACTTTATTCACTTCCCCAGACCTAACCCCGGAATCTGGGCATGTGCCAGTGTGACATATTCCCAGTTGCTCGGTTGCCCGCGTGGTGGGAGATATTCTTTGCGGAAGCCGAAAGCGTTGTTTGGATAGGATCTAGTGACGATGCTCTTATAGAAAAGCATTATGTATGAAAGAAGCTGGGTAGCAAGTACTCCCCTCTGCTGATGACTGACGCCAAACTGCATAATTCTGTTTTAGTTGTGGAACATACTAGGTACCTACCTACCTACCTAGAAGACTTGATACTAGGTAGGTACTAGGTACAGTTTAATGTTAAGTAAGTTCGAAATACTAGGTATCGTCACGGGTGTTGATATCGCGTTGTCGGTAGGTACTAGGTACGGTGTTGGATGGTTTAGGCAATGCTTTTCAATAGGTATATGTACCTAAGGTATGTACATATATACCTAGGTATTGTACCTACCTACCTAATAGGTACCTTAGGTACCTATTTAAGAGAAGAGAACGGTCCCACAATTTGAGAGGTACTTAGGTACAACACAACCGCTTGACAAAGGTTGGCCTGCCGCTAGTAGAAGCTTGATTATATCAAGCTTCAAGGTTCCTACCTGATCTTCTTCGATCTTCTTTACCCACCTTATACCAAATAATAAACATACCAAAGCGTTTAAACATTTAAAATATTAACAATAATTGTATGAATTGATAACCTCTCGCATACTTTGTAGATCTGCGAGTGTCAATATTTAGATTGTTGGTACGAAGTACCGGTTGGTGCAACAGCCTACGCCAAAAAATCTTAATCGGTTAATCATTTTCCAAAGTTATTATTAGGTACCTACTTACCTAGGCAACAGTTTGAATAAATATTTATGTATTGTACCTAGGTAGGTAGGCAGTTATGATATTTAACTGGTCCCTGTTTCCAATTCCCGATTTCTGTACCTACCTAGTATGCCTGTATGAGACGTGTTATCTCCTTAATGGTATTGTATGTACCCGCCGCAACCTTGGAACCTTGAAACCTGCTACCTCGTAAGTTGCCAATTAAGGAGATAGCCTACTTTTTTTTGTTGATCTCGCAATTCTGATAAGCAATTAATCCCTCCAGGTCTGGCAGGGCTGGCACAGTGGGTTCAATTGTAAGATGCCAGTTCAGAAACGGAACAAACGGGATGTTTCTGTGTTTTGGGCAGCACATAGGCCGTGCTCCCTAGGACTTGAAATCGAGAGGCAACATACATAAGGTCCCGGATGAGAGAAAAATTTTACTGTCGTTCATTTAAATTTCCCATAGTTATCTTAATACTCTTGTGAGTTATCGCGGCGGGACCGAAAACTTTGGCGTCTTTTGACATCGAGTGCACCCTACCATGGGGATTCCGCGATGGAAGGATTTACCTACGCAGCATCCTAGGACATATGATACACTCAGTGCTATCGGGCGCGCCATTAGGCCGTATCTACCGCCTGTCAACTACATCACCCTGCACTATGCATACTTTATCGTCGTCTCCGTAATCGCCACGCTCATCTTCTGGGGCTCTTCGGTCCCAGCCTACAGCGTTGGCTGGTGGGATAGCATGTTCATGGTCGTGTCGGCGCTTACTGCGACTGGCCTCAACACCGTCAATCTCAGCCAGTTGACAACTTTCCAGCAGGTCATACTGTGCCTATTGATGATGATCGGTAGTCAGGTTTTGGTTTCCTACGCCACCATCGCGTATCGACAGCACATCTTCGAGAAGCGCTTCGAGGATATCGTGGAGATGGAGCGAGAAAGGAGGAAGAAGAAGATGTCGGGAACCGGCGCCGTGGTTGGGATGACGGGTACTATGTTCGGGCTACAGGTAATGTCGTCTTTCGGAAGAGGACGGGCGCAGAGCAAACCGCGACCTTTCAACCAGGCAAATTCTTCGACTTTGCACGCGCGAAAGCGTTCTGACGAGGTATCTGTTTCGGAAGTTCAAGCGGGGGGTATAAGGGGCCAACACATTGGCTTCCTTGAACCTGTCCAAGAAGATAAGCCTTTGGAGGGACAACCAGCAGAGGCAACCGGTCACTCGATTTACCAAACTCAATCTCATCAAACTGGAGCGACTAGACGAAGATCTCAAACAGCGGAATCAAGAACGATATCCGAGGGATTCAACGTACAAACCTTCCTCAAGGAACAAAAGCGTAATATCGGGAGGAATGGCCAATTCTTCAATTTATCTGAAGACGAACGAGAATACCTCGGGGGTGTCGAGTATCGTGCCCTCAAATTCCTATCCTGGTTCGTCATCGCCTACTTCTTGCTCTGTCAGTTCTTCGGTGCCATCGCGCTTGGTGCCTGGATGTCGGTCTACAAAAACGATGTAGCTGCCGTCAATGCTCAGAATCCATGGTGGGCTGGCATCTTCCTCGCTATCTCCGCATATAACAATGCCGGCTTCACGTTGTTGGATGCAGGGTTCATACCTTTCCAGTCCTCGTATTTCCTACTTACTATTGTTACACTGCTATCGCTGGCCGGTCCGGCGGCTTTCCCCGTCTTCATGCGATTTATAATATGGTCCATGGCATCTCTATTAAATCTCTTCACAAAAGGAAAAGAGTACGGCGTTTGGAAAGAGGGGTTTGATTTCATCCTAAAATTCCCTCGTCGCGTATACACCAATTTGTTCCCTGCCAAGGACACTTGGATATTCGGGCTCACGTTCGGGGGCTTTGTGATAGTGGACTGGATATTAATTCTAATCCTTAGTATTGGGAATCCGACGTTTGAGGCTATCCCCCTCGGCCAGCGAATTTTCGATGCCCTCTTCCAAGGATTTTGTAAGAGCTCCTTTGACAGCAACACACAAGCAATTCCGACAGAATTTCTAGCTAATGGACTGCTCCTTTCCAACAGCGATCCCTTCAGGGGGTTATGCTATAGTATCGCCATCGGCCGTTTATTTCGACATCCAGGTACTTTGGCTAGTCGTGTACTAGGTATGTATATACTATTCTAATGCCGATATTTCTTTGCCATAGTACGTAGCTAACGTTATGGCAGTGAGTGGATCGATTTCATATCGTAGTTGCCAAGCTAGAGAGACAACATCTAGACACAAACTTCTAGAATGCTAACCCATACCTACTTTAATACACCAGTACAGCGGCTTACCCTCATATTATCACTATCCGAAACTCCAATGTCTACGAGGAACGATCATTAGGGATATACGAAGGCGACCACGCATCAGAGGAACAACTTCACTCCGCAAGTATCAGTCTCGTCGACGCTGACGATATTGGTCTTCAAGATCAAAGCGAGATTCCACCGCCTACGACCAACAAGAACTGGGACTCGGTCTCGCGAGCGCCATCCACCGCGTCCATTAAGAAGCTCTACGTAGTTGGCCGACGCGGCACGGCATTTGTTGGCCGCCAAATTCAGCAGCGTATGTCATCCTTCCAAGGCGTCGGTATCAATGCTCCCGCCCCCGCGTCAGCATCGGCGCCGCCGCCCAAGTTAGGGATTCGCCGAGCCCAGACCGTCGACTTCGCGCGTATCTCTGTCCACTCCCTCCACTCTCACCCGCCAACGACCGGCCCTCCGAGTCTCGTCTCGCAACAAGTGCGCGGCCAGCTTAGCCACGACGTGTGGTGGATCGCACTAATGCTGTTCCTCATCGCTGTCATCGAAACAAAACACTCAATTGCTGACCCGTTGACGTTTAATGTTTGGACATTTCTTTTCGAGATTGTAGCAGGTTACACGACAGGTATGTGCCTAGTATTTTTCAAACAACATGTGAATCATATCAATCAGAGGCTAACATTACAACAGTAAGTAAAACAAAATCACACCTTCGTCGCCACATCTGGGAAGATACTTGGTACATTCTAAAAACGAGTTCAAAAAGGGCTGACAACGTCTTCACAATAGATCGGTATTAGCATCGGCCTACCTAACCAGAGCTATAGTCTCAGCGGAGGCTTTTACACCGGGAGTAAAATAGTCATGATTCTAGTGATGCTGCGTGGCCGGCACAGGGGCTTGCCTGTCGCGCTAGATCGAGCCGTTCGGCTGCCGGGGCATCGGCTTGCTGAGGATGAAGAGGAAGACGCTGAGATCCGGAGCATGTCGGCCTTTTCACGTTAACTTCTAACGCCACTGCGAAAAATATTATCAGCATCACCGACGGGTGCTCTATAGATCTTATTAGATCTAACACGTATCACACGATACTTAAAAAAGTTCCATTTATTGACTCTTCTTAAAGATACCAACAGAATTACCTAGATTTCTTACCTAGTCGAATATTTCCTAATTTACCTCAGACGAACTTTTCCTCGTCGTATTCGCGGAGAGAACAAGTGTCTAGGGCAGACACCTAGTGGGATTGGTGCCAACTACCTAAATATATCAGTGCTATCGCTCCCTACCTACCTACCTACCTACCTAGGTAGTACTTGCTTATTATAGGCTACCTACTAGGTAGGTAGGCATACGGCCTACGCTCTTATTCATAAATCTCAAAGAGGATAGACACCAGATACCAGCAAAAGTCTTCACTTTGCATACGGTGATCTACACTATAACCTATAACCTTAGGGCGTACATTACTCTTATTGAATATCTAAAATGGCGCGGAAGCGAAAAAAAGGTGGGAGGAGAGAAATTTCAGATCTCGGCAACGCGCGAAGCGTGTAATTACACCCACAGACGTAGAATTATCGGTGCTATGTGTATTAACATGATAGTTGACCTCTTAGACCGACTCATGATGATCTCATGCTCATATCACTGGTTGAATGAGAGCCGTCTTAGCCGTGCCCAGGACGCGAGACGGCAGAATATCCGATGCCAAGCAATGCACGGCGTTTAGGATTTGTACAGAGCACCTACGATTTAGCACACACCGTTCAAAAATCTATCAATTATGACTAGGTACCTGTCAATAGGGATTCCAGCCTCAACTTCAGTGACCGACTTCAATAATATTCCGAATCGTATTGGATCATCTGGCATACGGAGTCCGAGAACATCATTATTTCTTCAGTCGTCTAGGTAGGTAGGTAGGTAGGTAGCTACTTGTTTGCGTTTGGTGACTACCTAACAAGTATCAAAAATCTGCTTTCTTAGCCACATGCCGAAGACCCGAACTTAGAATATAGCTTCGCCAGCGATCGCGGCCTTCTTTCAACTCCGTGCGTTTAACATTGTGACGGAAATATGTCGAGCAAGATCCTATAAGAATGATCCGAAATAAGGATCATTCCGGGAAAAAAAAAAGGTCTCGGTAATGTGGAGAAATTGAATAATTCGTCCAAAGAACATTATATATCTTGATAATGGTACACCACTAATGGTCATGTAATGCATTGAAGATCGTAAGAAAAGCAATCGTTTCTTAACATTAAATATTTATTTAGGGGGCATACCAGGCATACAGGAACAGTGGCGGTGCTCCTTACCTAGGCGAACAGGGCGAGGAGTCGCTAATGCTAGTTCGTTCCGCGCTAAGGTAGCCAGGCAGCCAGGGCTACTCTAGGCAAGGTTTCGTACAGCAATTGGTCTTGTACGTGGAATAGAATCTTAAAAACCCTCACAACTGATCAATCTGCTAGAATAGGTAGGTACTAGGTAGGTAATGAACAATGCTTTCGATCAGCTTGTTTGAGTTTTGAAGCGCCTCAAGGCTCTTTCTTTCTATGTTGATGTAAATCATTTCGGGTTGACCGATCCTCGCATTCAACCGTTCTACCGTTGACCTACTAGGTAAGTACTTACCTAGCACCTAGTAGAAATGTAGTAAGTAAGAATACCTAGAACATACGACGATTCGTGTTCCATTGCGCCGTCGTTTTACTTCGAAGCGCTATTACATTATGTACGAAATATCCTACGATCTTATCTGATTCATATATGATACTTTAAGCACCTTGGTAGGTAAATATTTAGAGAATTTTATCCCATCCAGGCTAGCCTTGTAGACGGATTACACGTTCGGATGACGCGTCTTAAAAAGTGATTCGTATATCCATCCTATTCTCCTTTTAGTGAATTTATGATAGGGAAAATTATCGCATAGAACATGCTAACTGTCAGCTTAGAGCATTCTTGTCGTCCAGTGATACAGCTCTTCCCTGCACATAGCTGTCGATCAACCCAGATTGGTAGGATGTCGGGTAAAAGAATCAAAATCAAACATTGAAAAATCTTAGGCTAGATAGTACCTAGCAGCCTAGTACCCAAGTAAGACAAGATTGACCGTTTCCAGGTTTAACGTTATTCGTAGGTTTATGTACCTATGTAGGTACAATATACTTTAAGATCTACCCGTCCGCTGGCCAAACTTACATAGGTAGACACCACAGCCTCAACCATGAATAGTACCTAATACCTACATGTATTGTATCAGTGTATGTATGTACCTAGGTATCATATAATGGAGACATCCGTGATCCACCAAGGTGGTGGATCGGGTCGGACGGCTCAAGCTTCTGTACCACGTTTGTCCAGACTCATGCACAACGCCGGGACGCATGGGCGTCTTTTCCGACCATCTATTGGATGCATTGGGCGCTAGACGGCTCGAAATACGGGTCGGACCCGTGAGCCATGAGAAAATCCAGCTGCTTTCGGATATACTATGTACATCCGGTAGGAAAAGTACGTCATCCTTTTCTTTCTTGTTAAAGATTGTCCAACGACGCTCACCATCAGACTCGACAGATTAGAAAGAAAAACATCATTTATGTACGTACGTTTTTACCTACCTACCACCTAGTAGGTAGTTTATATCATGTACAAAATACTTACATAGATACACACGCAATTAGAAGCCCCCACGTACCCCCCTTGACCCTTACGTATTTTGCGTACCTTACCTAGAAGGTAGTGGCGCTGTAGGTATTCAAAGGAAGGAATGATGGCAGGTAGGTAGGTGTATATCCGATCTAAGATCGTCGTTTCGTTTCGTTTTATCTTTTTTCTTTTAATTATTTATCTTTTTACTCACATTTTTTCGTTCCTCTCCCCCCCAAAAAAAACTAAAACATCCACAAGTTCTACCTGATCGGATTCTTTATTGTTTTTTTGGTCTGTCCTACGCACATATTTCCTTTCCCCTCTCCGTGTTTCTCTTCTTGTGCGATCTCATTTCGCTCGCCTTCAGCTTCGATCCTTGCATCCAACATCTTCGTCTACCTATCTGGGTACTCTTTCAAACCTCGAGAAACGATAGCTTCTCTTCCTTCCAATCCATTTACTTAGCTATGCTGTCCTTACGGTAAAAGAAGAAACAATCGAAGGGCTTCCCCATGTTTCCGTCCAAGGTGCCTCGTGTCTTTGTCCTCGCCAGCGCCGTGCTTCTGTTCCTCGTCACTTACACTACTCTCCACCTCTACCACCGTGTTCCGCCATCCTACCCAACAGCAGATTCAAGAATCGTTCCGGTTCAGGATGCGGTGGCCATAGAAAAGCAGCAAGATTCAGGCCATCGCGTTGGAACAGAGGCCGCAACCGTCAACACTTTGGACCCAGGCTCACCTGTCTCTCCTTTGAAACCAGCCATTGAAGACGGGGGATCAGATCAAAGACCGCCAATTAAGACCGGCGGAAGTACCAATGCTGGAAGTCAGCCCGCAGAGCACCTGTTACCGTTGCCTGATCCTAAACACTGTCGCGGAGAACTGGAGTTTTTAGTTCGCTCCAGCGTCGAGTTAGAATTGACGGAACGTGTGCGCTACATCCGGCGCTATATACAACCAATATTTTCCAATAGTGTCGATAGGGACGATGTCGCGAACGTTACCGAGCCGCTCATAAGGGACGAAGTAGAAGTTGACTTGTACGATTGTGGAGATGTTAGTCTCCCCCAATCTATGCCGATTAAACTTCATGTCCCGCGGCCCCATCCTAAAGAGGACTTTTCTCATCTTATATTCGGCGTAGCCACCAACTATGATCGCTTGAAGGACTCGATTGGCCCCTTTACGCATTGGATATCCGGCACCGGCGCAAACCTTGTCGCTGTCGTCATCGACGCGAAAGAGAAGTCACATAAGCAGATGAAATTATTACAACATGATTTCGATGTTGCTGGAATTAACGCCACTTTAGTGAAGCCCATCAACGACAGGTTCACAACCTCTCAAAACCACTTCGCCGTTCTAGTCAACATGCTTGAGAACAGCAACCCTGACACCCAGTGGTATGGACTCCTCGACGATGATACCTTCTTCCCGACTTTGAAGCCACTCTCGGATGGTCTTGCCACGCTAAACCATAATGTTGATGCCTACGTTGGCGCCCTTTCGGAGGACTTTCAGGCCGTGCGAGGCTTCGGTTTTATGGCTTTCGGCGGTGCCGGCGCATTTTTGTCAGCGCCACTCGCCAATAAATTAGGGACCCAGGCGTTCAAATGCATCGATGAAGCGATCGGTAGAGAAGGGGACACCATTCTTCGCGATTGTGTATACGCCAACTCAAAAGCGAAGCTCACTATCCTCCCGGGTCTGTATCAACAGGACATCACAGCTGACGTCAGTGGTTTTTTCGAAGCGGGATTAAGACCACTGACCCTTCATCACTGGAAGAGTTGGTACAGAGAACCAGTCGAGAAAATGGCTAAAGCTGCCAAGTTTTGCGGGGATTGCTTCTTGCAGCGTTGGCGCTTTGGTACGGATACGGTCTTCTCGAACGGATTTTCTATTGCCACGTACAAAGATGGGGTAGAGTCGGTCAACCTACAATTGATGGAGGGTACGTGGGGCCACGCGGATAGTAATGATTTCGATTTTTCGCTTGGTCCTCTCAGAGCACCCTACTCTGCAGATCAGAAGAAGAGCTATAAACTCAGAGACGCGGAATTTGCAGATAACGGAGATTTGAAGCAATTATATGTTCGAACAGGCGATTCTTCCGCGGGCGAATACGACCAGGTGGTCGAGCTGGTATGGCAAAAGCATTAGGTCATAGGCGTTTTTGGATCTGGGAGTAACGGGATGAAGCGCATTGCTTCGGTTTTGAAAAGGGCACCGATTGGAAACGGTGACATTGCATAAGCACTTTTCGCGAACGGTGTTGGAGTTGGATCGGGACCTTGTCTTATACCCAGATATTTTCTTCATGATGAGCATACCTCCGGCTTCTCTCCACCCCTATTATTGATCACATTTCTTCATTTCCATCATTCGTGACGTGCTATTACTTGACTCGTTATCCCATCTACCAGCATATACGTCAGTATAGATGCAGTACGGTGGCCAGAATATTCCTATAATATTTTTGAACAAGTGGCTGTTCTCCCAGGTGTCATAATATTGTCTATCCTTTCTGGGAAGCTCCCGCCAACTCGGGTTATCTCCCAATCAAATATTAAATCAACTAATGTATGTCTAGATCCCTTAGTGAGGGATTGATTTTGGATGAGAAATCCTTGCCACGGAAAGACTGTTGTTGCACATTACCTAGGTAGTTCAAAGGGCTTGTTTTGCTGTTGCAGCACAAGGAACGAGACGTCGTTACGTTTCTGCATGCTGGTCAAAGAACGACACGATTGTTAATAGAATCCTTCATTCATAAAGGAGATCTCTAAATCCCAGACGATGCCGAGCCTACTCCTAAACTGCTACGTAGGTACTGTACTTAGGGCTTTTCATGTTCTAATTATCACACCAACTTCTGTTCTAATTGTTGACGATACCTAGTGACTGGATCCTGTCATCAAAATTCTCATTCAATCGCCCTCGTTATAGTAAGACATTTGGCGTTGATTCTTCGATTTATATTATTTCAATAGGGACGGAAACCAACAGATTCGTTCACCATATCCCACTTACCATATTATCCACGGTCTCAGGTGAGAGAACAAACCATGATGGCGTTTCCATACGATCACTTCCAACCCTATCCACCACCATACCCATACCAATATCCAGGTGACTTTGATGGAGGAGCAAACTTCGAAATCAACCCACTACAGCAGCTGACCATGATCGCCGATTGGACGAGTGGCCTAGCGGTGCGACTCGAGGAGTTGCGATATCAGCTTGGTACCACATTCTACACCCCGGATAACCAGTGGTTAGCTTGGAACGAGTACCTAGCACACCAGTTCGCGCTATTAGCGGAAGGGATAACAGTACATCGTTCATGGCTGCTGTACTTAGAACAGAGACAAAAACAGACGAACTTCATCCATAACTCCCAATGTAGGTATAGTTCTCGTCTAAGGGAACTAAATGAAAAGCTCCACCAGGCTTACATAGAGAGTACGAAGTCGAGAAAGGGCACAAATGAAGGCGGCCATCCACATTAGCCTATTATTGTTTCTCCTATTTTGGAAATTCTGGCCTAATCCGATTACTCCTATTGGACGGATACGACCTTCGCCGCACACCAGCCTTAAGGGGTTGAGATAGGTAGGTACCTACCTCTTACCGGTACCTTGTAAATTAGATAGGTACTACTTCAACGATACCGTTAATATACCCCTATTTCTTGTGTCTGCAACTATCTATCTAGGTACGTGACATCCATGTTTGTGAAAGTAATTTTATTAGGTTTATACGCGCTGAAATACCTTACCTGTAACAATGGCTTTGTGTTCAGTGTCGAATATCACAGTGAATCCCAGAGGACGACGAACGAGTTCTTTATGTCTTGAAAACAATGTCATATTCAATAATATTACATAAACCTATTGTTGCCACCGAAGAAAAAAAGAAGTTTTGGGGATTAAAACGCGATATCCTGTTAGAAAGCTACCCTGTACCATTTGACAGCATAACGTCATTCTCTCGAATCTTGAAATCAACGTTGTTCAAAAGTATTCAGATACTTACTAGGTAGTGCACAGCTCTCACTATCACGATGGCATTCACGAGATTCTTCAGGAAAGCTGCAGTTTTTTGCATTAAGAAAGTCTCCATCTTATTGCCATTCAAGAAAACGCGCAAATCCCAAAAGTCACCCAAATCTCCCGAGCCATGCAAGTCGTGTAAGTCGCGCAAATCTCCTAGGCCTTATAAACCCCTCAAAACTCACAAGATCCGCAAGACCCATAAGACTCAAGAGCCTCTCAAGTCTTGCAGGTCATTGATTTCTTATATAGATAGTGGTATAAATGAAGCCAACACTCTATCTGGAAATATATCTGATTTCGAAAGTCAGAATCAGAACTGGACGGGCGGAATGGATGATTTGAACTCCATCGTAAATCGGCAAGCCAAAACAGCGGCACAGGACGCTGATTTGATTCAGACACTATTTGGCATTCAAGAATCTCAGCAAAGTATTATCGAGGTCCAAAATGAGTCCATGGACAAGCTAAATCACGAATACGATAAGCAACGATTACATGTAGCACAACTTGAATCAAGGATAAGCGCTCAAAAAGAAGTGATACGAAGTTTACAACAAAGGCTTACATTGGAGTTTTTAAAAGCTCAGAATTCACACGAAGATATACGTGGACTTTTAAGGGAAATATTGGAGCCCTAATTTTGGCCCCGACACAGAACCCCTATTTACAGCTGAGTTATCTCCGACTGAAGTCAACACTGCGCGTGTTGCAATTACAGGAATATCTTAATATTGGCAAGCTGTTAAACTACGTGTATACCTAATAACCTATGTTGGTATATTAGGTACGTCCTTCGGATGGGGTTAGTAACAGAACCATCCATGTTTATAGCCCTGAGATATCGTATCATATCATAGACCCCTTAAAGCTACTTGATTGGGGCAACTTGAAGATGAATACTGGGTAGGTAGGTATTGTGTTTTACGGAAAGAACGGTATTGTTTAGAAATTGGCATTACTATTTGGAAGCCAATAAATGTTTATAATGGTTCATTGGTTGATGAGGATAGGACAATGATGTTTAGGTACCTGGTAGGTAGGTTAAGTAAATCGAATATATTTAAGCACTGTTTCAAAGGTAATTAGCACTTTGCTATCTCTACTGTCCATGTATTGAAGTGGTATTCAACCGGTATATGTGTAGGTAGGTAAGGTAAGCGAGTCCCATACATGTACCTAGTACTTACCTGTGAAATGCATAAAGAAGTATTCCGACGAGAAACGTGTGGTTTACTAATATGTGACTGCTCTATCCTTCTCCAGGAAGTAGCGAATCGAGAGCAGTGATTTGAACGCATAGAGGGAGAAGAGCGACCTGTACATGTAGGTAGGTAGGTACTGGGTATTTAGGTAGCTTTTTAATTACATTCACCTTTATAGATTTAATATACTTAACGTATCTAGGTAACCATACCATCTCTATTCCTCCCTTGGTTTCACATCATCAGATTAATGTAATATCGATCTTATACCTAAAGTACCTACCTCTACTACCCCGAAGTGAATATGCGTTTCCTAAATATGATGGTAACCTACATATTTATTCTAATAATACCGACCCTTTACCTAGCTTTTGCATCCTCGGCTGGTAGCCCGAATGTTGGTGCCATTAGTAAGAGGCGTCGTCGTGTTCGATCTTCCACCTCCAGTCCTCACTACTGGCAAAATAGTAGCGACATTCAAGTCTTCTGTCGCAATGAAACCCAAGCACCTATCTTTACCGGTAAGTAGCCATGGATCATTTCTCATCAATACCTCGCCCCTTCTTCATTTCAGTTTACCTATTAATACTAACGACTCCCATACGCACGATTAGAGGGCGATGAAGACCTCGGTGGGCCCGGCATCGTGATATACAATTTTGATCCTCATGGCCATGGAGACGTAAATGGCGCCATGTACTTCGTATACGAGAGTAATCACGACTTTGTCCCTTACAAATATCTAATCGTAAGCTCTTTAATCCTAGACCACCCACTTCTCCGTCTCGCTCTACCCTCGTTTTAGAGAACGGCACTAACTCGGACCATACGTCTATTATTATAGATCCCGCCCTGGTCGAGCGTGTTCCTGTCTGTATGCCCAACTTTTCGTGGGCGGATTGTGCGGGGCAGCCCCTTCAATCTCGACGGGCGGAAGCACCTGTTAGGTACATGGGCAGAAGTAAACTGGCATGCTAATGAGACGTGGTCAGCATGGGGCGATATTTCCATACTGCAAGGCAACGACGGTGCGGCGACCATCGAGTCGCTCGACGGGCTCTTCAAATTCAGGGGATTCATGCTTGATCTCTTATCTTACGCCCCGGCCGATGCGTGGGCGCAGAAGGCGACGGGCTCGTGGTGTCTCGACAAAATCATTGGCGAGGACGCGAATAATGTGACAATGGAGTGGGAAAGGCAGTTTATAGATCCATGGAATGTATATCTGCGCGACGATATCGACCCCGTCATCAATTCGAACAATGGCAGATTCCAAGTCACATTCTACGAGGGTATATTCTAGATGTCTCATAGTCAGCCGAGTTTTTAGACTCAAATAAAAGTTGGGAGTTGCGGATCCTAAAGATAAATAGCTAGATCACATAAAATACGACGTATAGATGTCTTTTAAGTCGTTGGAATTTGTCGATATTATGGTCGTATGATAATTTATTCTTAGCGAAATTGTAGTTGTGCGATATCTCAACTAGAACATTCAAACGGGGCGTGGGGTCTGCAACTACCTTAGTATGTAGCCTAGTATGTACTAGGTACCTATGGTACATCCATACATACCCACATGCATCTACTAGGTAGTACCTTCTAAGTTACGTTCACTACTAGTAAGATACTTCCACGTGGGAGGCAAGTTTAGCTTTAGGTTAAGTACATAAAAGTGTATCTGAAATACACGAATGAAAAAAGAACCTTAAACCGGAGAAAGATCTCCTCGATCTAATAATAATAAACATTGTTTAATAATGATTTCAATCGACAGGGGTGGAAGCAGCCAAGTTACATCACGCACAACCAAAATATGATAACCCTTGTCCCTTGCCTCTCTGTATCCAATCAGTTGGCTTTTTTTTCTCTTTCGCCAAACCGAGGCTGGTATTCGTCTAGATACCCCAATCTCTGATCGCATACCTACCTACGATACAACGGCACGGCGACAGGAGTCCGGTCAGCTCGCAGCTTGTACCTACTACCTATGTATCTGTGGCATTTTGTTGGCGCTGGCGTTGGCATTGGCGTTGGTATTCCGTTTTCAGAATCCATCTCGCCAAGGCGCCTCACTTCTTTCCCCCGTTCATTCAGTCCATTCCATCACTCTATCACCTAGCATACAGTACCTACCTAGGTATGTACAGAATGCTGACAGCCTTGGCGACCTCGTTATGGTAACTTATCTTGTAGCCCTGCATCACGAAACCGTCACGATCAAATTTCTTGCGTAGCCATGGCCTACGACAGTATCTTGATGAACTAGCTGGCTACGTATTGTCGCTAGTCATGAATTAGAATCATATGCCTTCTTCCTGAGCATCAAGAGCGTAAACGAGCACTCTTTCTTGAGTTTATCTACGCCCACATGCCATATAAAATGGCACATCACCAACAGAGACTCGTTGTCTTAGCCGTCTGGTGAGTCGTGATGCTACAACCGACTGGGTGGATAGACTCGTTCGTCCCGTCTCTTAAAGTTAAACTTAGACAATTAACGCTCTGTAGCATTCTTAGTTCAAGTACGGCCTTCATCTGGTCCCGATATTATAAAAGCGCAGCATTCGGTACGGCCCGCCAACCATTTAAACTCTTTAGAAAAGGATAAAAATTCCTATGGGATGATTAACTAATAAATTCTAATTAGAACGACCATTCCATTTTTCCATCTTGACTCTTCTCTTCTCCGGTCTCACCCTGTTCTTCTACGCAAAGTATATACTTCGATCCGAACCGGGTTATGCGCCGTTGTCCAACGGCACTGGGAATACATCAGCCAAATCCTTTTTCGTTGATATACTGAGATATCCACTTCGACTTCGATCACAATATCCATCCTTTGCTCTGCTGCTATTATGTGTGGTCGCCCGTACCATTTTATATTGGAGAACTATTCGCACCATCCACTGCTCATGGGATGGACTTCAGGTTCGCGCTCGTTGCGTTCGCAAGGGAATCGGAAGAATATGGTCACTGACATTTAAGAATAGGCCTTTCTTCCTTTCCTCCTTATCGTCTACGATATCGCCGAGCTACGACCCATCAATTTACCGAGACATGAACACGATACCCATGGCCGAACTACAAGCTCTTCATCTACCCTCGTGAAATATGGTCTAATTGCGCTATTCTGGGGCTTAGCAGCAACTGACACTCTCCTACTATCTGAGCGTACCACCGGCGCCATTTGTCCTGCCGCAACCTATATCGAGCGCCTAATACCTCTCGCCCAGTTACTCATGCTAGCTCTCGATGGCGTCTTCATATCGCAAGTTGGGAAGCTTAGGCAGGCAAACGAAGGGCAGGCAAATACGTGGCATTTCTTAGGCACGCTATTTCTAACCTCAGCAGGCGTGCTGACTTTCTTCGCTGTCTGGTCATCTATTGACCGAGCTAACTTCCAATGGAACGTCTTCCTCTCCTGGCTTGCCACCGGTGATCTAATTGTCGATAGTATCGTTGTGACGATAGGCATAACCTCTACTATATATCTCCTCGGGTATTTCCATCCCTTGTTTGTGAGCTTACTACTCACGGCGACAAGTATCTTCGTCTACTTGCAGTGGAGAATCATGGACGGAACTATGATCAGGGTTTGGTCCAATTGGTGGGGTCTTATCACTGGTGTCTGGTTGTTTGTAGGGGCTGGCCTTCTTTTACACTTCGGTAAGACAGCCAATTTTCAACTTCACACTTCCAGCGAAGGCGCCATCTCGAGGAATCGATACGGATTTTGCGCTCTGGTTACCTTCCTTCTCGTCTTCGCCCAGACAATTTTCGTGAGCTCTGGTGGGTTTAGACCTACCCCTACCCCGATCATTGCCAATGCCAGAAGCGAGTCGGATGCCTGGATAGCTGGAGCCGGGAAGAGTAAATCGCTCCAGGAAGCCGTCTCGGAGTACCGAAAGCGCTACGGGATACCACCGCCTCCCAACTTCGACAAATGGTACCACTTCGCAGCCTCGGTCAAATCCCCAATCATCGATACATTCGACCAGATCCACGCAGATCTCCTTCCGTATTGGGGTACCTTGCCGTCTGTTCTACGTCAGAGGACGACTCATTTACTCGAACACCCATCGCTCTCCATGGGTGGTATCATCCTCGAAGGTGGCAAGGCTGACGTTTCCCCACATATCCTCGGCACTCATAGATGGATGATGGATGTTACGAAAGATATGCTCGAACCCTTTGCCCAGTGGCTTCCTGACATGCAGCTTGCGTTCAACCTCGATGATGAATGTCGTATTTCAATCCCGCTCGACCGTATGAAAGCCTACACAGAAGAAGGGCTCAAAGCCAGAGCGAGGTTAGGTGAAAAGCAGGAGTTATCACACTTTAGCGACACCCAAGAGCCGCCGTGGGTGAAAGGCTACTTAAATTCGGACGAGAAAATTTGGGACGAGAAATCACCATGGTTCTTAGACAGGTCCAAGCGTCAGATCTTCTATGAGTGGATCTCGCCAACATGCCCAGCCGAATCACCAGTGAATAAGTACCGCTGGTGGAACAAGAAGGCAGAGTGTCTAGGTTGTTCAGCTCCGCATATGACACATGGATTTGTGTCCAACTGGACACTGTCTGGCGACTTATGCCACCAGCCTGACCTTGCGTATCTACATGGTGTCCTATTATCGCCATCTGCCATGGCTCCTTCCCATACGCTGTTTCCCGTCTTCAGCCAGAGTCGATTATACAACTTCGCCGATATACTGTATCCAAGTCCATGGAACTTTGGAGAGAAGGTGGAGATCGAAAACAATAAGAGTATACCATGGGACCAAAAATTAAATAGCGTCTATTGGCGTGGCGCTTCTTCGGATGGTTATGCTGTCCACGGTGCCTGGCAGACCTTCTTACGAGCCAGGTTTGTCAATATGGCAGCTAAAGCCAAGTTGTCTATCAGGGCAAAGTCCCTCTTCAACCTTGTGCATTATCGAAGAGATATCATTTCCCCATTACTGTCCGCCTCAACACCATCTCCTTCCGCACAACCAACGGCACCAACAGAAGATCACATTGTCGTCAATGCCTCATTCGTTGGCAAGTTCGACCGTTGCGACGACCGCGACTGCACGGCCGAGCACGTCACCTTCTATGGCTCACCCACTGCCGAACCACCCCCTTCGCTCGATTTCCAAGAGCATTGGCATCATCGCCATCTCATTGACCTCGACGGTGCCGCCTTCAGTGGCCGCTTCATACCGTTCCTCAAGTCTGGGTCTCTACCGTACCGCGCTGCCCTCTTCCGCACGTGGTGGGAAGAGCGTGTCCACGCGTGGAGACACTTTGTACCATTAGACGTGCGACTCAGTGACCTTTGGGACGCCGTGAACTACTTAGGCGGACCGGGTCTATCCGAGGCAGACGAGATTGCACAGGCTGGTCGTGACTGGGCACTCCAGTCACTTCGGAAAGAAGACATGCAGGTCTACATGTTTCGTCTACTACTTGAATGGGGACGTCTCGTGGATGATCACAGGGAGGATCTTGGCTTCGCTCTCTAAGGAGGGTTGAAATAAAGAACCAAAAAGGTTAGGGTTTCTAGTTACATGCATACTAGTTACTGTATATACATACACGGATGGGCACGCTCTTCTCACTGCCTGCTTTTTGCTCGAATGGATGATTTTTACGTTTTGATACCACCCGCGGAGGAGCGGGACGGCGGCCGGGTTATCGCAGTATGCGTACATGCCCAGTGGGTACCTAGGTAGGTACATATACGTATCTACACGCAAACGAATGATACCACACGATGAATAAAATAGATTTGAATTTTGATAGTTCTGGCATGAGCTTTGCTTGTGATGACGTGCGATATTTTTGTTAGTGCCTCTCTTGATGCCGATTTAATACCTACCTAGTAGAAGGAAAGATAGGACACGGATAATTTATTAGGAAGAGTACTAGGTACCCAGAATAAAAAGACCTGGAATTACGCATCCCAAAGTTCGGGTACCAATTTCCTTCATTCATAAGTTCACGTGAAACTTTGTTAAATCAAAGATATATCAAATAAACTACCTAGATAAACTAGCTCCTACCTATATAGATCCGGAAACACGGCCATCTACCTGATCTATCTCTCAGAAGATAACAAGCAAAAAGGGAGTAGAGCAGTAGAGAATAGAAGCACACAGTATAGTGAGGTCGCGTGGTTGGTTAATAGCTAGGGTAAAAGCAATTAAATCCTCTCTTCACTCCCGACCATCGCCTTGAATATTCTATAAGTTCCTTTCCCAATTCATGATTCATTCCAAGGCCCTTTCTCCCGCCAGCCCATCTGCGCTAGATTGAGCGGCTCTCATTTCTCCACTCCATCTCCTATATGCTCCACGTTCGCCTTCCCTGAAGCAAATCAGGCCAACAATCCTCAAGCCCAGTTTGCTAGTAGGTGCAAGGAGAATTCTAGTTATGTATGTAGATAGGCAAAAACAACATTATCAAATTAAGACCCCGTATCAGATGGTGGTAATAATGTGGGAATTAGATGAAATATTAAGAACCCCGAGCAAATGTATTCAGCGAATCGAGCCCGCTCGGGATGGGCCTATGACTTGCCTGCACCTCGGACCCTAGCCATCCATGCATCGACTGTCTCCTGTTGGTCTAGTTTATTCCTCGACTCGATCACGTTCTGTGCCTCAGCGACAGTGTTAGTATCAAGAAGAGGTACTTCTAGATCTAACAACAGGGCCACGGCAGCGCGGATGAAGAGTGCGTCTCCTTCAAATACGTATACGTCCCATAGTCGAGTGCATTCCTCGAGACTAAAAAAGCGCGTAAAGCAAGACGTAAATAGTTCGCCGAGATAGTCATTCGGCTCAAACCCAAGCTCTGGATTTATGAGGTGTTGGCGAAGTCGCGGAGACTTGGTGCCCAACGTTTGAAGGAGTAGGTTAAACGCTGAGGCTTTGGCCCCAGCGTCTGAAGCGTAGAAGGAGAAAGGAAGAGGCCGGTTCAGGACGTTAGCTAAAGAGACGAAAGCAGCAGCAGGTGTAGCAAGGTTAAGCAAGAGCATCGCGGCAATAGTCTACGCGATATAATTAGTACACATAGACACAGACGCACGAAAAGCGGGTGCTAGGAAACTCACGTTACAGCCAGAGACGTAGCCAATGTCGCTCCGATACATGGCGTAAGCACTAAGGACATCAATAAGACCTTTGTTCAACGGAGCACCGGCTTGAAAGATTTTAAGATCGGCCCAAGTTCGCTCCTCCACATCTATCTTGATCTGAGCAAACCAAGCCACCTTGCGTTCGTCCTCGGTACTCGCTTTTCCAGCCGCACAGCGATCTTCAACTTCTCGAACCCTCGTGAGGGCAGCCTGGAACGACGTTTCCGTCAAACCCAGCTCGTTTCCGATAGCCCGAGTCCACACAGCACCTCGACTACGCGGTGCTACACCCTTCCACCACAGCTCACGAGTTCGCCGCTCGCGAACGGCGGTATCCCATCTCTTCAAAACGTCGTCTTCCCATACTTGCATTAGTGCCTTTGCAGCATTATCCTTAGTCCGTTCTTTCTCTTTCTGGGCCGCCTCTCGTTTCTTGTCGGCCTCAATACTGCTTGCCATCATTCTCCTGTACTCTCTGATATGTCTCTTCTCTTCCGCAGGGTCCTTTGGAGGCAGCCAGGATGGCCTTGTTCGCGAAAGGACGGCCTCTTTCTCCTTTGAGACAGGTAAGGGATCAATCATAATATTGGTGCGCCGAAGAGGAGGAAGCTCAGCAAGTGCAGATTTTACACGCGGCTTTAGTATAGGTCGGTCATATGATGAGTGTAGGCCATGCTTGTCAAGCTCATCCGCATGCTCCTCCAACTTTTCGGTGAGCGCCTTTGCTTCAGGACTAAGTTCCGAAATAGCGGCAGTCCAGCTCTTAGCTCGGCCCTTTGCCGAAACGGACGTTGACGATCGGTTTGAATCGGTGGATGATGAATCTGTTTTCCATGCCGGGGATCTTAGGCTACCCTGATGAACTGCAACCGGTGGCGTACCATTTCCGACGCTACGAACACGTTCCTTAGGTCGCCTTTCCGGGGATGTTGAGGTAGAATTTGGGCGACTAGCTGAACGCTGCATCGGCGGACGAGGCGACAGCGGAACGTTATCTAGTATGAGATCATCTGGAATGTTATCGTCATCGTCGTCATCACATTCCTTCTCCAAGTCGATTGCCGATTTCGGCTCCCGGCCCATCTGCCAACTGCTTCGTCGTGGCTTTGGTACTACGAGATTCATATCCCGAGGGCTGAGTGATCGAGCAGAAACATTTGGGCTTGGGCTTCGACGGCGGCGAGACGCTGTGGTGGAAGCGGACCGTACAGAGAGGCCGCGCACCGGCATAGGACCTGGTTGGGGATCATGGCCAATTCCTGTGCTAAGACTGCGAGTGCTAGTATCGCGGAAATTCGCACTGAGGGTCGGCGCTCTAGGTCGTGAGCCTGAGAACGACTGATTGGTGCGTAGTTGAGGGCGCGGGCGGGCTAGATCGCGAGGTTGTGGGTGAATTTTAGGACCGACATGTTTCGCAGATGAGGCACGAAGGTCGGAAGCGAAGGAAGCGCTGTAAGGATTCGGAGCCGACTTAATTTGAGTATTACGATAGTGAGAAGGGTCGATAGTGGCGACATCGTCGTCAAGACCGATCTCCTCGAAATGGGCGACATCTGCCGTAATAGCATCATCGCCGTCGTCCGAGTTGAACGAGCGTACGGACGACGCTCGGGAAGTGATGGCGGACGAAGTCATGCCGGGTGGTGATCCAGGACTCGGAATTGCGAGGTCAACCCCGTCTGAGTGTCCTCCGCCGTAGGTCATGATCGCATGGTCGAGCATCGGGGGGCCGGCTCAAGGTGTAGGATGTTAAGAGAACTAGCCTTGAAACTGAGTCCAAGGAGAGTTGAAAACACAAAGAAATTGCGCGTTGATTGCTATGGCTTTGGTGGAGACGAGAAACTAAATGGATTCGTGATGCCACTAAGAGATTGACAGTCTGATCTTCGTCGATCTTGTTTATGAGAGTTCTGGCTCCCAATAATGGCTTCAGACGAAGGAATCAGTAAAGAACACCAGGGTGGCCAGGAATAGCAACAGTGAGAGGCGGAGATGTCTAGTATAGACCGTTGGAACGAATCACAACGAAGCAAAGATATTCGATAATCCTCAATTGGAAAGAACCAGGATCGCCTAAGGGAAGCCCCTGATTTGCGATAGCGTTGTTGTGATAGAAGTGAGAAGAGGCTTGTCAATTGTCTCACGATCCTAGTAAGGAATAACCCCTAGGTAACGGCGTAGTATGTCGGATGGCGGATGTCCGATGCTAGACGATAGGATAGTTGATTGTAACTTATTACTTGAATAGCACTTGCCAAGAGACGAGTATGTATTAATGAATATACAATATTTGGCTTTTCCGCAGAAAAAGCGGGAGTTGAACAATGGGATTATGTTCTTTGTTAATAGTGGTGGTCGTTTTCGTGAAGCCGATGACAAACGGCCTAGTATAGTTACGAGCTGATAAGTCCGTGCAGAGAGTGACGATAGCGTTTCGATTTTCTAATGCAGATTGATTAAGCTCAAGCAAGACACATTATAATTCAGCAGGGGGAGGTTTGTACGCTGTAATCCGTTCGTGAGCGTAGGGGTATATATGTATGCCCGGGTATGCTTTGTGTGTATATGTATGGATGTGTGTGTGAATGCGTGTATGTAGATATGGTGTAGTATGTTCGTATCGTTAGAGGATGAGGCTGTTAATGGTAGGTAGTTTCGGATGCTCGGCGGTTTGTTGTGCTAAACGAAGGATCAAAGTTGAATAAAAGAACGAGTGGATGATGATGAATCGTATGAAAGAGTGGACGAATATCAAAATTGGTTTTGATATCCTACGAAAAATAAACACAGCATGACGGCTTCCTTGGATAATGAGCGGATCCCCCCAAATACGGCGAGAAGAAAGAAAAGAGGCATAAAAAGTTGGAACTGGGAAGAAAACGAGAAAGTTGGAGGTGAATGATGCTGTGGTTGCGAAGATGGAAAGATGGAAAGGAGCGAATCATCCCTTGGCACCCACTTTAGGTACCTAGTTACCTTTAGGTGTCGGACAGCGCTTTCTACTGTCTGCCAGCTGGCTGAAAAGGAGAGGATGTCCTCTCTACCTCTCTAGTGCGCACAGACCTTCCTCCACTATTGAAATTTTCCCCTTAAAAATTCAGGCACGAAAAATGGATCTTTTTTAGAAAGAAGGGTGTCTATCTAGGTACCTACCAACAGTACATAATTACAACTTTTACCAATCAGGTTAAAATATATTTACCAGGGACCTATCAACTTGGCTTCTGATTTGATCACCTAAACCTTTATTACCAAGTCCTATTTATCAGAATACTCCCTAACACATCAAATACCATTCAACATGCAAGATGCAAGTACATACAGCATCAAATATCTAGATAAGTACCTAGGTACCTACATATGTAATTATGACCTACATATTTACATAAGTACCCTATAAGTACTTAGGTACCTTGATAATTGCATGTGGGCTAGTGGGCTTCTACCTTGGTCTTGAAATCTCGCATCTAAGATATTTAGAGTGTAAACAAGGTATTCTCAAACGACAGCCTGCAATTATGAAATAAGCTTTAAAGCCCGACTGAATTAATATTCAAGTCGACTACAAAGCAATCTCGCCATTGACTTGTACCTAAAAGCCTCATCCAACTTCTCGTTGCTTCCGGACTACTGGATAGGTACCTAGGTACTAAAGTAAGGAGCGCCGGTGGTGCCGTTAATCATATGCAGGTACAGCCTGGAGACAGCTCAGAACTCAACTCAGCTCAGCTCAGCCACCTCCAGTAGAAGCCGGTCATTTCCAAAGTTCTCGTTTCATCACCGCCATTCCAACAAATCCTAGGTACAGAGGTACACATTATCTATACCAAGCCTTAGCCCTAAACATATATTTAGTAGGGAACGGGAAAGCAGACACCTTGCCTCACCTAACAACAGTTCTAGAATTTTTGTGGTTCTATGTATAGGTAAACAATGAAACAAATTCCAACGTAGGCAAGCCGCGACCTGCTTAGGACAGTTACTCTAATATTCCTCTAGGAGTGAATAAACTCCAAAATAAGCACCGAACCAACTACCAATTAACTCAAGTGAACCTTGTCCTCCAGTTTCAATCCATGTGCTCCATATTATAAGCCTTTAACCGCCCAACATTGAATGTTCGCAAGGCTGCATAGGTACCTTACATACCTAGGTACCTAGGTAGGTATAGTGGGGGAAAACGCATGGGCAAGGGCTTAAGCAAGCACGATACAATTACCTACTCAAGGGAATGGAACGCGGCCAACTTTTCAGACCGATCAGTCATCAGTGATGCTATTTTTAATGCTTGCAGCAAATCTCATTATATGCCTTTACACGGAACGCCGCTCATTGCCAGCCGTTGGTCACCCCCGCGGTGAACCGGATCTTTAAGGAACGATCTCCTCGCTCTCCTCGAGCACCTCTTCCACAATCTCCTCGATAACTTGCTCTTCCCCGTTTTCGGGAGAGTTGGCATCGGCCTCAACCGGGTGCTTAGGCAAGCCTCGCGCGAGCCTTTCATCCTCGATCTCAGCGTCGACCGACTCGCGCCATGCCAGCCATTCGTCAAGCAGACGCCTACGGGCCTCGACCACCGCCAAGTCTGCGGAAGCTCCCCGCTCGGCATCTTCCTGCTCGAAGATCTTAGAGTACTCGCGGAGGTTCTTGCGGATTTGCTTCTGCTCATCCTTGGTAAGAAGAGTAGGCGGTCTTGGGCGCCACAGCCATTGTCGGAATTTGTCAACGGGTTCCTCTCGTAGTAATTCACCCTTAAAATCGTAGACGTGGTATCCGTTCTCCATCTATAACCAACAATTAGCATTTTAAACACTAGGTGCGAGGGGAATCATGATTATTAAACGTACCGTATGCTTCCAGACAGATGCCCAAGAAGAGACAAACCGTCCTGACGGGTCCCACGCAATATCCGTGACACCGTAATGGTCTGCTGTGTTCATGAGTTGTAGGTTGGCGGTTAGGTCTTTGTCACTCTCCGGCTTCTCGCCCTCAAAATCTAAATCGAAGAATTCGATGTCAGAGCTCTGCTGGTTGGCAACCGTACCGATAACAACAAAGCGACCACGCGGCGACCAATAAATGGCATTGCTATTCTTCTTGTCTAGAGTTCGCAGATGCTTGAAGTTACCTACGGCTGATCCCTTAGCCTTCTCGGGGCAGAAGAAGGACACAGAGGTCTTCGGAGCAACAGCGGTAGGTCCTGTAGGCTCAGTCGTCGTGATGATAACGAATCGATCTCCCTTCGGCTCCCAGGCGAAGTTGATAACTGTGTCCTTGATTGTGTCGACGACTTCAACAGGCACACCCTTTTCTTTGATACGGAAAATCTCAAGGGTGGTGGCCTGTGATTTCTTGGATTTGGAATGCCGGTCAACCTTTACGGAGAGATAGGTGGCATCTGACTGCCAATGAAGCTTCGCATCAGTAACACTGAATAGGTTCAAGGACCGAACGATCTGCTTGGAAGGTATGCTCATCAACCCAACCTTTGCAGGGTTGCTGCCAATTTCCGGCGTCCAAAAGCAAAAAAGCTGCTCGTATTGCTTCACCCCCTCCCTCTGGGGAGTCGAGGGCGCCCACTCGAAATCCATGACACCTTCGATCTTGATTGTCGTCCTGTCCAGCAGACCCATGCGGGGCAGCTCATATACCGAAATAGACGAGCCTTGAGTCATTCGCGCCACATATTTATCGTCGGAAGACCACTTGAACGCTGGCCAGGGGAACTTGGGCTGCTGCTTTGCCGGCGCCGCATGAGAGTCGTTGGTGGCAGGTATGTCGATGTTCGCGAAGGATCGGAGAGGTTTGGCTGTGTCGACTTCCCAGATGACATAATTCTTGCCATCCTCATCTAGAGACAATTGAGGATGTCCCTCGTCAGGTATGGAAATAGGTCGATTCGACCATGTGACCACATACTTCTCATTAGGAGAGAATTCGAGCATGTTGACGAAGGGATGCGCAAATCGTTTCTGACGAGACCACGAAGCACCACCCCAGAGCTGCACACCCTGCTGATGAACAGATACTAGGTATGTTCCTAAGGGTGACCATGCGATGAAACTCTCTGTCCAGTGTTGTCTGTCGACAATATTCTCAGGGGTATCCTTCTCATTGTTCCAGAAGACGCCAACGACGTCGCCTCGATACATAGCAAACTGATCACGACCACGGCCGCTCGGGTCGGCCAAGAACGAGCGCAGGTGTTCCTTCTCTGCAAACTCTTCAATCTTAGGAGGAACATAGTTCTCATCTACTCGTCCTTCTCGGCCGTAGCGATCGACATCTGTCATCTTGTTGACTCTCAAGGTATGTCTCTTGTCGAGGGGGACCATATCGAGCTGTCTCACGGCGGCGGCAGCTTCGGCAGCGGAAGAATATTCAACGAAGGCAAATCTAGTTGTTTGTCAGCATCGCAATACTCTTCCAATGAAGACTTTTGCATCCCATATCACGCATAACATGGGCGTTACACGATCACATGACGTGTTTGGTCTGGTTGGTTTGGTAGAGAGGAGATAGAATAGCGAGATGAAATAGAGGCGTACCTGAGAGACTTGCCATTTTCCATAGGCATGTAAACTTGATCTTCTCTGGCCTTTCCAACCTGGTTCAGCTTCTTTAATAAGAATTTTACAAGCTTGGGTTTTTGTTCCTCGTTGACTTCGGGCAGGCCATCGATAACGACGAATGTATCGTAGCCTTGCTCAAGTTGAACTTCGTACTTCTCGCGTAGATCAGAGATATCAATCTCATCCTCATCGTAATCGTCTTCATCGACGTCTGCGTCGCGCAGATGATCAAATGACGGCGCCATGTTGGGTCAGCGCGTTACGTAGGTATTCGCAAAAAAAGGTGAAAGGGTGTTGGTTCGCTTGTGGGGCTTTCTGTGTGAGAAAAATTGCCCCGCCTTGGGAAAAAGTGAGGGTAACGAAGATGCGAAAGTCGTAATTAGACCTTGTGTCGCAATATCCTAGGAATCGTGATACTTATTCCTATGGGCCTGGATGGCGCTGGGAAATAAATACCACACCAGGATTCAACAATTAACTATCGGTGCGAGTAGTATCGAAAGACCGGAGGGGGTAAAAAGATGAATGTTTTCTTGATTCAAGACTAGGTAATTATTATTTTTTTTTCTACAGGTTAGTTTTTTGATGTTCCTAAGGTGAAAAAGCCCCAATTGTGTGTGTCCCCGCCGATCCGCTTATCATCCTCTCTGAACGCATCTAATTGGTTGAGGTGCTTATGAAATTCTGCCATATTATGTAGAGGCAGGAACGGCGTACCTAGTAATAGGTCGTAGGCCAACCCCACCTTTAGCGTACGAGCTAGAACTTCGGAAGCAATATTTCTCCCTTGTCCGTTGTGTCCCGCGAAAAAAGTGTAGGTACCGCCCGCATTTGTATTTGCATCTAAAGACTGAAGCTCTCACAAGGCCCACCATAAGGCAGTGGACATATAAGACAAGCTCAAGCTTCGTGAAGAGGCAAACCACAACGAGAAAAGTTACTATCTAACCAGTATACCCAACCGGTTGTGAAAATGGTATATATTTCTCCTCCCATATTCATTTTCGATATTTACTAATCTGATCCTTCATCTAGTCGTCTTTCAGTCCCACCCAAATCTTCGAAGAGGGCACAACTGAAGAGAAGGGAGAGAATGCCCGTCTCGCCGCCTTCGTAGGTGCTATTGCCGTGGGAGACCTCGTGAAGAGTACTTTAGGACCGAAGGGGATGGACAAAATATTACAATCTGCGTACGTAGTCTCCCAACCACCCTCTTCTCACCGACCTAAACACGTTTACGTATTTTATATATAAACATAAATATATATGTATACATACCAGCATACTTTATATGTTCGCTAACCTTCTATAGCTCCACCTCCGAAATCATGGTCACTAACGACGGCGCTACCATCCTCAAGTCGATCGCCCTCGATAATGCAGCAGCAAAGGTCCTTGTTAATATATCAAAGGTCCAAGACGACGAAGTGGGCGATGGTACGACGTCGGTAGCTGTTCTAGCAGCAGAACTTCTGCGGGAGGCTGAGAAGCTCGTCGACAAGAAGATACACCCCCAGACCATTATCGAGGGTTACCGGATAGCGAGTCAGGCCGCCCTTCAAGCGTTGGAAGGCTCGGCGGTGGATCATAGCAAGAACCCCGAAGCCTTCAAGAAGGACCTACTCGCCATCGCACGCACAACCCTAAGCTCCAAGGTCCTCGCCCAAGATAGGGACCTCTTCTCTAAGCTAGCTGTCGAGGCCGTATTACGATTAAAGGGGTCCTCAGATCTTAGCCACATCCAGATAATCAAGAAGGCCGGCGGAAAATTGAGCGACTCCTATCTAGATGAAGGTTTCATTCTTGACAAGAAGATTGGAGTAAACCAACCTAAGCGACTAGAGAAGGCTAAAATATTAGTTGCCAATACCTCGATGGACACGGACAAGGTCAAGATCTTTGGGGCGCGCATGAAGGTCAGTTCGACTGGTAAGTTAGCCGAGCTCGAGAAGGCCGAAAAGGATAAGATGAAGGCCAAGGTAGACAGGATTAAGGCACACGGCATCAACTGCTTTATCAACCGACAGTTGATCTATAACTGGCCCGAGCAACTCTTCACCGATGCCGGGATTATGTCCATCGAGCATGCTGATTTCGACGGGATCGAACGCCTAGCACTTGTGACCGGCGGTGAGATCACCTCCACATTTGACCACCCGGAACAAGTAAAGCTGGGCCACTGCGACTTAATCGAGGAAGTCATCATTGGAGAAGATACGCTCATCAAGTTCTCGGGTGTCGCCGCCGGTCAGGCTTGTACCATCGTCCTCCGGGGTGCCACTGAACAATTGCTAGATGAGGCAGAGCGTTCTCTTCACGATGCCTTAGCTGTCCTCTCGCAAACTGTCAAGGAGCCAAGGACAACTCTCGGTGGCGGTTGTGCCGAGATGCTCATGGCCAAAGCAGTAGAAGGTGCCGCAACTCGAGTAGAGGGCAAGAAGCAAATGGCCGTGTCGTCGTTTGCGATAGCTCTGCGACAGCTCCCCACAATTCTTGCCGACAATGCTGGATTAGACTCGAGTGAGCTTGTAGCAAGGTTACGAAAGGCCATTTATGACGGTCTATCGACATATGGTCTAGATCTAATGACCCCGGGCGGTGGAATAACGGACATGCGAGACTTAGGAGTCATCGAGAGCTACAAGCTAAAGAAGGCGGTTGTCTCGTCAGCCAGTGAAGCCGCAGAGGTAAGTCCACCCCACCTACATAGGTATTTCACATACTTAGAAAGCTTCTGAATGCTAACATATCCAGCTACTTCTACGAGTCGATGACATAATCCGCGCAGCACCACGGAGGAGAGAAAGACATTAAATGGAATGACACTCGTGATAAAAGGATGTAAAAGTACATAGACTAGGCCTTAGACTATGCGAATACCCGTCATAATGAAATCGAACATGAAGTTTCAGGCCAATAACTTAACAATTAAAATATGCGTTATGTCTTGCAAGTAAATCCGTGTATGGGCGTAGCATTTTAGAGAATATTGATATGGACGATTTAATACAAACAGTTTAGAATTGTATATATTAAGATTCGTAATGTCATCTGGACACATACATTCTATAATGCGGGACCTATGCGAATTGTTGGATTGAAGCATTCAATTATTGATGAAAGATGTATCTTGTTCTAATTCTATTATTACAAACAGAAACTCTTAGGAAAAGTTCTTTTTGTCTCAGTAAGGTCACGTGAGTAACCAGATTTTGACAATATCTCCAAAGCACAGACAGGATAGCTATTCAGCACAGACCACCTGAAATACCTAATTCCACGTGACAGATACAAGGAGAGAAAAGTGTATCTGACACGAATTATGGTTAAGCATGTTATTACCTAGTAGGTAAATGCCTACCTACCTACCTACTTAGGACATACCTACCTAGGACCTACCTAGGACCTACCTACCCGAAATCAAATGCTTTTTCCTAGATCTCTTTCGGAAAAGCACAGTATCATTTTACGATACTTGTAATAGTTAAAACGAAAAGCAAACTTACCTAGGTACCTAATGATACTTACCTTGTTTACCAGGTAGTTCTTAGGTAAGTACCTAAGTAAGTTGGTACTTACTTACCCCTTAACCGGGGCTCCCGGGTAGCAGGGCTGAATGATTATTGTCAGTAAAAGCTTTGACAGGGTAAATTTGCGAAAGCACATTATTAAACTATTTAATAGGTAAATTTTTGATTTTACTTGCTGCATACCTACCTACCTATCCAAGACCAATTATGTTGCCCCAGATTTGCCATTTAGTTTACCATTCAAAAAAGTCTCATATAATATGTTGAGAATCTTTCTAGCCCTAAAAGCGCAAGATGGGAATACAAACAGCTATGCCTCCTAATTCGTCACCTAGCAATGGAATGACAGGCCATTCACCCATACCTCAAATAGAGAACATAGTCAAGGTAAGCATGAATATTATTTTCCCCCGTAACCTGGCCTGTTTAGCTCACAGCTTAGAAGAAGGACAACCCATTCAACTATATGCCAACCTTCAGCAAATCTGGGAAGGCTGGGCAAACAACTAGACCACAATCTTCCATGCAAAGCCACAGTTTTCAGATAAAATTGATCGATCTCTGTACCGAGCATCAGGGCACATACTTCAAGTGTGAAGATCTGGCCGAATTCTGGGACAAAGTTTCGCATTCATTGGCTCTTGGATCTTCTTTCCCTATAACTAGGAACGACGTTGAGGGATGGGTCGAAGAAATTTGCCGCGAAGCAAAAGGGTCTTTGCTGCACAGAGAGATATTTCCGCATCGCGCTGGCCGCGAAGATCTTGATATTGCAATCGAGGATTGGCTCGAAATCGAAGGTAGAAGGAGGTTCCAGCACGGCTTCTCGGAAATGATTAAGGGTTACCTACTTGCATATGGTCCTGAGGAGTCCGAAGAAGAAGATCTTCTGACATACTCTTGCTTGAATAGGCTAAGAGAAAACATGGATAGAGTCAAGACCGCTATGAGCGACAAAGGCGAGGCTAGCCGTAGGAATGGCGCGATCCTCATACATAAGGTAGAATTACTCGCATCGATGCCAAGCATAAAGTCGACGCAGCAGGCCTTGTCTCCAGAAGAGTTACATGATTATACTGACGATCAGTCACATGAAATCAGATTTCCACCCCTTATCCCTAACGCAGATATCCCATCTGACCCCCCTCCATTAAGCCACGCTGGATCCCAATATCAGGTTGTTGGCCCTTCTAGCATAACTGAGAGCGTTGGCAATGGGTCACCAAACCTACCCTCAAGGCTATCTGACGAGGTGGACGGTAGCCAAAGCCCCGCAATCGAGCTCTTCTCAGATCAGAAACTGCCTGGGACTTCAGTTCATCTAAAGAGACCTCTGCATGACCTTAGCGTCCAAGGCGATCATCAATCGGTACCGGGATTTCCAGCTATTAAAAAGTCTGCCATAGAATTGGGTAGTACTGGGAAGCCAGAGATATCAAAGAAGAGAAAAGTTCAGAAGGGAAAGGGGGTTGACCGATCTCGGCAGCTTTTGAGAAAAGATAACAGTCTACCCAATGCAAATCTTAACATACCGTCTACTCCATGTTCGACTCAAGACCCAGTGGCAATTGACGTCAGCCAGAATACTCAAAACCAGCAGCAACCCGGGGCCGGCGAAGAATTTCATGTGAATTCCCATCTTGCTGGGCAAGAGTATGCAAATGCTTTAGCAGCAACTCCATCAACAACGACACGGAAGGCCAGGAAAAAGAAAGGGACAGTCGAGAAGCAAACTCTGACGAATAAGAAGCATCTTAAGCAAACCAATGAGACCAATCACTCCGCTATTCCATCGCAAAGGGTGCCCCTCGACAGCCTCACCTGTAACAGCGATAAGGGTCCGGCCCAGAATCCGTTTGGCAATGTCCCAGTCATCGACTTAACACGATCTCCAGATCAAGAAGTCGTCAAACAAGAACTCGGACGGGCTACTGAAGGCTTAGAAGGACAAATAATTCGATTGACGGCAAATCTAAACGGGGTTGTGGGTCTTACACCTGAGAAGATAAAGGATATCATTGATCGAAGCGTCTCGGCGAGATTGAATGACGCGGCGTACCAGATCGTAGAAAGGTTTGATAAGACCTTAGAAAATAAGTTAAGTCAACTGAAAAAGACATTGGAGGAGAGTTAAGACTGATGATAATCATTTATGATAATATACGGCTACTATTATGTACATCTAGGTAGATACATAAATTACTAGATTCCTAAGTACCTATACAATAAAAACTCCAACCATAAGGTTCTCTTTGATTGTAGGTAGTTTTGATTTCTCTACCTAATTAAACCTGGAAGTCGTCTTCGAAATAGTAACACATCCATTTGTTGAAGCTTCGGAAACCTCGAGTACAGCCCTAAACGGCCTGTAATTTAGAAGTAACACGGGGGTCCTGGCCCGGCTTCCTGGCTCTCGGTACCGATTATACATGCCTAGGTACTAGGTAATTATCTATGTATACCGTGTAATGTGGAATTTAAACTGTAATACTTGATCTGTCTTAAACATCGAGCGACAGTGCGAAATGAGAGTTATATTCTACAACATTTTCCAATCTGACAGATCATATTTCAAACTCGGACCGGGAACTGGGGACCTCAAATCAATACCGATTATAAGTAGGTAGAAAATATACCTATTGGAAGCATCCTTTATGATAACGAAATTGCGAGAGTATTTGGGGAATCCTGCTTGTCGACTGAAGAATAAAAGAACTGAGTAGGTACCTAGGTAAGTACTAGGTAAGTAGGTATCTACCTAGGCATTGAAAGAACTACTATTTGTTTCTAGAGGGGAAAAGCGCCCAGTACCTACTTATTGCTAAATACCTACCTGGCAGGTACAAGGTAGTGCGGTTGAAGTTGTCCCGACTCGCATAAGAGATAACGTCCCTGGCCAATATCCCTGACCCAGTGCTCGGCTCGTTATAGGTACGCGTTGCATAGGTAGGTACTAGGTAGGTATTGCTTTTTGTCTCGACTAAATAATAGGACGAGATTCAAAAAAAAAAAAAAAGAGAAACCAACCAGGGTTGGGCATGCCGCGTATCTCGAGACGTGACGCGCTTCGTAATTCTTGGTTGATGAGGTACATCCTAACTAAGGCCGGAAGAGAGTAATATTCATTTTTATCCCGAACTTTCCTCTATTAGAAATCTGCATGCCCCTGTAAGAAAAGTGCTGGTAATTTAACACAGAAATACTTGTGTGTTCACTTCATGAGTTTAGGGACCTAGGCAGCTAGGGTTTAGGGCACTCACATACCAGGGCAGGTCCGATCGCTTGCTTTACACACGAGTGCAGTAAAATAAGGTAACTTGGAAGGGAATTTCATGATCTTGGTATTGACAGCGATGCGTTACTGAAGATCGTCACAAAGTTGAAGTATAGGTAACATCTAGTGCTGCATTAATGGCTAGTTTTAGGAGAGCGAGTAAGCGGAGGTCACGCAAACGTGACCTACTAGAAACCCCGAGCAGTTGGCCAAATAACCTAGTATCTACCTATAATCGGCAACCTTCCTCTTTATATGAAGGTCAACTCGCTTCACCTCCAGCCTCATCGGGATATGCGGTACCATCAAGCTCTCTAGATGTCGAAACTTGTAACCACGACGTATTCGAGGGTCCCCTGAAGGACGGAGATGAGGAGAAGGAGGAAATCGAGCCTAGGTTATCTAAATCAATGGTAAGATTCCCAACTCTAGAGGTTTATACTATCAAATATGATCGATTAACATACCTATGACTAGGTTCCATCACCAGTCTTGGAGGCAGAGCTCTCCGTATGTTCTTCTCCCCCCCAGACTTTGCGCCAAGCAGCATTCGAGCCGTCCGTTGATCCCAAGCATCTCTCGCTACACGAGAAGGTGAGACTTCTCAAGATTTGTTGTAACCATGGGTACCAATTCCTCCATTGCCCCACTTCTGGGAAAAATGCTGAGGAGGAAGTTTGGACTTCTATCATGGAGGAATTTTTAACAACGGTTCGCCCCGGCTTCTTCACAAAATATTCCGATGTAAAGAAAGTAGCCAAAAAGACTTGCAGGAATCGACGCAAGAATACCAAGGGTAATGTGCCGCCTCAGAGGCGGTCTCGGATGGGCGATTTAGACACATGGATCGACCGATGGGTGAGAATTTGGAAATGTCGAGATCTAGTCGTCAATATAGCAAACGCACACCAGTCAATGCGCGAAACGATAGGGGAAAATAAGTTAAAGCGAATCTTCTGTCAAAGGATGGAAGGCGATGAGCTACCACAAGACCTTGGTGGGCTCACTTTATCGCCTCCGCTATGGAAAGCTATTCAGAAGCAGATTCGTATAGAAGAACGGTCGTTGGGAGCTCGCCACATATCGTTGTTCCCTGGACAGGATGAATCGGATTGGACGGACGATGAAACAGAGAGTGACATGATGGAGGAAGCCGGTGGTGAGGGATTACCTATAAGATCAATTGAAGAGGAATACCAAAACTCATACCCAGAAGCTCTGGATGTTGTGGTATCAACTCCTTATTTGGAAATTGAGGGGGAGCTGGATTTTCCGGACCCGTCTCCACGTACCCAGGCAAGACTTGATCAGTTTGAACGGGGCTATACTACCATGCTCAAGGAAGAGCAAGGCAGGACAGGCAAGCAAACATCTATTCTTGACTTAGCCTACAAGAGACAAGAGCGGGGGAAACGGTCTCCTGTATCTTCTGAATCTCCTTCAGAACCAGAAGAACCTCTTGGAGATGGAACTGTGCGACTACTGTTGGGAGAAAAGGGGTTAACAAACCCTACAATTCACCTCTCAACCTCGAGTCCCAATGAAGTCGGGGATGAAGAATATGACAGACCAACCAACTTACCTACCGAGAGATCAACACCGCCTCCTAGCGAGGCCGACGTGCAACGTAGTAGTGGTACCAACCCTACTCGGTCCCAGCGCCTCAAGTCTGGTACCTATTGTCATGGCGAGGAAGTTCTGCTAGGGTTCCATAATCGACAAGTAATCCTGGCAGGCATGAATGACACCGCTGCACAAGACTATCGCCAAGGTGTATGTGCCAAAATTGACATCAGCGGTCGGGTCCGTTTACGACTGCGAGTCCAGAATATGCAAGGAGAGCAAGTGCCGGACGAGTTCTGCCTCAGTGGAGCCAGTGTTTATCCCAAAGATGTCATATACCTTCCGAAGTTTCATGATATGTCCTATGATGAAGTACGACAGGAAGTGGCCCGCCAGAGTCTCCTTCCTGTCAATCAACGTACCTATCACGACTGGGTTCCAACAGCAATGGCCGACAAGGAGGAGAATGTGTCGATGCCAATATCAAATAGCCAGAGAAAAAGATTGCGCAAAGATGTGTATGTAAATCATGATGCCGCAAGTATGAGTGCGAATGCTAATTCGGGCGAGATGGAAAGGAACGAAACGGCTGCTTTGATTTCTCAGGAAAGCGATTCACAGAAATCTTCCCGCAACAGTGAGAGGGATATTGGAACAATCCCCAACGTCTCAATACCGGTAGAAACGCGGAGATTTGCTTTGTGCGAGCTTTCTGCGGGATATCATTCTGCTAAGACTGTTGGAGGCCGTCCTGATCTATCGAACCGCAAATTCAAGGAGGCGGATCCCAGTAGGACGGGCACACCTGATCTACTGGGACAATTTCTTGCGGACGAAGCTAGGAAGCAGCGAAAGCCATTGGCGCCACATATAATCCCACATCACAGTTCACCTCCAAGAAGACTGAACCCTCAGGGACGAATATCTAACAAGAACAGGATCACCCCCTCAAGATTTTATGGAGTAGAGTCTTTAGGGCATGATATGGTTGATAGCAGCCGACAGATATCAGGACCCCGGGAGCAGCCGATCATCTTACACCAATTGAAACCAGGTTCTAATACCAACGTCAAAACACCCAGTGTTTTTCTTACCCAGGACTATTCTGATAGTGACAGCCTCCCGGATGTGGAAGAATTGCACAGGAGGCGCGTACGGGCAGCCAAAGTAACCACCTCACTACAGCACACTGAGCATCTTCAGGATTCTAGAGATCTTAGCACATCTGTCGCAGACAAAGTAGTAAGCTCACTTGCGCCTCCTTATCCTCAAGGGTCTGGCCACACCAAAAGTGCTGGTACCTCATTGAAGGCAACTGAGGATCATCAGAAGTTAGCGACCGATGAGCGACAGGATCAAGGAAGTACGGCTATTAAAGCTTCTGGGTCATGTTCGAAGAAGCGTGCGAGATGTCAATCTATGACAAACTCATCATCGAACTCTTCAGGCTCGTTCAATCCCCTCACTGGTCCCAAAGCTCTGGGTGATATTACATCAGCAAGCAATGAGTATTTTGCGAAAAGACTTCGGCCTCCGCCACCATCCGGGCTTGTACAGACTCCGGTACCACCACCTGATCTGACAAATTATGGTCTGAAACCTTTCTGGCACCCGAGTATAGAGTCTGTTGTCCGAAGTAATGGCGTACTTGATAAAGAGCAGGGACACTTAGGTGACAGGTCTCTGGATAAAGTCAAAGGGGGGGCAATTCAATCTTATCCTCAATCTCATCCCCAAAATAAGTACTCTGCACCTGGTCCACGGCCATCAAATGGGAATGGCTACCCACCTAAAGGGAAAACGGGCGCTAAAAACACCAGACCACTCCACCGGTTCCACCCATACGAACAGCCTGGTGGCTCTTCCGGTACCACGACATCGCAGAGTCGACGAAATAACGGCGGCAGAGGGAGGCGAGACCGTTACAAAGGGAAGGATCGCCACGGCCGAATTAACGACGGTAACTATATTAACCATGGGCTTCTAAGAGAGGCGACGACGGACACGGTAGACTCGCAAAACTTCAGCGTGAGTAGGAAAGTTGATATCTTGTGGTCTAGAATGAAAGAGCTACGTAGGAGGATCGGAAAGGATGACTAATTCGACATCGGGTTGACGACCTTACACGCGGGGAGCAGCGACACAAGTGACGGATTGGATTCGTCCTACATGATTAGAACCTCGGTTCGAACGCCACGCGGGTTTCATCATATGCACCTCCAAGGCCACAAACACAAGATACCTAGGTAGTTTGTATGTACATGAATAGATATATAGGTAGGTAGGTATGTATGTAGGTATAGATAGATAAGGGTAGGTAGGTCGGAATTCGAGATACATATTACTCGACACTTCAGGATGTCCTGTTGTACACATCAGACACCTATTATGTGTAGGTTGTGAGGCCGTTTTGTACCGACGCCAAAGTGATTTGATGGAACGAATACCGGTACCTACATAGGTATCCTGCAACGCTGCGTTGACGTAGGAAGAGGGAAATGCTGTAGCGCCACTTCACATGGGAGACGAAGAGGAATGAACCTAGCAGCCTATGTAGGTAACCTCGGAATCAGCACAAGCGTACCTACATAGAATTGCTTGGTGATTTTGAATCGAGATTTGTTTAAGACAAACGAGGAGGCATGAGTTGTGACGTGATAAGGAAATCTTTTCCCGAGTCAGGAGTCGCATCTAGCCCCTTTTTGATGATCGATACTTCCAGTTATTAACACTTGCTAAAGACATGAAAATCCATCGCTACCTACCTAGTCATGATCTAGCCGGAGACTTCTAAGTCGTACATAGGTACTCCGTAGGCATGTATGTACTAGTTACTTGGACACAGGAGCGCGAGGGGGAAAACAAATGATTTAGTTCGTGATATTCTGATGGTATTGCATACCGACGTATCTACATAATACATGTATTATGGATATAGTACTATGTAATGGCATGAGGTCGTTAATAGGTAGCGGGATGTTGCCGCACGTGGATTAGCCGATTGGTAAAAATTATCGAGGCTCAGAAGAGTAAGGGGTGGATTAAGGTTACAAGGATCTGCTTTTCTCAACAATTGATCAATTTGGTAGGATAAGATCCTAGGCGATCCCCAACAGAAAAAGAACAAAAAAAAAAAAACAAGGAGGACAGAGACCCAAGGAAGCGGGGAAAGAACCCCATTCCTGAGCGAAGCAGCTAGAGTCTATGCTAAATCGGGGAATGTGCCCCCCTGAATAAACCCTGCAGTCCACGATTCGGCAACATGGAAAATCCAGGGGCATGTGAACGTGAACATGAGATACCGATATTTCCTAGGTACATACATACATACATGTATGTATGTAACATCGAATAATGCGGAGAAGGAGCTCGAATCGGGAAAACGTTTCTTGTCGATGGAAAATATCAACGTTATCTGATCCGTCCGATCTGGTGTACAACCTTACCATCGAAATGTCTCAAAATCTTTAATGGGCTACGTACGTAGGTAGGTAGCTAGGAAAATATCCCGGGTTTCTGTAACTTACGTAGATGTGAGACAAGTAAATATGCACATATGGACATACATATGTCATTCGTATAGATATACCGACATAGATACTTCGGTACCTATCTTAAGTGAGATAAGCGTCGATCAGCAAGCGGATCCCGCCTTTGGATATTGAGTCTTAGGGACCGAGCCCGGAAATAGGAGCCGTTGTTTTACATACATACCTACGTGCCTACATACATACATACCTAGGTAGGTAGTATTATATGCTTACCTGGCTGCCTGGTGGTCCCCTGAATTGCTCTTATCCGAATATGTATTTGCATACGGGGAGTTCTAGAAGTTCTAGGCAAGGCAAGCCGCTTATAATTAATAATTCTCTCGCCACTTGTCGTGTGCCTATTTGCTTCCCCCCTCAGGGCAGAAGATTCGCGTGGCGTGCTGTCGATGCCGTTTACGTACCCTGTCTCGCACGACGAGCCACCGGTTATCGTTGGGGAGCTCGAATTGGTCGAACGATAATGTGTCTGATGACATACGACGGTAATGGCTTCACTTATTAGGTATCGTCTATGCGGCCAGCCGTAGGCAAGGGAGGGTTGTCTTCGTCTTTGTGGAGGGGAAAAAAAGTAAAGCAATTTGTAGACAGCTTCGTCAGTTGTTACGGCTTGTCCGTTGATGAAAAGCCAATTGAGATCTTTTGATAGGTTGGTCACAAAAGTCCAGCCAGCCAGTAGCCTCTTGGCAAGCCCCAAATAGAAGAACTATATTATATATGTAGTACAGTACTACGCGGAAAGCCTACTAAAGTATGTGATCTTCATGTGGTGCTAGGCTTAGCTTTGCTGATAAAATTCTGTTGTAACTTGTCGACGAACGATATGAAAGGCGGTGAGAAGTGGAGTTATAATTTTTATTTTCAAGTAAATGTAGGTAGCTACACAGGTATCTATTATGCATGTAAGTATCATATTAGTACTAGGCACCTAGTTATGTGCATATGCATAATTTAAGGTTAAAGTACATGACATTTGGGATCCCTCTTTTCGTCTTGCATTTTTAAAAATTTACATGTGGTGGTGTCGTAGCTCGATACTTTCAGGAATCAGTTGAAGGTTAAACGGGCAGAATCTTGATATCGGGTACGCTGTACTAATGTACTACATAACGTCAAACCCTGAATTGGACTAGATACCGAAACTTGTGGATGGAGGCACGCTAAATACGGCGGGGTCATACCTTAATGCTTCGCAAGGTTGCATGATGTATATTACCAGTATCGAATTTAATGTGAAATGATTCGTGGAGGTAGCTACCTAATGCTTCTTACAGAATGGATACTTCAAACCCTTCTCAAAGAGGCTCGTAGTACATTCGCAGTACAACTTCTTTAGGGTGCCCCTGGCTTTAAAGTTCAATGTTTTCTTAGTAGGTTTAAGATATCGAGGTAATTATTGATGTAACGGTTTAAGTGATTTTAACATATTATGTATTCTCTTCTCTGTCTTTTGGGGGAAGGCTTCGCATTGTTCCCCGATATATGCATTTCTACTTTGTAGACATAATGAAATAAAATACATGTGCTGGGTACATATTTCGTTGTTGTGCATGGCAAGAAAATGAACCAACCACATAAGACAAAATTTTGTCTCTACCCTTATTATAAAGTGACCACTGTAGTACCGCTTTAGTCGGGATCCTTCTTTTCCTACCACTTCGTTTTGGTCTCCCAATCTACTGGTTTCCTTCCGCCTCGAAGCGATCTCCTCGGTGTTGTGTTGCCGTGTTATTTCGCCGCCGGCCTCAACAAGTCGGTAACTCGGACACCTCGAAGTTAAAAACTTCTGGGGTAGGCTAGTTTTTCTATAGGTATTGTCGCCATCACGACTGCTTGAGGTAGCCTTCCATTAGAAGAATTTGTCTACACGGACGAGTGCAGATTCTCTTTCGTCAAAGCCGAGACGAAACATCGAATTGGCCGGGATAAATATTGGGTAATTCGCAGCTAGGACAAGAGTAGGATAAGAAGAAATTGTAGCCGCCCAGTGTAGGACGTTCAACATCCATCATGGCTTCTACCGTCGCTACTGGCGTTCCGCGTCAGAATCCCGCCCTCCGGCGAACTATCACATCCACCACTGCGGACACGGATGTTTCGTCACCATCTACCGCGATGGGTTCACCAATTGACTCTCCTAGGCCGTCTGCATCTTCTACTTCACTCTCCTCAATGTCCTCTATCGAACCTAGCAATAACTCCTATGGAAAACTGATCGACACATACGGAAACGAGTTCGAGATTCCCGATTATACCATCAAAGATATTCACAACGCTATCCCCAAACACTGCTTTGAGCGATCCGCAGCGAAGGGTCTGTACTATGTCTTCCGTGATATTGCTCAGTTAGCAACCGTCTTCTACCTCTTCCACACCTACTTGACCCCGGAGAATGTTCCTTATACCCCGGCTCGTGCTGCACTCTGGGGATTGTACACCTTCATTCAGGGTCTCTCCGGCACCGGCATATGGGTGCTGGCCCACGAGTGTGGACACCAGTCCTTCAGCACCTCCAAGATTCTGAACGATACTGTGGGTTGGATCTTGCATTCTTCCCTCCTGGTGCCTTATTTTAGTTGGAAGATCTCGCACGGCAAGCACCACAAGGCAACCGGTCACATGGAGCGAGACATGGTTTTCGTTCCCAGGACTCGTGAGGAAAGGGCTAGTCGCATCGGGAGGTTAGTTCACGAACTCGGCGAGCTCGGCGAGGAGACCCCTATCGTCACCTTCATCAATCTCCTCGGACAGCAGCTTATCGGTTGGCCCAACTACCTCTTAACCAACGTCACCGGCCACAACTGCCACGAACGCCAAAGAGAGGGTCGCGGCAAAGGCAAGAAGAACGGCTGGTTCACCGGTGTCAACCACTTCAACCCCTCGAGCCCCCTCTACGAGGCTAAGGACGCTAAGTTGATCGTCCTGAGCGATATAGGGTTAGCCATCACCATCTCCGTCCTAGTATTTCTCGGTAACAAGTATGGATGGGATAACCTCCTTGTCTGGTATTTCCTGCCCTACCTATGGGTCAATCACTGGCTAGGTAAGTTGCCCAATCTCGAATGATGCCCAGTCTGCATTGATCAATCGCTAACTCTCACGTAAGTTGCCATCACCTTCCTGCAGCACACCGACCCATCTTTGCCCCACTACAAGCCCGAATCGTGGAACTACGTCCGTGGCGCTGCTGCGACGATCGACCGGGAATTCGGGTTTATCGGCCGCCAGTTGATGCACGGCATCATCGAAACCCACGTCCTTCACCACTACATCTCCACCATCCCCTTCTATAACGCCGACGAGGCTAGCGATGCTATTAGGCAGGTTATGGGTCGTCACTACCGATCAGACACTAGGGAAGGCTCCCTCGGGTTTATTAAGGCAATGTGGCGTTCGGCGAGATGGTGCCAGTGGGTCGAACCTAGCGAGGGTGCTAAAGGTGAAGGTCAAGGTGTCTTATTCTTCCGTAATACGAACGGTCTAGGCACAAAGCCCATGAAGATGAGCGCCCCCTAAAATGTCTCGAAAATAAAGACATCCGCATCACATCTCGGCCAGTAATGAATGCTCCTACGGCAGCGCCAGCCAGCTTCGGATAGTATCTGGTGATCGGATGCCCTAGGCGATATAAGTATGACACTTGGCTGAAGTAACTTCAATTTAGGTTCTGCTCAGTCGAGTTAGTCAATTACTTGCCATAGACTAAATTCAAAAAGCTCTGCTTAGAGCGAACTCCGTCTTCTTTGACACTTGCAGAAAAAAAAGGGGGGTCATTAAAAGGAAAGGGCGGGGTGCCATAGAAAACCGGTGACGATCAGAGATTCGAGAGCGAAATAAAATAGATATAGACTAGACAGCTAGCCATGATGACGAATGTATACGTTGAATAACATCTGCCCCTTGTCTTCCTGTAATGTGGAAGGTCATCAGAATGTCTCATGCTGTGCACGGCGAAAGAAAAGCGTCGAGTAGCTATGCTACCAAGGTATATCATGGTAAACATGAATGGACAGGCGCGAAATCGAGGAATGGGCTACTTTACATAGGCAGGTTCCTATCTAGGTACTAGGTATATATGCCGTCTGGGAGAGATAAGTTGAACATTCCGGTCGATCCGTGGTCTGATATGACCGCAGATTGAGAGACCATCTGGACTTTTGTTTGGAGGTCTGACAGAAGAAGAGGGGCTGTTCGCGAATCACATTACCAAATCGCCAAACTCCGAAGAACCCCCCCGCATTCGATCGTACGTAGACTGCGCTTCAGATACAGAAATTATAGTAATCAATGCAACTCCCCGCCTATCATACTAGGTATATAGGTGGATTATGGTGTATGGTACCTATATTACACTTTGTAACCATGTTGCTATTATTATCGAGATGCTACACATTTTCATGGATTCGATGGAAATCGCACCTACATATGACATATATACTATATACCTAGTATATAAACGTCTAATATGGTCACGGACTTGAATGTTTCAGGGCACAGTAAGACCCATTGGGTATTTTTAAAGTCACGAGAGTCATGCACTAAAGGTTTGAAGAATATTCACCAGTCAATTGTATTTAGCCATGGATCTCTTGGGCATTGTCCCATACTATATAGTATGTAGGCACAGAACTCTTCCGAGAAGTGGCTTCCTACCTACTAGGTAGGTATTGTCGTGGAATTCACTCGAAGAATTTACTCCATAGCGCCCATAGACCAGCCACTATAATCACCCAATCGTTACTCACAATCAGTAGGATCATACAAGACTCGCGCGCAAAATCATCAGTCAACTGCATCTATGGATCCCTCCCATCCTCGAGTTGCTGTTGTCTGCTTGGCCTCGGAACTAGTGGGCCTCGAAGATGCTGGAGGTGTCATCGTCGACTGGCTGCTTCTGTTAACACCTTTACCAACAACTTTACCGACCTCATTGTCAACTGGCTGCTGTTCCCGGTCGTATTTTCGCTGTTTCTGTCTCAAACGCCTCTGACGTCGTTTTCTCTGACGGTAAGTTAGGCGCTCCGTCTTGGCACGGCTTTGGCCATCAATTTTCGGCATCTTGTCAGGATGAGATTCGTCGGCCAGGGAAGCATCTGGGGCAGACGCCTTGCGTTTTCGGCGCTTCTTGACTTCGCTGCTTCCCCCAACAATATTTCCTCCTTTTTCGGAGGTAGTGGAAGTATTACTTATGGGAGCCGGTGCCACCGTCTTCGAAGCTCTTGGATGCAACTCTTCCGACATTTCGTTGTTATCTGAACCTTGGACAGTAGGCTTTGCTGTATCCCCTAGAAACCCTTGCGTGGATGGCGTCGCGATCAATGTGGATGACAACCTAAATGCATTCATATTACTGGGCTCGTTGGCTTCCGTGATGTTAGTTAGCCATCTAGGAGATTGACGTAACACGTAATCAAGGGTTTTCTCCGCATCCGGATCATTAGACTCTATGTCCGTTCCAGAAGTCGCCTCATTAATCTCTTTGAAGCTTTTCGGAGATAGCGTAGAGCGGATGTCTGGAGTCGAAGAGACCACTTCGTATTCTCGCTGCTCTTTCGTCGACAGGCCCGGTACTTCAACCACGATGTTAGTCTTGGAGGAATCTTTCCCATATTGGGATGATGGATCGGGTTTGGAATCCGTGCTTAGTCGCTCAACGCCGTCAGCAATTTTATTCGATTCAATCGTAGGCGGAAAAGTGGTTGTCAACGACCTAGTTGTCCGTCTCCCAGCAATGCCACCTAATATATGCGCGGCGTTGACATGCTCCGGCCCAAAGGAGGCTACTTGGGTCCGTGGTACCTCTAAGGCTCGTGCCGGGGGCTTAGGTGAGATACGAGCAGGAATTCCAGAACTCGATTCGCTACTGCTAGATTCGGCCGGCTCGCAGACTTTATGTACCTGGGATGACGTATTGGCACGTCGGATCGCGGGACTAGAGCTCATCAGTTCTGCTAACTCCTGATTTGATGGTGGCGCACAATCGTTAATCAGTTGCTGAGTGATAAGAGTAGAAGTTGTCTCAGACTCTGCAGACGGTGGGGATGGGGCGCTTTGGGGGGCAGTGGTAAGTGCGAGATGTGTGGGAAATTTTCCTCGAGTTCTACTACTGATTGGTTTACAAGGACTGCTTTTCTGCTGGGGATAGATGTTGTCGCTAGATCCTCCGGCGAGTACATACTGCTTCGTTCTTTCCGTACGCTCAGCCCATTCTACGGCTTTGTCGTTTATTTTAACTCGCGGGCTCGTCTTTCCTAGTATATTTCGCAATGTACTTGGCAACGAGGATTTATGACTAGATTTCCCCTTTGAAGCCCTAATCAATGGTTGCTGGATATCTGTCGACGTTGCGTCTTCATGGTTGCTAGGTGTGACTCGTCCAATATTAATTGCTTCATTATTTGACCCTTCCGCGTCGGATACATCTTCACATTCGGAGTCGACCCAACGCTGGTTCCATCGAAGCTCAGCTGTTTTCTCGGCCTTGGCGATTGTTTCGTCATCCGGTTCTTTGCATCCAGATATATAGCCTCCGGCTCTAGGTCCGTCTAAGATCCAACCTTTGAATGGCCCGGTGGCAAACCAAACGCTGCCATCCCTACCGGGCATAAATTCAGTCTCATACCTTTCCATCCATGCTCGAGGACTCCACTGACGTTCCTTTGTAGAGTGTATTAGTTCAGTTATAACCGAATCTTCGCTATCATTTTCGCTATCTTGCTTCGACTGCAATTCCGTATTGGTATGTACTTGTTCGTTCGGATCGCCTTCGGATTTGCACGAACTAGATGTATCGGAAAAGGCATCGCGTACGCGCTTAGAGTAACCCTGACCAAACCTGGAAGGCCTATTTGGTAACTTGGGAGACAATTCCCACTCTTGTGCCTTGGGCACTAGTTTGTTCATAGGAGTAAACGAAATGGGAAGCTTAGGACGAGATCCACTACGAAGGGTTCGACCGGGACTTGGCCGTGATGACTTTCGATCCTCTGCGGGGGATGGTGTCGATATGGCCGTCGATCCTTGAAACGAAGGATTATTACTGTCCCGGTCCTCGCTTGATAGTTCTTCATGGCCTGAAGGCTGGTATTCGTCATCGGAATACTTAGGCTCCCTGAAAAATGATTCAGGGATAGGCTTATCTACTACTATTATTATATCAATAAACGCATACGAAGATGTAGTTGAGTGTGAATGCAAACCTTTTTTCTCAAACCTGACTTTCATAGTTTTCTTCACCCCATTGATCACTGCTCTACGTGAGCCTAGTATCTCTGATCCTACGGTGCTTGTATCTGCCTTCTTGGGTCTTTTCGACCTAGTTTGTGCTGAACTTTGTTTGGGGTGATCACCAACGCTGGTTCTCAAATGGTTCTCGGCTGGGCCTGGTTTCTCTAACACCTGTGTCGCGTGCCTAAGCTTCTTATCAATGATTTTTAGATGGCTGTTGACCGAATGGGAAGAACGCTTTCCTATGGCCTTGGCGGTTGGATTCACCGGGGTCAGTACTCGATCTGAATCCTCCCCACAAGATTGGTGTAAGGACTCCGCCAGTGATATAGCCTGGGTACTCTTAGGGGTCTTGGATGGAGTATGCGTGGAAGAAGTTGAGCCGCCTACTGTAGTTGAATGGGTACCAAGTGCATTTGTGGGCGAGAGAACGGCGTCGTCGCTGAATGAGTCATCCACATTGATCACTGTAGAGGTGACTGTAATATGTGCTGTTTTGGAGCGCATGGCATCTAATTCATGTTTGGAAATATTGTGGTCTAATGGTTCGTTGCTCGCCTTCCTCTTTTTTGAAGGTGCGGTTGCTTTACGTTCATTGGTAACTGATATCGGTTTGGGGCCTTGGATATCTTCACCTTCACCATCAGATGGGATCTGGTACGGGTCCCGCCGGCCATTGTGAAACGCCTGGTTGGAGGTATTAGGCGTGGTAGTTGTTTTTCTTGCTCTAGGAATTGCTCCTTTTGCTAAAGGCTTGGGGGCCTGAAGACGGTCCCTATTGTGAGATGAACTTGTCGCCTTTACACCCGCTAGGGTGGGAGGTCGAGTAGGTGCTGTTACACCATTACTTCTGGCTATCTGAGATGAGATGGGTCTAGATCGAGACTTAGGTGTTTCTTTAATAGCGGATCGACTTGATAGAATTTTTGTCAAACCTTTCACAGCAGGTGTCGACTTAGGATTGGGGGTTTGCGATTGATTCATCTTAGTCTCTCTTGTTGGAAGTTTGGTCGAAGCCGGAGATCTGGTCTGGGTAACATGATTTCCTCCGAGATCATCTAGCCTTTCCGAGTTTTTGAAATTAGTTGCCATGTTGACAAGGTCATATCAGGCAATATATTGCCACATGTGAGGCACTTTGGTGAAATGGAAGAGTAAAGGTTCTTGGTAGGGCCACAAGGCTAAGATCAAAGTAGAAGAGTATCTCGAAAGACAGAAGGTGAGAGTAAGTGGGGCTGGAAATTGGCTATTCTGGATGGAAAACTGAACCAAGAGGGAGAAAATGATGGAGGGAAATGGATTACGTGTCTTGGTAGAAAGTGATATAAATTTGAAGATCTTAAAATCCCGGATGAGTGTTGGTATTCACATGAATGGTGTGGACGTCTGGTAGATTGGTGTGTACTAAAGGCACCTGAAGAGATATGGAGAGAGAAAGAGAGAGAGAGGGAGAGAGAGAAGTGGAGAGGTCAAGATGTATAGTTGGTTAAGTTGAGTAGATGGATCAGAAATGAAAAGAAGCGAGATATGGTGCAGATAGTATGGTGAAGGTGAGATGGAAGGTGCACGTGGTGACAGATATGGGTACCTTAAGAAGGTATCATGGGAAAATTAGAGATTAACAATGGAAGGCATAGTTCGGTTTTGCTCTTGCTGTCGTTCTCGCTCTTGCTCTTCAATGTTGTTGTTCATACACGACAGTACATGTAGGTATGTATGGTTAAGTACCTCTCAGTACCCAAGTCACCTTGTTGCTCGAATAATATACATGTATGGTACCTAGTATTCGACTCGGTCATCGTCTAGGTAGTTGTAGGTGATATCTAATCACTATACTGCTTCGCATGTGTATGTTGACGGCAGCTCCGTCACGCTAGGTACAATACTTAATGTACCTTAGTAGCAGAAATAGCAACCTTTAAGTTCCTTGAGTAATGGTCGAAATCGGCTGTAACTAGGTAATTATCCATAGGGTGTGTTTAACTCTTGGAGAATAGCAAGTTGCAGGTTGGATGGGCGCAGTGTAAGATTCATAGACAAGAAAAGAAAGTATGTAATTAGGTATCTAAAATTTATAATTTATTCTTATCATATATACATGTACCTGTGATGTGCAATGCAAAAGTACAGAATCACGGACTCGAGGGCTGTAATCACGCATGCACAGTGTGCATCGAACATCTGGATAGATACTAAAGAATGACAGGTCGTATTAATGTGAAAGGGTAAAACCAGGGTCCTGGTAATTATCCTAGCTCCAGTTATGTCTACTTATGAATGAGGCTGCGGCTTGTGCTCTTACATTATACTACTAAGTATGCGTACCTAAAGCTCCGGGAAAGAAAAAAGCAACGCGTACTTTGTAAAAAGAATTACATAAGTAGGTACCTACCTATCTACCTACCTAGTACCTACTTGGTATGATTTAATATAAGCCTTTTTGCGCTGCTAGGTTGACGGGAATGCTAGGGACAATGCACGTAGATATCCTTGTGGATAAGCCACTGGGTTTTAAACAGAGTAGCAGAATGCACTTCGTGGGTGTGTAGGTATTTTGCATATGATTAATGTACAGATCCCCTGCTACCAAAAATAAACCACCACATGAGACCATCCATTCACATAGAAAAAGAGGGGGGCATGATAGAGGCGCGTTGCTATTTATCGGATACTACTCATCTACTACCTAGCCACTGGGTACCCGAGGTACCCGAGTGCGCTCAAGGCTTATAGGGGTGTCCTTGGCTTGAAATACTCCTTAAAGCTATCCAATTCCTCCAGGTTCAATTTGTAAATGACCGTGCAGCATATAATCAGCAAGTTTGGGAAACGCCGAGTCCAGAAACTCAAATATCCGTCTGGTAATGATCCTACCATTTTTTTGAGAGGTTCGCTCATATCTCCATAGTGGAATCGTTTGTTTCTAAGCGCTCGTAATAGGTCTAGAAGCCTCGAGCCCGTGTATTTGCGTTGTTTGCCGAGGCTTTCTACAAATTCTTTGGGTAGAAGTTTAAGAAAGTCACCTCGGCAGACTTGGGGTGCGCACGCCTCTAACGTCATCAACGCCTCGGATGGCGGGTCGCGGGGTTCGAGTTCAAAATGGTCTGATACATCACAGAGGAAAGCAAGTCTTTCCTTTGGCGACCAGAAGAAAGGGTGGGACATGACATCCTTGGCTGAAGGTCGAGCTCTAGGATCAGCCCGAAGCATAGTATCGATCAGCGCTTTGGCTTCGTGAGCGAAGTCGCCTAGTACATCCAGAGGTTTGAGGTTGAACTGGCCCTTTCGTATGTTGACTTCTCGCATATAGCGATCACCGCAGTCGAAAGGATGCAGTCCCTTGGTGAGTACGTAGAAAAAGACGAGACCGAGACTGAAAATATCGATCGCACGAGTGGCACGACGATTTGGCATTACATCGGCACTGACCAGTTGGCTTGAATCGCTGTGCGTACTCGCTATAGACATCGTCGAGCTTTCCCGCGCGTCGTCATCAAGGAGAAGCTCGGGCGCACGCCAGCCAGAAGTGCCAGCGGCGTGAGCTGTAGTGGCGCCAAAAGATGACTGTCCACCTTCAAGCTTCTTGCATAACCCAAAGTCAGACACGAGAAGCCGCGGTTTCCCGTCTCTCCCCATGGTAACTAGTATATTTTGCGGTTTCAGATCACGATGGACAATACGAAGGTCGTGAAGAAATCCCAGACCATGTGCGATCTGCAACAGGACTCTAGGTAAATCCATCTCACCCGCCTGGGCAAGATCTCGGTACATGGCCGGTTTTTCGATAATGTCTGATAGGGAGGCCTGACAGAGCTCAAGTGCAATGTATAAGAAACTGTCATTCTTCGACATGGCGAAATAACGGATAACTAAGTATTGGATTAGTAACAACACAAAGACGTAAATATGCCACCAAGCATGGTAATTGGGTCTCATACCATTAGGATGATGATCACTCTCCAATAATAATTGGGTCTCCTGAGTTGCGATATCCCAAAACTGGGTGAGCATACGCTTAACCGCGACGTCTCGCCCATGGAACTTCCCGGCGAAGACAATAGTGCCGTTGCTACCCATCCCGAGCTGCTCATCCTGGTTGACTTCGATGCCCCCTATATTGACGATGGGACCACTCACGTCCTCGGGATCGTTGCTCATTGTCGTGATATTCGGCTCTAGCTTGGACGGCATGCCGACACTTTGTAGACCTGGGATCCCCTCTCCTGCATCCGAGGAAATCTTTTCCCCGGGAGTTTCTGATGCGTCACGTTGTTTCTTTGCCCCTTTCCGATGCTTGATGCCACCTCTGCGACCGCGATGTGCCTTCTTCTTTTTTTCTGGAGACTCCCCCTCGGTCTGCTGCTGGTCACGATCTCCTTCGGGATCTGCTAGCTCAACCTCGACGACGGACACGGTAGGAGGAACGAGTCTATCAGCATTTTTTACCTCAGTCGCCAACAGCTCCTCTTGCTTCTCAGCGATATCCAGATTAGATACGTGAGCCTTGGCGGAAATGGCTTCCTGAGATGGACTAGCGCTAGAATCAGTCGAGGGCACATACGTTAAATCATCAAGATATTCCTTTGGCTTGACAACGCGTCTAATCCATCTAACCAAATCTTTATAATACCGGACTAAGAGGTAGGCAAGAACCGGAAAGAGGATAGGGTTCATGAAAAAATCGACCGTCTTATCGGCAGCGTATTGAGGAAGCGCGATGACCGTGTTCATGACGCCCGGGGACTCTGTCTCCGAATCAGGGAACGGGCTGGGCAGGGCAGATTCATTGTCATCATTATCAGATTCTGGTGGGAAAGGTCGGGAAGGCAAGCTCGCGGGGAGAGTCGGCGGCCACTGTGCCACGCTTCTCGCGTTCCCGAGAACATGTGTACCAATCAACGCCTTGTTTGCCCAAGGGGCGTCAAGGTTGTCCCATGGATTCTCGCTATCCCATCTATTCTGCTGACCAAGTTGGGCAGCGGGGGCATCAACAATCAGAGGGTACGACCACCCAGACATAGCGTACCAACTTCCAGATTCGGTCTGATTGAGGAAGACACTATGACTTCGGGTGCGGGCGGAATCTTCGTCCCGGGTAGGGGGGATCGGTTGAGGGAGTAGAACGAGCTCGGGATTGCTGCCGTGTGGAGCATCCTGCGGCCTAGCGATGTCGAAGACACGGGCGACCGGAACGGAGAATTGGAGGGCGAAGGAGGTGACTCCGGTGGGATAGGCGAGCGCATAAACCTTGCCGTCGTGTTGGCTAGTAAAATATCGATTATCCTGAGTGGTGTGGTATTGCTGGTGTAGGTCGTTATCAAAGTTATTCGGACCCCATTCGGCATATTTAAGCGTGGCAATCTCACTCCCGTCATCAGAGCGATGTATGGTGACAATGTATTCCGTCCGGCTAAGGGTGATGGTGCCACTATCGCTACATTCCTCGCTGTCCGCGTCGACAAAACGGCCGTTTGGGGGAAAGCAGGTAGCGCTCTGGTCAACTTGGGAGCCGGCCTGCCCGAACCACTTGAGCACGCGTCCGGTAGCGGCATCCAAGGTGATCATAGTAGTCTTCTTGTGGCCAGTGTAGACTACGGGAGGGTTTTGAACAGCGTAAGAACCGAATTCTTCCACTAGCTGCTTCATAGTAAGACCCGTGCTCATCAGACCACTACCAAAGCCTGATGGCGTCCATACGTAAAGAGCACCATTATGAGTGGGCTCTACAGCCCAAACATAGTCATCAAGGGGGTGGTGCTCGCGGTCGTCCCGCCCGTTGTTCAAGGAACTATTAGGGCGATGATGAATGGTTTCGACGATAGGCTGTTCGACCTGGAGATGCCAGCGTTCGTCGCCGGATTCACGGTTGACAGCGTAAAGGTGTCCATCGACGGTCGCCAGAAGAATATAGTCTTCTACTTCCCATCTCTCCAGACTCCGCGCAGTCTGCGGCGTGGAAAGCCCAGCACCGGCTAGCAGGCTGGGCAGATGTCGTGGAGAATTTGGTGCTCGAACGGGCGGAGCCGGAGCCAAAGTTGCGAGGGCGCTCGCATCGTTAGGAATAGGTACTTTTCCGAGCCGCTTTCTATCGGTATCGACAATGTTCCTGCGGCCGATGGCTAAGTTCTCGTGCGCGCTACGTGGGTTGGAGGAGGGTATGGCGGCAGGGGGAGTGGCGGCAAGGTTGCCGACGACTCGCTCGGTACCGAAGGCGGATTCGTGTCGGAGACTAGAAACGTCTCGGCCGTGGACGGCATGTTTATTCACGGCAACTTTGTCATCATAATCGTTTAGAATGTTGGCAACGGGAGCCCGTTCTGGAGGTGACTGCTGTCGGTGTTGTTGCTGCTGCTGAGCATCTACAAGCTGAAGCCAGGGAAGGAGGAAGACGGCTAAGGCGAGTAGAACCTTGCGCTGTTGAGCGACGAGCCGTCCCTCGCCAGGAGGCCGTCGCAGCATATTGAAGACGTCAACGTGGAGTGGTCGGAAGGAGAGTAGTCAGACGGAAGGAAAGTTACGAGAGCTAATAGGTTGGTTGTCGGATCACATCAAGACGAAGGAGGGCAGCGGTAATTCAATCGGAAAAATGAGGACTCGGGGAGAGAATGATCTCGCAGTCGCGGTAGGGTGATAGAGGGCGGATATCTTGATCTTAAGACGTAAGATGCAACTAAATCGGTAGTCTAAAGGGAGAGAAGAAATATGATTTCGAGCGGGGTGTGTGAAGGGAGATGGATCGATAAGATCAACTACCGCCTGGACCCGATGTTTAGGTAGGTAGGTAGGTAGGTAGGTAGGCGCTGAAAAGAGGGCTCGAGATGAGTATTAGAATTCTCGGGTTGTGATAATTGATAAGTTTGCAATCGCCGAATAGGACGAGGATGAGTATGAGGACGAAGAGCGGTGCATAGCCCGTAACTCCCAAGCAAAAGCAACTGAAACGCAGTCGTAAGCTATACGAAATCGCAGGAATTTGTCTCGATAGATCGGTTCGAAGGCAGCCGAGTCGAGGTCGTCTTACTCCAACGAACGATGACTAGAGAGGGGTTCCAGGTAATTTTAGTCAAAAAAAGGTAAACTAGAATCACGATAACCAGCGTCGCTAAACGTCTCCGATTAATAAAATTGCTAAGTCGTAACGCTGAGAGGTTGAAATATGAAATAACTAAGTAGTAAAAAAACAATGTATTCCAAAGGTTTTCTTTTATCTTTCTGCCTTTACCCCGCTACGTAAATTAGACGGAGCGTAAATAGAAGATAGACAGGAAGAGATAAGATGATATAAAGACGAAATCAAGAGAAACGGCGATTCTTCGACGGTATTAGGATGGTGTCGAGTTCGCAGGTGTGGATTGATGTAGGTATGATTTTCTAAAATGTGAGAGAATTTTGATTTTTCGTGATGCGATGTGGTGAGACGAGTCCGCCCGGCAGAAGCGGTTAGACTCTATTTGTACATGCCGTTTCGTTCCAACTTCCAAGGAACCCGTGCCATGTGAGACATAAGCCCTCTCGATTGTCAGATTCAATGCTTGGGTGGAATCTTGTTTCTAGGGACGTGGAGGATACGGATAAAATGGCTCCAGAGTCCAGGTTGTCCAAGGTTAGGCTATTATTGTACGTGTACATATTTAATATTTAATGCAGGGGCGGGTTGGTAATACATATCTTATTATGTATTTGTGCAGTTGTGGAGGATCGGACCTTACCTTAACGGGAATAACGGGAATTCGATCTGACATCAATTGACACCAACCAGCTGCTGGAACTTCAAATCTTCTTGCCGTCTAACTTGGGAAGCTTTTATTATGAAATGTCTGACAAATGTCATCGGCATCATATGAAGTGGGAACAAAAGGATTTTCTAAGTAGATACCTAATCATTAGGTATGAACCGGTAATGAAACTAGATGCTATCTTAAATATTATAATGCTCAAATGACTTAAAGTTTCATACTTGAAATGATTGATGAAATCGTGTTGTCGTTTCATCAAATATGGTTTGTAGGTAATAATTGGTACAGCGTAGGTTGCCTGGCTGCTACTAGGTACAATACATACCTAGGTGCGCACCGGTACGCGTGGAACCGTCTACTTCGCACGGAGGTACAGCGTATTCAAGTACAAGTAGGTATTACCTGTATTTTACATAAGCTACGGGACCTTGAAGTACACAGCGCCAATAGCCACTATGTAAGTAATAGAATGCATTTTATGAACACCAATATATATGCAATTATCATCTACGGATGTCCGTTAAAATTTACACAATGGATAAATATCTATCATTATTGTCACCATCCATAATTACAAAAGTTGGGCAAGTCCGACAATGAGCTAAGCTAAGGCGCCATTGTAACCTATCGAATACCAACAATAAATGCTCTTTAACATATTCCACAAGCCCTGACGTCGATTTCAGGGGTCAAGATGTCGTATTAGGCTGGTGGAAACTGTCTATCTCTATTAAAACTAAACTTCCCACGTCAAGTTCATAGACGTAAACCCCCTGCGCTTTCGGCAGGTACCTTTTCTGAGCTGTCTACCGAGTGGGCGGAAGGCTCCCGCGACCTCGTCTTCGCATCGTCGTGTTCGATCTCAACGACGACTGTCGTGACTGTGTCCATCTGAATACCAGTCTCGGCCTGCTCTGTAATGCCTCTTAAAGACTCCTGGCTTCCACCTCGTCGGCTACCATTCCAACGACCTGCTCCATTCGCGGCACGACCGTCCCTACCACCCCATCTCGCGAGTCGATTGAGCTTATCGAATCCCCGAGCTGCACTTCTTCGTATCCTTGGTTGGTGGTTGTCTTGAACATTCCTCGTCTGGGCTCCTCCTTGTACCCAAACCATGTTTCCATACTTCCTCCAGTATGGTGTCCTCATAAATGCAAAGGTCTCTATGCCCGTATTCTCGGAGTCTAGTGGCGCGTTGAAAATAATCGAGTGCCGGGTTGTCGAAAAGAGAAGCACATCCAACCAACCATTAGAGGCTATCATCGCACCCGCCAAGCAGAAGTATGCTATGCTCACATCTCTCCCAGACATAGTCACAATACGACCTAAAGCTAACGGCGCCGTGCAAAGCACGTAAATAAGCGGGTATATAAGGAAAGCCGGATGATGACCCGACGGGTGCTCTTGAGTGGAGGCGTTATTCTGCTCAGGTCTGGCAGTTGCCGATGGTCGGCGATGCGAGTGAGGCCGAGAGAAGACATTCCGTTTCCGAAGAGAGATGAAGATGAGGGTGTATAGAATACTGGTTACCAGAATCGAAACGAAGATCCATAAGTAATGAAGCCAAAGGCGAAGGTTTTCGAAACTAACATTCACCCAGCACCTCGAGTGCATGTTAGCTACAACCACAACGAGTTTGCAAGTAGCAAGCATGGGAACAGAAATTAAACAAAGATATTGAGATTCCTACTCACCAGGCTGCTGCCCTCACATAGAATCCACCAGCTCCTTTTCCATTATTTGTTGCGGCCACTCCAGCGACGGCCATGATGTAGATAAATAGCCAGAGACCAGCTATAGCAAGATGCAACGCCCAGTGTGGTGGCTTATAGCCTTTCACAACGCCGAGGTACGTGTGAATGGAAATGGCACAAATAAAACAACTCGCTGACAGATCTCCTGTCGACACAAACCAGCCTTGTGCCCAGCAGCTCGGACTACCGACGATGATTTCGTTTTTCTGTATCCACGGGATGTTCAACACAAACGCGGTAGCCTGGTGCATATCTGCAAGGAACAGATTGTATACAAGAACAAGAAACTGGTTTGGTCGTCTTCGCATTGGCCGTCGCCGTTGCTGCCCGTTTCCCTCTAGTCCCTGGGGAATGTCCCTCTTGGACATCCCAAAGTTTCTCTGAGCTAGGCCCAGAGATAGGTCATTGGCTGGTGTTTGGTGGTCGTCATCTTTAATTTCCCAAGTCCGTACGCGCCAGGTTACCAACTTATATGTCAAGTATAGGAATAATGCCGATGTCGAAATGAGGGAAATGATTCCACAGACAGCGACAGCGATAAGCCCATTACGATGACTATTCGGTAAGGGTGACAGAGTGTCGCTGGCGGGATCAAGTGGGCCATAGTCATCGCCATAAGCCATTCCTCTCCATATGTTTTCCTCGCTCGGAAATATGTAATGGTAGAGTGAACTCGCTGGCAATCGTTCGCCTAAGTCTTATCATCTAAGCTTCTCGGGGCTCGGCAGGACGCGAGCGATGTGGGAAAGGGTATAATATAAAGCCGGCCAGCGCCAAGGACGGATGCTTCGGCGAGGTTGTGTTGAAAACGTTTCTTCCGCACCTTACCCTTTTCTAACGACTACGGCAACGATGAGACGGACTAGACGTAAGTCGTTCTTCATGCTACCGCTCGCTAAGAAAGGTTATATGGAAGCCGGTCCAGCGACCCAGTTAATGCCATGCCCTGGTAGCCCCCCTACTAGATAGGCTAGTATAAATTCGTGCGGATGGACCGCTAAGCCTGTGCCAATATTTCCCTAGTATGGTTTCCATCCCTCCGTCCGCGTGGGAAAAAAAAACACAGATCGTAGGAAGTATCATCTTCTAGCTAAGATATCGTCAATGGAAGCACTGGTAGGTACTTGATTCTTGCGCACTTGCTTTGCTCATCTCGAGATATACTACCTCTCTGCTTAAGCACTTCATCATGCGTGCAACCTAAATATTAGGTACCTAGCAATAGCAAATGTTAAATCCAGAACTCGAGTAATTTGATAAAGTTATTTCACCTGTGGCTCCTTGTCTCCTCCATATTTCATACATGGTTTATCCACGTTTATGATTCTCGCTCAGGTCCGTTGCCCATGCTTGGTTATTACCTAATAATTCTGTACATATAATGAGGATATAGTTAATATTTAAGAGGAAGGTGTATTATATGACAACTATCATGTTTCACACTAAGAGATGGAAGTAGTTAGGGCTTAAAGAGAACTTCCGAGACGTAATATACCTTCTTCATGTTCGGGTCTTGGCTGCATTTCAGCTCATGTCTCGCCCCCTGGAGAATTCTGAGTTGACCAATCCGCGACTTCGACATGATACCACTCGAAAGGAAGAAAGAGAATAGTCGTAATGGCTAGTTTTTTAGTGAAGCTTATTTACGTATTTTAAGCCCTAGTGAAGGCTTCACATGAAATTGATACATACCTTTATGGGCAAGATTTCAAGGTTTAAAGGACCTGATTTGATGAACAGCCCGATCCTACACTAGATAGGTACACACACTTATGAAATCGCTAAGTTGAATGCTGAGGTTTAATATGCCCAAGTACCGTAATACGCTACTAACTGACAAAGCTTAACTTCTCTGCGTTATGAGCGGCAGAATTCAAATGATGGGATGATATTGAATCTTGGATAATATGTTTTATATGTACCTAGGTAAATTTGTCGTGGTATTAAACTTAAGGCTTTTCAGTTCACCCCGGCACACTGGGTAGTGTGGAGATGCAATTCATGCAAGTTGCATACGGTTTACGAAAGGATCGATCAACCGATCGGTACCGTACCGATCTAGCTTGGTTCCTGATTCGCGTCATAAGCTGAAGACACGTGCATGAATGGCATTTTATACCTACCTAGGTAGGGAGGTACTATCTACGTTAGGTATCGGATAATTAACAGGTAGGTATGTAGAGTAAGCACCTTCTTACACCTAGTATTATAGGTACCTACCTAGTAGGTATGCCATAAGTAATGTGGCGCTACTATTATTCCGTATCTTTATGCATACCTAGGTACTTACGGCTCATTCGTCTGGTGACGAGGATGGTTGTATTCTTCAACAATCAAAAGTAGACTCTTGAAGGCACTTACCTAGGTCTGCCTAATGAGTGGAAGGATCGTTCTTAGGTGTTCTATCAATGGATTATATTTTTTCGAAGTAAAAGCCTAAGGTCAGTCTCACGATAGGAATAGTATGATACGATCTGATTACACCAGACTGATTCTTCATACAGACACTCTTATAGAGCTTGCTGTAGGTAGTTAAGTGCGAGACTTCTGCGTGAAGTATGTATTTTTTTCTAATTCGAAATGAAAGATCTTCCCGCCAATTGAGATCGTGTAATGTTGCCCAAAAAACTGACTACCTAGAGAATGCGATGTATAGTTATCTGTACCGATACGAGTCATTGACGGAAATCCCTGACGGGTAACAGTTCTAATTCAGTTACTTACTAGGTAGGTAGGTAGGTGCTTTAACATCGCTTGCCAAAGATTGACCATATTCCAGCTTGTACTAAATGGCAAAGAGGTACCTAGTAGACGAGAGTGTTATAGGATCACTCGTGAATTAACTGAAGAACATGGTCCCAAAGTTGCCGAACCATTAATACGGTGCCCTTGGCAAACTGAGATCTCGTCGCATCGAAACGTACATCAAATTCACTAGTAAGGCGCAGCTCCTTGTGGCCGTCTAGCAAGGGATGGAGTTCTTCGGAAGTCCGCGCCTTGCTTGATACTTTGCATACATCGCAGTTGAAAGTCTTAGGCTATTGGATAGTAAAGTAAATGTGTTATGCTGGGAGTATAGGCTCCTGAAGAGACTATCCTAGCGCATAGTGAATTTGACTGTAGGCCACCTTCATATATGCGCTATATTGCGGATCGTTTTCTCGTCAATACACTTGCCACTGGTCGTATCAGGTACCCCACGAGAGGTAGGTATAACTGGTCTCTAATGCGTCCTTATCGTTGACCAGCGCTTCGGTCTGCTTCGGTTGTAACCCTATCTGCACGTGGATCGAAATCCACTTCCTAACGGCATTGCATAGGTATCTTAGTCAAGCCGAGCTCCTGAAAGCCATGATTGTGGACCTCGAATCCTTCTAAGCCAAAGAAGCGGATATCAGGCGCGGAATTGGCCGTCATACGCGTAGGGAACCCGTAGCCTTTCCGAATCTTGCATTATGGATTCTCGTGCTCTAGCTCCGGAATGGTCTCTTTTTGTGGTATCGGCACCTCCACTCACAATGTAAGATACCGGTCTTCTTGGTATATGGAATGTGTCTCAGCGTCCATATGCTGTCAGGTACGGAGATCTAGATCTCACCCCGTTGTTTGTTGGGTAGGAATAATGGGTTATGAGAGATATCGAATAGTCTTGTTCGGTACTCGGTTATATTGGCATTGTTGGAGGTATCCGGATTCGACTAGACGTGATAGGTGTAGCCGTAGTTAGGCTATCGGCAAGTTAGGAGTGCTACGGCATAGTGAGATATGGGCCATTGTTGTTTGGACTCCGATTTTGAGGGTTTGGTAAGAGTAGCCGCTCGTTGCAAGGCTCGCTGCGCTATGGTAGAGGAATCTTACATATCAGCAACAGTTTAGCGAGATAGATATTAGACAATAGCGAGAATTGGAAAGAATTCATTACCTCGTAATTAAAACGCACACATACGGATTTCTGGATGAGGAGCAGTGCAAGGAGTGCGAGATGATGTAATAGTATTCGATGTCAATCGTGGGCTTGCCTTCAGGATCTATCTCAAGCTGTTAACTAATAGGTAAGCACCTAATATTGTCCTGAAAAAATAGAGAAAATTCAATGGAACTGAACCCCGCTTCAATGATTATGGGCAAGTACCTAAACGATACGTGAGCAATCATTGCTTCTGTTCGATTTATATTTGTCCCAAAAGACTATAGGGGAAAGGTGTAATCGAAAAACCTGGTAGGCTTTGAAGGTAGCTGATATATGAGGTACTTGGGTAAGTGGTATTTATATCCATATTTCATGGGTACCTGCTAGGTAGATAGCTACGTGAGTACACTACCGGGAGGGGGGGGTATTTGGACATGGTCACAACCAACGTTTTAGTATTTCGACCTGATCATTATATTATATAAGCTTTGCTAGGGATCAATAGTATTGCAGCTATAATTTCTGGGTTAATATTATTATATATCGATACAATTATTATATAATTAAAAGCGTTACAAGATGGATACGATTGCTGCAATAGTTTAGAACTAGATTCATCTTCAACCCTTACAACAGTGTCAAAGCCTGGCAATAGTGTCAGGACCTGACAACATGTCAGATCAACGCACCTAAGATACGTAATTGATCTCCCTGAATAGGTTATATATCAAAGTTCGAAAGAATCGGGATTAGTAATCATGTAAACTGTAATCGTAATCTCGTAGTGCAATGGTAAATCTCGTAAATCAACAGTAGTTCAAGTAGTTCAAGTGACTGTACCTGAAAAAAAAAATTGACTTTTCAAAGTAATATCTTATAATATAAATACACCTTAAAGCCTTAGGGCAATACCTAGCATTCAATTGACTGCGATAGCTTTTTTTTTTTCCTTTTTTTTTTTAAAAAAAAATATCAGTTTAGTGACGATTACTGGCGTGGTGACGATCACCAACCTGACATCTGTTGGATCAAAAATTGTTATAATAGAAGGTGAGGCTGTCTCCAAGGTGGCTATTTCCTTCAATATAACACTTACTAGGAGGTTACGATTGCCCTCGGGGGTGATACTATCTTACCAACAGCCAATTAGACTGGTGACTATAAGTTAATGATTACTAGTTAACATTATGTACACCCCTAATGATTATCCCTATGACCATGTCTAGATACCCCCCCCACCCGGTAGTGTAGGTACCTACCTGGTATATAATTAACTTTGTCGACGCCATGGACGTGGCGTAACCTTATGAGGGGTATGTAAAGTTATATAAAAACACGACGTTATGTGAATATAACTCGTCGTTTTCCACAATTTTCATTCCGGGTGATTAGAATTTCAATAAATTCTTATAAAAGTAAAGAAAAATTACCTACTATCTCTACACATATCTACTTTATAAATAAACATTGAAACTCAACTTAACTCAGTCTTGAAGCTAGAGACGAAAACTAGAAGCTCGCTATACCTAAAGCGGTAACTTACATGATTGGCCTTGTGATTGGCCAGACCCAGTATCACCTTACGATCTTTGTCGTCCCGCATCCTATTTGGACCTAGCGTAGCCGCTGGGTAAGGTCAAATAGGTCGTACCTAGTCTTTTTGCCGATAGGGTGGGGATACATAGGGATACTTGCCTAACAATTCTCAAGTAAGCCAACACTTAGGATATATGGATCTCTACAACGTTGAGATGCGAAGCATATAATAATAGACCAAGAAAGTCATCGAACTAAGAGATGTGTTCGTTTTTCTTTGGCCGAGTATTATAAAAATTATCAATTACACACGGTTCGAATAGACTGAAGGTGCTGAAAACTAAATGTTTCCTTGGAATTTGACTACATGAGGTATGTACTCTCGGGTAATCCTACGTGGACTAACAAAGTGGAAAGCGCGATTGGTCTAGTGACCTTTTTTTTCATCCGCGGCGGAAAAGTCAACGACAACCTTCTTTGTGTGCCGTTCCGATCCATATCTCGTAATCCACTTTCTAGCTTACCTACATTCAGACAACCTACAACTAATGATTCAGCCTCAATCAAACCCCAATCCAGACCAGATTATAAGAGATATCGTGTGTTTTGTCGCCTGGTTGGATTGATCTATCCATCGCTTATTTAAGCATTAATCCTCTAATTTGAACTTCTGCCATCAGCCTCAACTCGTCCCTCCATTTCACCGAACCCACACGCGCGCGCACATCGTTGCGGCGGACGTCACCTGCGCCCACCGACAACCTCTCACCTGATATTGAAACGACGACGAATGCTAAATCTGTCACATGTCGCCTTTCTGAGTCGCGTTCTCCTGTCCCCGAAAAGCACACTTCAAACAACGACGAAGTTCTATTATTATAATCGTCATCGTCACCGCCGCCCCCTACATAAGCTGTGAGCAAGTCATACACGTGAAGAAAGTATGCGCATCTCCCTTTTCATACATTCATTGCATCTTAATCTAAGTCTAAGTGACGAGCTGCTGACGAGCCTTGCAGGTATTTGACCACCTCCTACTCTTTGCCGCTCGTTTACTACTTGAGTTCAACAACTTCATAGCGCCTTTCCGATCTGCATCAAGGGCACGAACCATCTAGTCTTTCCTCCAATTCTTCTCCCCCCTCAATTCGGTCTTGCCGCTATGGTCTAACTCTCGAAACGATCTCGACAAGCTAGCTCGCCTACGTTGATATCCACTTGCGCATCTGCCGACTCATCTTGATAATATAAATTGCCATTACACAACTTACATATCGTCATATCCCTAATCCTATCGTACCTAGTAATTAGTAGCTGGAAATTTACCTTGACATCATGGCTGCGCCTTGTAAGTTTTAACTTCACGTACCCTTAATTTACAGTGTCATCATAACAACTTTGCCTTTGCTTGATATAATATAAGTGAACCTCGAAGCAGTATCAGACTGATAGAACCAGTGACCGCGGAGGAGGAGATTCGTTACACCGAGATCATCGACGGGATCCTGGCCACGGCAGATCTCGAGACCGTAACGCGCAAAAAGATCCGCATGGGCCTCGAGACCGCTCTGGGTGGAAAAGACCTAAGCGATCAAAAGGTGTGTGATAGCTTCTCGGGCTTCCGACGGGTTCCCTTATCGCACCATAATCGCTCCCAATATACCGTTGCGCTTTCCGTCTGTTAGGTCTTCGCATTTCGCTAACCTGCATATAGCATGCGATTAAAGCTCTTATTGAAGAGCGTTTCGATGCCATATCCTCCGCTGCGCCGCCGCCTTCCTCTGCTATCCCTCACCCCGAACCGACATCTCCTCGCCCATCGCCTAAGCGACAGGCCAATGGCTTTGATGGGAATAGCCACGACATCGAGAACGATGCTAACGGAGACGAAATTAAGGTATCCGTGCAGCCCCCCAAGAAGAAGCAACGCAAGGAGAAGAGCGAAGACACCGAAGACGCAGATGCCAAACTAGCAGCTCTCCTACAGGCTCAGGAAAACCAACGAACTCGGGCAACCCGTGGAGGCGGAAAGCCTAAGGCACCTGCGAAGAAGAAGAAAAAGGCGACACCTCGGAAGAAGAGCGACAAAAAGGTTGGCGCCGAAGACGATAGCGACGTTGAGGGGAGCGAGGAGTCAAATAACAAGCCACGAAAAGCTGGTGGAGGCTTCCAGAAGCCTTTCAATCTCAGCTACCCGCTCGCCGAGCTATGCGGGGAGCCGCAGGTGAGTCGATAACTCGTCAAACTGCCCCCTCCCCGGGCTACTGATCTGGGGCAAGTCCACCTAGTAATCTTCTAACCTCGGGCTGTAGTTATCTCGACCGCAAGTCGTTAAGAAATTATGGGAGCACATCAAAGGTAACCAACTACAAGACCCCAACGACAAACGGCAGATTCGGTGCGACGAGATGATGCAGGCAGTCTTCAAACAAGCAAGGGTCGATATGTTCCAGATGAATAAGCTGGTGGGAAATCATCTTTATCCCGTAGACGAGGAGTAGTTGGCGAGGTAGAGGGAGATCATTTCTCGGTTGAAGCTTTCCGAGTTCGTCCTAGGGACGTAGGCAGAGGGTATGTTGTATCTACTTGGGAAACGGTTGCTAGGTATGGGCGGGTTAGGCGGCTGCATATTCACGTAGGCGTAAGATGCTTTGCGGGTTATCTTCTTTGCCAATGGACTCGTATGTTATCAGGGAAGACTTTGTCCGAGACTATTAGAAGTCTTGACGGAACAAGATTGGTTTGTGGGAGAGAGGGCGCAGATACTTGATCAACCTACCTAAGGCACTTGTAGGGGAAACTCGCTTTCCAACGTGGTGTCTCAGATTAGGCAACTCAATACGACTGAATTCAATAACGATAAATACACTATTTTTTGGCAACCCATCTCGTTTAAGAACGTTCGTGTTTCTCTAATGGTCATTAGATGGAAATTTGATGAGTTTCATATTGCGGATAGCTTCATGACTAAAATGACAACATGTAAGAATTCAGTAGCCTATATGCTCCAATGTATGACGGTTCACTTATTCCAATATGTAGGTATCTATGGTAAATATTATAGTCCTGCCTCGTAAAATGATATTATGATATTCCCTGCATGTCTGTAGGTGAGGTGAGATACACCTAAGCAGGGGCAAGAGGCAAGGGGCAAGGGCTAATTGTGGCTTCTCCTCAAGCCACAAAATCGCCCCGCGGCTATGTGGCTATGACTCTGACCGGATGTGTCACCGTACCCACTAAAAAAAAGTCTATCAAACCACAGTGGTGGGATGGCTTAGGTAAGAAAGGTGCAACATAGATCTAGGTATGGATACCTCATAAATTGGTAGAATTACCTTTGTAATATCATACATTTAAATACAATAATCGCGTATTTCCCCCTGCGCTTCGATTTTGACTCCCACAGTCAACTACATATCTGGGAATCTTGTCTTTCTACCTCATACTCCGCGATTTCCATACCATCTAAAGTCCAGCCTGATATCGGCACCAACTTTATCCGTTTGTCATCCTGACACCCGATTTTCGGGTAAGGAGAGGCTATACAGCGAACCCCCCTTTCTTTTGTTACGACCATCCTTCATCGCATTTCCCAGACCTCCTCTAGTCGCTCAACCACGGTCTCAGCCACCTTAAACGAACAGCATATTTCTACTGTCGATAATCATGTCCTCAGCTGGCGGAGGCTCGATGGATGCTCCGAACGGAATGGGTGGCTCTGCCACGTCTGGACCAAGCCGCGGACGAGGCGATCGCAATACTAGAGGGAGAGGTAGACCTCGTGGACGGGGCGACTTGAGCGCTAGAGGGAGAGGTCAGGGACGACCATATCGTGGGAGAGGTAGGGGAGGTCACGCGCCCGCGACATCGTCTCCCTCGTCTGCTGATCGTCACCTACCCGTATTGATAGATTCAAGCAAACCAGAACAAAATCTACCGCAGCCTCGTGTACAGAGAAAGCTCGAAGAGCCAATTGGAGACGAGGAAGACGTCGAAGCCGAAGTGTGCTTCATCTGCGCGAGCCCCGTCATTCACCAGTCAGTTGCTCCTTGCAACCATAGGACGTGCCATATATGCGCCCTACGAATGCGAGCATTGTACAAAAATAAAGAGTGTGCACACTGTAGAGTACGGTTAATCCACTTACTTTGCCGACATAATGCTCCGAATGTTAAATGCTAACCTTTGCTACATTCGTAGACACTCGCTCCATTTGTCCTATTTACAGACGATGCAGTGAAGCGATTCCAGGACTATTCCGACGCCGACACCACGAGTACCGATGATAATATCGGCATTCGGTACACGAACGAAGATATTGTCGGAGACACCGTCTTGCTCCTCCGTTATAACTGCCCCGATGATTCTTGCGACTTTGCCGGCCTTGGCTGGCCTGACTTGCATCGACACGTCCGCAGCGTACACCAAAAGAAGATGTGCGACTTATGTACAAGGAATAAGAAGGTTTTTACCCACGAGCATGAATTGTTCACCGACAGGGAATTGGAAAAGCATATGCGTCATGGAGATGATCGTCCTGGCGCTATAGATCAGACGGGGTTCAAAGGTCACCCACTGTGCGCCTTCTGCGGGCAGCGATTCTATGACGACGACAAACTGTACGAGCATTGTCGAAGCAAGCATGAACGGTGCTTCATATGCGACCGCCAAGATCCCCGACAGCCTCACTACTATCGAGACTACAATGCGCTAGAGGAACACTTTAAAAAGGATCATTTTCTGTGCCTCGATCGCGAATGTCTCGAGAAGAAATTTGTCGTTTTCAGTTCCGAGATAGATCTGAAAGCACATCAACTTAGCGACCATGGAAGCTCGTTATCTAAGGACGTGAGACGTGATGCCCGTCTGGTTGATCTTTCCAGCTTCGATTATCGGCAACCTTACCAGCAAGAACGACGCAGCGGCGGACCTGGCAGGGACCGAGACCGTGATAGAGATGGGGATAGAGAGAGAGATAGGGATAGGCGCGGAAGGGGCCGTGATCCGAATGCGGAGCCACTCCCGACCAGCTCGGCACAACCTCTTCGACGGGACGAGCTCGCATTTCAAAGACAAATGGCCGTACATTCTTCCCAATCCGTGTCCAACCGGACCTTCGGTGGCCAATTATCAGCACCGCCATCGTCGAACATTACTGGGCCATCTGCTCAGCCGAGCCAGCGCGCTTCTAGCAGCTCCACACCCGGTCCTTCGACCGTGTCTGCCCCGGTTCCCGAGATGGAAGGGTTGAGCCTCGCGGATCCAAACCTCACACCGGAAGACCGCGCCCGCCTTCTACGGCATTCTGCTGTGATAGAACGGGCCTCAAACCTTCTGCACAATGACCGAGATAAGATTACCTCTTTCCGAAGTCATATTTCATCTTTCAGACAGGACAAAGTGTCGGCCGCGGCCCTCGTTGACGCCTTGTTCTCACTGTTCTCCGATGCATCTTCCTCGGCTCTAGGCACGCTTGTCCGAGAGATTGCCGACCTTTTCGAGGACAAGAACAAGGGCGACAGATTAAGAAAAGCATGGAACGATTGGAGAGCAATTAACGAAGATTACCCAACGTTACCTGGCTTGAGCGGCATGCACGGCGCTACAACCTCTAGTACAGGATGGGCAACCGCCGCAGCCAGCTCCCCAGTCACTACGGCAGCAGCACCATCCCAAAGACATACCACACGTGTGCTTAAGCTAAAGAGCTCTACTCAACAATCGCGACGATCGAGTGTGGAGCAGTCATCAACTGTGTTCTCAAGTGCGCATAATTATCGAAACCCACCACCAGCGGCGGCGGCTTCTTTTCCTGCCCTACCACCTAGTAACCCTAGCCCAAATGGGGCATCGCGGCCTTCGACAACAGCTCTTTGGGGCTCTGGCGGCGGGTCACAAGCTCAACCTAGGCCTGCGAGACCTACGAATAGAGACGAAGCGTTCCCTGCACTACCTGCAGCACCCAAGCCCACGACCACAATTTTTGGCTATGGGACCGGCAGCGTACGCAGAGACGGCGGTAATTCGAGAAACACAGGGTTCTCGTGGGGATCGTCAAACGGTCCGGAGCCTACCGGGGACGATGCGGAGGAAGATAAGGCTGACACAACTGGAAAGGGGAAGAAGGGGAACAAAGGCAGAAAGAAAGTTCTAGTGCAATGGGGCTGAAGGCCCATACATTACCATTTAAAAAAAATTCTCGCAGAGGGATAGTTCACATGTTTTAGCCCTATTGGCTAATATAGTTTTACATGAGAATCGAAGGAAATTTAGAATTTGTCCTTGGTTTTTTCCTTCGTGAACGACAAATATCAGACCCCAACCTCGAGATATTTCAATCACCTTGCCTCTTCATGCTGCTATTGAAATGTAGCTAGCTTAACTAGATCACGTGTTTCATTCCTTCATGTAATATAAGCTTGGTTGTCCGCAATGAACACGTACGCCCTAGCAACCCCCTGTGGCGCTTCCACCAACACATGGCTCTCCGGTGCAATTAAATCCTCGAGGAGACTCAGCATTTCCGCAAAGGTAAGCTGTTGCAGGGGTTCCATTATTAAACTTTAAATTAATGTCGAATAGCCCAATATCGTTGCAAGGTTTGACGGCACTGCACTGAAGGCTAGCTATTTGATTTGATCTTGTTGTGCCTGTCATGTTATTTATGGTGATGTCTAGAATCTCAAATTCGGAATTTGTGCAGTTTCCATCTCCTGGCGCTCCGCTGAAGCGCGTACATTGGGATATGGAAAACGCCGCACCGTGTAGTTCTATGGCGTGGAGGTTATCGAAGTGCATGTTTGAGGCATCTGACCACGCAAAGAATCTCTCAGCACAGGACTTTGACTTTAAGATGGACAAGTACTCACTACCTAATCCGCCGCCGCCTCCGTTCGGCGGGTATCCATTCTGATCAGCAGTCCAAGTTTTGAAATATACCTATGATGTTTATAATAGTATTAGCAACAGTAAAAGGGCTGAAGAGTGCTCATATAAGTATAAGGAGCAACTCACCGCGTGGAGAGTATTATCGAAGGTAATGTTCTTAACCCTGACCTCTCTTATATGTTCCGTGACACCGTAATATTGACCGATGCTGCCCATCGCAATACCTTGTCCGTCGTAGAACTTAGAATTTGTTATGTTGACATCGTAACTATCTGCTTTCAGTGAAATACTGTCATCCCCGTTGTAAACCGTCCAATTGTTGAACGTAATATGCGAAGAGTATATAGTGTCGGCCCCGTCAGTATTAGCTAAGATGAAGTGTTATTATCGAATGACCGATATATGTAGGAAATTCGAGAGACTCAAGGCTTACAACTCTGGACAACATTTCCAGTGTTGTTGACAAATATACTATCTAGGATGACATGTTCGCAATATATGAGGGACATTGTCCTTGGGACGTTAGTATCTAGGCTCGTACTTAGGTATCTTTGCATTATCGCCGAATAGACACAGGGATCGCGGCTCAAAATTAGGTACACTTACCACATCTGACTTCGCAGAAAGGCCAGGCCGCTCACCACAGAGTTCCGAAGACCATTGAAAGTAATAGCATGTGGCCTTCCCGGATAGTTGGAGGTATTCTCTTGACGAGAGATCCATTCGTACCAATAATCACCGTTGCCGTCTATAATTCCTTGATCGTAACCGTTCAACCGAACCTCATTACCACCTAAAATGAACGCCGTTGACTGGTTCTGGTAACCTACATCCAAAGAGTTATTTAACCAGTATTGGATATCAGTACTCCACTAAGATAAGTAGTCGCGTATTGTCAGTATAAGAACACAGCAGGTACCTATTGTTCTTCGTCACAGAAATCCATATAGACATACGAGCAAAGTTCCGTATAAGTCAATGTCAACATTGTCAAGCCATGTAATATTCATGACCGATGAAATGTAATAGGTGGTAGGCAAGAATATGACTTTGCCATCACGCCCGCACTCCTCGAAGGCATTGATGATAGCGGGGGCATCATCCGTGGTATTGACCCCATGAGATTCAACCACACAAGTCTTTCTGGACACGACCGGATGGCCATTTATTATTAAAGAAGATATGACAGGCAGGTATACAAAGTGGAATTTCATCATGGTGAAGTTTATCATATACGAGTGACGTATACTGGGCGAACCTGCTCGTCCCTTTCGAATATAGGTCGGTATTTTTTTACCAGGAACCGAATTGATAAACGAACTTCGGCATATATCAACATTAACACCGAATCTTAATGTAGGTATCAAACCGGGGAAATCCAATCCTCCGCATCACCCCGCAATGATTGTGTCGGAACACCCTTGCCATTTCTTTTTACTTGCGATTTGATGATAATTGGGTACCTAAGTCCTAGGTATCGTATCCCAGCGTGGTACCATCTCGAAATGCCAAATTTAGTCGTGTAATAGGTATGGAAGGAGCTTGTTCGTGAAGCTCGACTCGGCCTATTTATGTTGTTGTACCTATTTATTATAGTATGCTTAAGGGCTAGCTCCCCTTTTCCACATGTAACACTCAATTACGTCAGTGATTGCCTTTCCGGAGGTTCCCGCGGAGAATGCGGGTCAGATTTATACCCACACCGGACCACCGGATCTTCAATGTTGTCTTGGAAAACAAAAAAGCTCCATCGAATGATTTTGATCCCGAGCCTGAAGATAAGTACATGCAGGGAAGATATCCGTAATGAAGAGTGTCACGGGGTTACCCGTAGTTACCGAACACATACATTCTTTAAGTCTACCTACTAGGTACCTGGCTTCGAATCTCGAATTCAAACGATCAAATATACTTAACATTCGAAGAGTTCTTAGGAAGTAACATTCAAGAATCATTTCTTGAATGCGAGATTTTACATCTATATAGGTAATTACCTGTATGTAATAGGTAGGTACTTAAGTACCTAGGTATAAGTTGATTTTCTCCCCAGTTCAATTAAAACGTTAGTGCCTACCTACGTATTTACCTATCCAATGTATGAAATTTGACTAACTACCACCCATATGAATAGAGTTCTGTCGTCGAGAGCCCACGTGATTTCTTCAAGATTAAGTAGAATAATAGGTAAATAATAAGCTATCTTATTAATTATTAAAAGACCACAGCATATCGAACCATAAAGACGGGTCTCTGAAGGCACTAGTCAAGGGAGACGATCTAGTGTATATGGCACAATTCGATCACACAATATTCAACGCCGATGTCACCATAAAAGAGTCTAAGAATACTCAAGCTTATCGGTTTGTACTAGCCTCATATTTAAGTAACGATCTGTCTCAAGACTCACCAAGAAAGATGCATACCTACACTTGTGTCATTTTGTCGTCATGGGTAGTGCAAAGGAGGCTGAAGTTACGACCAAGAGTCGACCCGTCCCTCAGACGGTGACTGAGAAATATGCGGACGTTACTCTGCGCTTGATCGAAGATCACGGGGACGAATTTGGCCCTCTGACTCCTGAAAAGGAAAAGCTATTGCGAAGGAAATTGTACCGTCACATCATGCTTCTGATATCTGCAATTAATATTATCTTATTTGTAAGTGGTTTGCCCCCGTTTTAGACAATAGCAGACTGACCGCCTCGGAACGTTTAGATCGACAAGTCTACTCTGGGATATGCTGCTATTCTGGGACTTTTTGAAGAGACCGGAATCACAAAAGATCAATATAATAATCTGAACACTTTCTTCTACGTCGGTACGTGATCATCTTGCGGGGACACCTTATCTACCTATGTCACATCCTAATTTTCTCAGGGTACCTTGCCGCCCAATGGCCGGGCCACTATCTTCTGCAGAAGCTCCCGTTTGGTAAATCCGTTGCTTCGATCATATTTCTTTGGGCTGTCGTGATTCTCCTTCACTGCGTGGCTACTAAGTATGCTGGACTTGTTGTGCTCCGTCTTGCTCTCGGCGCCGTCGAAGCAGTTGTCGTTCCCGCCATGGAAATCACTATCGGCATGTTCTTTAACCGTGAAGAACAGGCTTTCCTACAGCCGATTTTTTGGGTCACTTGTCAGGCCGCTCCTGTAGTGGCCGGTTTCATATCTTACGGTCTTTTATGGAGTAACAGCTCTGTGCTCCCTTGGAAACTGTTCATGATCACTACTGGAGGCTTGACCCTCCTCCTCTCCGTCTATGCATGGTTCTGTTATCCCAGCAATCCTGCGGAAGCCCGGTTCCTCACCTTGGAAGAGAAAGTCCAAGCTATACGACGCGTTCACGGTTCCGGCCAGAGCTCCATCGAGCAGAAGCAGTTCAAGAAGACCCAATTCATAGAAACGTTGAGGGATCCTGTCTCATGGCTGTTTGCCCTCCAAGCGTTTACATTGATGTACTCGAACAATCTCACATACGGCCAACAAAATCTCTTGACCACCTCTTTGGGCGTTTCTAACCTCGGTTCTACCTTGGTCGCAGTAGCAGGCGGTAGCTTTGGTATGGTTCTGTGCGTCATTGCCGCTCTAATACTCAAATGGCATCCACGGAATTTTGCGGTGCATAGTTTGGTATGGTGCATTCCTGCCGTGGCTGGCGGAATTGGCATGGTAACGATCCCATGGGATCGGAAACTGGCGCTGTTGACATGTTTATTGCTTGCAGGACATACGTATGGCATAACGTATATCATCGCGTTGGGATGGACAACCTCGTCAGCGGCGGGTTACACTAAAAAGTTAACACGGAACGTCATGTTTATGCTTGGCTATAGTGTCGGCAACCTCGTGTCGCCGCAAATATGGGTGCCCACTGCTGCACCTCGATATTACGGTGCCTGGATCTCCATGATAGTGGTTGCCTGGGTCGGCACTCCGGCTATCCTATTTGCTATCCACCTCATATTAGCGCGTAGGAATGCAGAGCGAAAAGCGTGGATGGCGGAATTGAGCGAGGAAGAAAGGGAAGCCGGTCGTGTCGAGCAATATGATGACGATGGGCAGGTAATCACGAAAAACGTGAATATTGCGATGCTCGATCTGACCGACATGGAGAATAAATTCTTCATTTACCCATTATAAAATCTCGTGGCCAACGTAGGCAGTTACCATTATCCGATGTTGAAGGTTTCATGCTAGAGAAATGGATCACCATAAAGTCAATGAACGACTAAACGAAGACGATTGTGCGGGTTTCATCGGCACTCTCATCTAAGACGCGGATGCGATATGGACCTCCTTCGCCCAGAACCTCCCAGTACATACTAGGTACCTAGGTAGGGAGGTATGTGAGGGTTTTGGTGGTGGCCAAGTTTCAGTCAAGAACTACACGGATCTGCGTCAACGACGTATTCATCTCGGCTCTGGATACGAGCTTGTACAACTAAAGGATGAATCGATAAATAATTACAGGTAGCTACCTACCTATAGTTAGAACTCCTTTTTGAACTCACGTAGTCGTTATTGAAAGTGGTAGTGAAGTAACGACATGTCAAATCACGATAACATTTACCATAAGAATTATTTCATCAGGTGAGATTAGGTTCTAGAGAAGATGATATCTAGGTATTAATATATTACCTATCTTTGTTTCTTTAAAGAGAAGCTATTAAATGATGGGAAAGCAACCCTCTAATGCATGCCCTTAAGCCAAACGGCGTAACATCGAACCTAAGCTGTAGCAACGACAACTACCTCGGTACCTACCTGTAAGTTATAACTCAATTGTTTTAAAGGGACAAATTTTGCTTGATTTCTTCATTCAAGCTGGATCGTCTAAGGACTCCGACACTCCTGTCATTTTTCCACTCACAAATCGTACCTACTCATTCCATACTAGGGAGGGTTCTAGGAGAAGTGAATTAAATAGAGTACCTACCCAGATTGGCCAGTCTATAGTGAAGAGATTATAGAGAACATAGTGTTAAGTTAAAACATAATGCAAAACTCATCCCATATACACTTGGGTAACTTGATACCTATGTACATACCTAAATAATTGGCAGGTTATTACCTAGGTAACATTAATTTGCATACTATACATACCTAGATATTTACTTAATAATTCGGATACCCTAAGATAGTAAGGTGCCCCTTACCGGCCATTCCCCGCCGATGTCGAATTCCACAGGAACTCTCATGCATCCCGTTATCTTGGACTAGACCCACTGATCCTATTAATACCTAGGTACCTAGTTGATATCATTCCTTGCGGATCCTCCTAAATCTGAATAGCTTTATCTTCAGTGCTTTTGAGTGCTGGGCCATTTCTCCATTTGACCCCGCAACTTTCACCAAAGACATCCTCATCTCAACTTTTCCCCAAGCCGTTATCGCTAATTGTAACCTCATCGCCATGGCCGAGATAAAAAAATTCGACTTGGGTAACTTTGTCCTCAAGTCTGGTGTCACGATCCCAAGTGCCTACATCGCCTACAAGACCTTCGGGAATCCCGCAAACCCAGCCATCATTTATCCAACATGGTATAGCGGCCTTATCTCGGACAACGAATGGCTGGTTGGCAGCGGCATGGCTTTAAACCCTGAGACATATTTCATCATCATCCCAGCACTGTTCGGCAACGGTCAATCGAAGAGTCCCTCTAACAGCCCCGAACTCCGGCCATTTCCTAATGTCACCTTCTTCGACAATGTGGCTGCGCAGTATCGTCTTGTGACAGAAGAACTAGGCGTAAAACACGCGAGATGCGTTCTAGGCTGGAGTATGGGTAGGCGAGCCCTTAGAAAACCAATACCAACTTTATCAACAACAATGACTAACACACCAACATGGAATTTAAGGGGCCGGGCAAACGTACCAGTGGATCACCCAATACCCGAACTTCGTGGACCTGGCCGTTCCGTTCTGCGGGAGCGCTAAGACCAGCTTGCATAACCAAGTCTTCCTCGAAGGCGTCAAGAGTGCAGCATTGGCAGCTAAAGGAGCTAGTTCCGCCGGAAGCTGCCAGGGAGAGGCCATCTCACGCTCGCAGTACCGGGGATGGACAACTGAAGAGCGTGAGAATGGACTCAAAGCTCTTGGTCGGGTATATGCAGGGTGGGGATTCAGCCAAGCATTTTATCGCGAGAGGCTTTACGAGACAGCGCTCGGTTATGAAGACCTCGAAGATTTCATGACTAAATTCTGGGAAGGCTGGGCAACATCTAAAGGTAGCTATCTAGAATATAGAGCTCCTACTTGAAACTGAGTCCCCCAGCTTACAAAATCGGCCAGACCCAGAGAACATGTTGACGATGCTACATACGTGGCAAGCTGGGGACTGCTCAGACCAAGAACCCTACAATAAAGGTACCTACCTACCTACCTGCCTACATTCAGAAATTCACGAAAATACCTAATTAAGGTAGGTACTATTCACACGAACATCAATGTTAATCAAGCTCAGATTTCAAGTTGGCAATGAAGAGTATCAAGGCTAAGACCCTCGTTCTTCCTTGTAAGACGGACTTGTATTTTCCCCCAGAGGATTCCGAGAATGAAGTTCTTAATATGTCGGATGGAATTGGAAAGTGTATTCCTTTCCCGTCGATTTGGGGCCATTGGTAACATCATCCGATCATTAAATTTATTATTAAATAACGTAAAAGTAGCTAATCATTAATAGGGCGGGCGGTCCAGGACAAAGTAAGGAGGACGTTAAATGGTTAGATAATAAGCTTAAGGAGTTTTTGTTGTAAAATCCAATTGACATTTAGGGTTAGGGTTAGGGTTAGGGTTAGGGTTAGGGTTAGGGTTAGGGTTAGGGTTAGGGTTAGGGTTAGGGTTAGGGTTAGGGTTAGGGTTAG